CGTGTCCTAGCATCGGCAACAGGTGGATGAGATGCAGGGTCTTTCAACAACCTCATCGGGAAGATGAACTCATCCGTTGGAAGCTCAATGCGCTTTGTTCGCTGTACCGTGAGGGACGCATGTTCGATGTGATAATCGAGTCCTTCTAGCTTTGCTACAAGGAATTCACCTTTCCATGCGAACCCAGGCTGGATGTGGTAACCGACAAACACGCCTTCATTTGATGTCGGCGAAGTCTTGCCTGCCTGATTGTCAGCTCGTGCCGGGTTGTTCCAGAACAGAATCTTTGCTCCGAAAGGTATCTCAGCTTCATCAAAGGTCTTGTGAAACCTGAGGTACCATGGCGAATCGTTACCGTTCAACTGCGGCAGGATGTTGGTTGCAACTGCATTGTGCTGGATTGCAAATGGCCACATCGACAGTGGGAACCCTGACTGAACAAGATTCGCACGTGCTCCCTCCAACAAATGTCTGATTTACCTTTCGACAAACGATTTGGATGAATCGACATATTCAATGGAGGTCTGATGACGATACCCCAACTGTTCTATTGCGGCTTTCAGTTCCCGGGAGTTGTCGGTGTATAAAACCTCGACCTCATCCCTACCGGAAATGAAATGCTGGATCCCTGCAACGGATTGCTCCGTGCTTTTGCTGGTCGACGGGTACACGTACCTGAACTGCGTATGCACGTCCTTGATCACGAGAGCACACCATTCGCCCTTTATGCCTTGCTCGATGTTGGCCTTAAGAATTACATGATCGGCGATAATGTGATCCCCGAAAGCTTTAGTCTCGAGCCTTCCCTGTCCGCCTTTTGATCTAGCGTATGGGGCAAGCATCTTGGCACGTTGGCAAGTACGGCAAAAGGGATTCTTCGGATAGTGTGCGAACAAGTGCTCTTTGGTACTTGCTTCGGCAACCAGGTCTTGCTCTTTGCGGGATCTCACAAACCGCTCAACTTCGTCATCGGGATCATCGCCCTCGTCGATGCCTTCGTCATGAACCGGGGCAGGTGCTGGCTTGGATGCTGCTACTGCACTTAACGATGGCTCAGCTTCGCAGCTTGAATCCATGTGTGGCACATGACCGTCAACCTTGAGCTGGATCAGAGCACCATCGGGACGAACCATGGTTGGCGCCTTTCCGGATTCCCAGTGAAAGGAATATCCTTGATCCAGGCACTTTACACCCAACGACAACACTGCAGGAGAGCTCTCGAGGATGTAAGGCTGAGCGGGCTCACACAATGCGCTGACATTGATGTCTGCGATTTCGGAAGCAGTGATGTTTCCGTTCGCTGTCACGAGGCGGATAGGCTGAGGAGCCTGTTTTCGGATAGCCTCGGATGCGTTCCTCAGAGCAGCTTTGCTGATGAGGTCCTGCTCGCTGCCGGAATCAATGAGCCACACATCCTTTCCCTTTGGTGCAGGGGTGGCTGCCCTTGGCGCTTCGACATCCTTGCGAACATCGTGAGGCGGCATGGCAATTCTCAGGCACTCATCACACGATAGGCTTGAGATGGAATCCGATTCCACATCGCACATGAAACCACAAGCGGGCTGGGCTCCATTCTCAATGGCATTGATCACGGCATTCAACTGATTAGCGGCTTTACGGGCTGCCTTGTTCGTGCCTTTAGTCGGCCTGGGGCAGTCCTTTGCGTTAGGAAACATTCTATTGTACTGCCTCTCCTCATATTCTAGCTTGAAACCATCGCCTTCGGCGGCGATCTCATGAACATGAGCATTGGTGTCAAATGACACCCCTACCGGATTGATTGGCCTTGCGAACATGGCGTACCTGGTGCAAACAGCGGCGGCTTTGGCCTTAGGCTTCGGCCTAGCGAGTTCGCACGCTTCTTAGCCGCAGGATTGGCATTGGCCTCATTGCTCGATGCCGCAGCGGCAGTCTTGCCGCCAGTGGAGGCATGGCTAAACTTGCACTTGTCGCCTCTGGTGCACTTTCCTTGGGCAAAGAAAGAGCACGGTGCTTTATCTCCCTTATTGCCCTTGGGAGAATTCGGTCGGCCACGGGTCGCAGAGCGTCCTCGCGGCTCCTTGCGGTGCGCGTAAGGGCAATTTGCCCCCCTCGTGCACGAGCCCTTCTGGAAGTCAAAGCAGTACTTCTCCTCAGCATCCTTCGGCTTTGGTGCGCTCTTTTTCTTAGGGTCCTTCTTTTCGGGAGCTGCGGCACCAGCCTTAGGTGTTGGGGCTTTACTTGCATTGACCTTGGACACGCGCTCTCGGTTCTCGCGAAGCCTATCCCTCTCAATCAAATCTCTCATGCAGCGCATTAGGAAATCATATGATTTGTTGGGATCATCGTCGCGGCAACGATCATAGGTATCAATGTCGTATCGCAACAGATGGCAGCTTCTCACTTGGCGAAGCAAGATGTCCTTTAACACCTTTTCTTCAGGCGGCCTTTTCATGCCGGCGATCACGGAATCCCAAGCGTTTAGGAACCGCTTGAGATCTATGATTCCTTCGCCGTGTCGCGAGACACGCAACAGGTCCTCCAAGGAATAGAGGTTTCCGGCTTCTTCACTGGTCTTGAAATATTGATCAAACATGAACAAGACCTGCCTTCCTCTCATTGCCTTTCCTTCCTTGGCACATTCTTCCTTTGCTGTTAGGATCCGTTGAGCCAGATCACCTTTCGCTGAGCGCGTGAGCGCTGCGAGAATCTTCGTGTCTAGCGTCACGAATTTTCCCGGTTCACCGAGCTCTTCCAACAGCTTCTTCTTATCCTCGCGATCGGACCAAACTTCCATTATCCAAGGCCAGGCCTCGTCTGGTCGGTCAGATGCAGCGCGGACGTCCTCACGAACCGATGTCTTCCACTCACGGTACGTTTCAGGAGTTGGCATTTCCTTGAATCGCAACGTCTCGCTTTCGCGAGTTCTGGGCTTCTCATCGTTCGTGTGAACTTTCACCAACTTCATCAACATTTTGGCGAAAGCTTCTTGGCCGAGGTTGGGCCCGAGGCCGTCACCATCGTCCTCATCACCTTCGCCGTCGCCATTTCCGTCATCATCGGGTGGCGGACCGCCGGGAGGCTTGTGCTTGCGGTCAGTTGGCATTGGCCCCTGGGAAAATTGCAGGGGCGGAACGGGTGCACTTGTCTTGATCGGGGACCGACCACTACCTGATGGTTTCTCAGCAGGTCCTTGCGGATCGCGAGCATCTGCAAGCAGTGCTTCACTTTCGGCAGTTGGCATAATGCTGGGAGTATAATCAACCTCATAACCGTCATAGGTAACAAGCGACCTCAACTTTTCCTTTGCATATTGAAACGGATTGGACAGCGGGTCCAACATTGACCTTTGTGACCGAGCTGATTTCATGTCATCGGTCATCAACTCTGGCGAATCCTCTCGGGTATCGCCTACCCCTTTGGGCTTCGATCCATCCCCGCGGAGGTCGTGATGCTTCTGGTACTTCTTTAGCTCATCAAGCTCGTCCTGCAGAAGCCCGTTTTGGTGGGCCATCATATCGATTGTCCTGGCGTTCTTCGCTTCGACACGGGCTGTGTCATCAGCGTGCTTCGCGGCTTGCTCCTGAAGGAGCTGCTGTGCATCCGCCAGGGTCGATTCAATGGCTTGCCTAAACTCAGTTGTTTTGCGTCTCATTTCCATTTCATGCAATGATTGGGCGTTTTCCTCACACACTTGGCTTATCCTAGCTTCAGCGAAGTTCACTTCTTGGATGAACTCATCGCTCACTCGCTGTTCGTATGCACGAATTCGATGCGACTGGGCTTGCACACACTCAGCGTAGTGTGCATGCAGCTGATTCTGTGCGGCACGGAGCTCCTCACGGTTTTCCGCTTGCAAATGCGTAACAGCTGCTTGATGCAAGGCTTCGGCTTCAGACCTGATGGCTGCATCATTCCCGAAAGCAAAGATTGCGGTATTGTACAGTTGAAGGGAATTCATCAGTGTGCGGTTTTGCTGCACATTGGCACTTGACGCGAACATTCGCGCACCGCCGCCGGTGGCGTTGTCGGAGCTTGCTCCGACAGCGTCCACGGGCATGTTGGATCCATCAACAGGCACAAGGGAACCGTCCAATGCTTAGAGCTAGGGGCCTACGGCTGATAACCTATAGATTCAGGGGTAACAGGTTTGGGGCCCAAAAGGAAACAACAAACCGTCCAAGTGCGCTGCTCGCACATTTTCACGCTTGAACAGCCACACTGCGGATGCAACGGATGTAAAACCCCATATTGACCGATCAAATTCTTCACCTTAGTTGCACAATAGCCGTGCATCGGCTGAGGATCCAAATCCTGGGGGGTATCCTGTAAGGAACGGTTCTTGCGAGGTGTTCCTTGTTGAAACGGGGGGTCCGCAGTTTTGCGACCAGAATGATCAGAAAAGGGCAACAGAAAAGGGACTTGCAGCAAGCGTCGCCGGCTGCAGCAAGCAAAGGGAAACCAAGAAGGCTGAAAAGGCACTCCTGAAAAGCCCGCCATTTGTAAAGCGGGTTCATGTTCTGCGCTTGCAGGGAGGCTCCTCTTGAGAAGGGGCCTTGTCCACTTCCACATTTATTGAAACAATCAGACACGTCACCTTAAAAGGTGAAGAATTGTAACAAAAAAAGATGGTAACATCCCCTCATGCATTGGGCACAAAAAAGTGCATCTCCAAATGGCAAACCACCCCTGCTTACAGTCTGCATTCAAGGGCAGACCAACAAGGAATCAGTCACCGACTCCTTTGAGTACTCGACTGAGTTGTCCAAACCCAAAAAGTGACGATCAAGTCCGAAACGGAACTGTGACCTTTCAAAAAAGTCAAGGCCTTCCCCAGTTGCACGGAACTCCGCCGCGTCTGAACTCTATCTCTGTGTGTGTGTGTGCCGTACCTCACGGAAATCAGGGGGGCCAGTTACGCGGAACTCCCACGCGTCAGAACCTATATGAGTAAAGCACCTCATTAAACTCCACCCATCGCTCCCGACGGGAGCAAGCCGAATCGAGTCGAGTCCAGTCGCTGTAGGGTCCGGAGGAGGTGCAGCAGCTGCAGATCACGTTGGCGTCCGCGCAGGCCTCGAGGAGCACCTGATGAGAAACCCCTCGGAGCTTGGGTCTAAAGGTGTGTGCTTTACCCCCTGGGAATACACCCACTGGGTATTGACCCCATCTAAAAGAACCATTCCGGGTCATGCAATCCCAGGGTGTAATACAAAAACCCTCAGATTGGGAGCATACGCCCTTAAAAGCCCAATCCCGAGTCCCGAATCCCGCATCCCGAATCCCGGGTCCCGGATCTCGGATCCGGGATCCCGAATCCCGAATCCCGAATCCCGAAATCCCGAAAATGTGATTCGAGCCCCGAATCCCGAATCCCGAATCCCGAATCCCGAAATCCCGAAAATGTGATTCGAGCCCCGAATCCCGAAATTGGGAGCGACCTCTGGATCGCCACTCGAAAACATCTTCTTCAGCAAATGGAAGCACTCCCACTCCAAATACCTCTTGTTTCCGGCATGATGTTATCCTCTGACTCAAAGATAAATTTCCAAATGCTCCCTGAAAAACAAAGCTGTTTGGAGCGGAGGGCATCGAAGTCCGCAAAAAGACTCAGGGGCAAAAGAAATAGGATGATTCGGTTTTTGTGGGGTGCGTAAAACAATGTTCGGAGTGATTGGGGTATTTGTGTCTTGGAAGGCATCCCTGCCTCGGCCCCACTGGATTGTGGGAGCATGCTACTGGGAATTCTGTAACCCTTCTATCAACTCTTTTCATATGAAGGCGTGAGCTTTTTGAGGGCACCATTTTGGATGTGATTGCCAAGGGAAGCCAAAAGCAAAACCATCCCTCATTTTGACACATACTCAGATCCTACAGGGGGTGGAATCTGCAAACTCCCTGCATCCAAACAGTTGTGTAGAGCTCTGGGGGACAGGGTTTGAGAAGGATAAATCTGCAAAGTCTACCCCCCCCTTGGGAAAAAATACCTGAAGTACGGCCTCCTAGCATAAAACGCAAATTTTGAAAATGGCAAGACCGCCAAAACGCAGCACTCCGGCCCCCAGGTCAAGGACCTATATTTATATACATGATGGTGAAGCTCAACATATACATTGTAAATTAACAATTCATATATAACACTACTACTAGTAAAGCAAACCAGGAGAGATACATGGCAACTACAAGTCCATGTGTTTCCCATGGCCACTGGAATTTGAAGGGCCTGTCTTCAACCAACACCGCGATGTTCATCGCAACCCAAGCCCGGCCCTTGGCAAGGCCTAAGGGGGTTGTTCTTCAGGCGTTGGCAAGGGAATGCTAGAGGGAAGGGGATGGAAGGGGGGACGCACGAGTGAAGTAGCTGGGCTGAACACACAGGCTCACTTCCTGAGTGGAATGGCCCGAAAAAGAAACCAACTGTTGATTTACAAACATTCTCCGGAACCCCTCAAACTGTGCTTGTCCCTCTAAACCAACCAGCCTAAACCAACCAACAGTACCCCTGTGAACCCCGGGCCCCGAATTGGCCGCTGCCAATTCGCCCAGTTCAGCTCAGCCGCCTCCACCGCCGCCTGGTGACCCCCGGCGACCGCCAGCGTCAGCGGGGTCCAATCGGTGCAGAACATGCGCTGGGAGCCTCGGCCCCAGTATACCTCACTTCCTGAGTGGATTGGAACTAAAAAGATCCAAAGATCCAAATCCATTTTGGAGTTTACCACTGAAATGGTCTAAACCCAAAAAGCAACTCAAGGCCAGGAACTCAGGAAGTGAGATACATTACCCCGTCAACCCACCAAAAAGGAGTGACTTCCTGTCGAGGGATTGGCCGAAGGTGGCCAAACTTGTTTATTTACCACTAAAATGGTGTAAGCCAAAAAAGTAACTAAAGCCCCCCTTGAACCCAGGAAGTCCAGTTCATAGGACCCACTTTGTCTCCCCATGACCCTTTGAAAATGGGGTCAATACCCGAAATTCAGGGGTCATGACCCCTTTTTCCGGGGGTCATGGAGACTCTAGGCAGTCATGGTCATGCCGATTTGGTTTGTTCTCTTCTTGGGGGTCAGGCCTGGGTAGAGGCGGAGCTCGCCGGCCAGGACATTCACGTCGCTACCTGCTTTGCAAGGCGCCCATGCGACCGGCACAAGGGGAAGCCTGAAGCAAGCACTGGGCTGAACGTTTTCTGATCTGCTCAAAGTTGTTTTGTTTTTACTTTTAGTGGGTTAAATGGAAACTACCACTAAACCCTAAAAGCCTAAAAGGCTAAAAGGCTAGGGGGACAGCTGGGGGCCACCAAGAGCCCAATCAAACAAAGAGAGCCCTTGTCCTTCCATTTGATTTATGATCCCCCGAAAAATGAGAACATATGTTCAGTGGTGAAATCGGAGAACCCCGAACTGATTTGAGGGAGGAAGGGATTTCCTCGGCTCAAGGCCCAAGAGGAGCTTCTACAGATGCACTTCGCACGTTGGCTTTTTTCCAGGAACCAAAGGGAAGACCACTTCTGTGATACAACAAAAAGGGCCTCCTAAAGACTAACCCCCCACGTAAAGAGGGGACCCCCTTGTATCACAGTGAGACAAACCCTTGATCCCACCATCATGCTTTTCAGGGACCTTTCTGTCCAAAGCCGTTTTGAGAAACCTCCAGGGCCAACTACAAAACCCTCGCCAAAATCGACCCCCCCATCGACCCCTCGACCGAATCGGCTGGAGCCGCACCTGGCAGGAGGGACTTCAGGGCAGGCGCGTCGCCCTGCTCCGCCAGCGGTAGAAGGGCTGGCTCTAAGCGCCCTGCGCGTGCCCCGCCGGCCGGTCAGGCGGCCAGGCAGTTGATTTCTGGTGGGGGTGATTTTGGGCTGGGTCTCGTTGGCGAGAACCAAACGACACAGGCTTCTGGGGTAAAGTTTTTCAATGGTCAAGGATTCATCATTTTGAGCTAGGCCCAGTCGTAAAATGTATATATCATATTCTTAGTCTACTCCAGGCTGAAGGATTGAACAATTTGCTCTTTGGTCATCATTTTGGCGGGCAAAGATACCTCCAATTTCCGTTGCCTAAGGCGTGACCAGAGTCCCCCTCATAAAAACTCACCTCCGATCCGGCCGAAAAATGGTCTGAACTTTTGGTGCACAAACCTAGATAAAGGGACCAATGGTTCCAGACTGAACAATCAACACCCAGTTCTTGTTTGTTGGTGCTAAGATCCAGCTTTTTTCCCCTTCCACACCTAGCACCCTCACCTCCCCCAGAAATCTTGCGTCCAATGTCCCAAGGGGCAAACACGGAGAAGACGCCACAGAGCTTGAAGCCCCCTCAAAGGAGGGTCTGAGAGGCGACCCCCTTGATTAAATGTATGGCTCCGCGCGCCCTGGCTGCGCCAATGGCAACGTTGGCATCCTGTCGGGAAGACTACACTTCAGACAGGAAAAGGCTGGCTATAGGTTGTAGGGGAGTCAAGGAGCCAGGGATGATAAAACTCCTTACGTGCCTCCCCCAAAACATTGCTTGGAAGGTTTGAACTTATGTACCTTGGGGCAGATCAAAAAACACACTTGAAAAAGGGCCCATATTGGCTAACAAGCCATATGCGTCAAACAAAATTAAGGGGCTCAGGCCACACCAAAAACAAGCCATGACAACTCGTCATGTCTGAGTTCCGCCGTCTGGCGCGCCTCGAGTCTCAACGGCCTTGACGGCCTCGACGGTCTCGACGGCCTCCAAGAAGTGCTCGGCTATGCCGTAGCCCCCAGCCTGGCGGCGAGCTACTTTGATGCTCCTTGCCAAGTTCACCAGTGGCCAGTGGAAAAAAGAAAGGATCGGCATCTTTTTTTGTTGGTTGAGTTTAAAGGGAACCCTTCCCAAAAAAAGGAAAAACGGGCACCACTGGGCAACTGGGCTGATACCTGCAACAGTTGCTTTCCTCCACTTGGGGCAACAACACCTGGCCATGGGTCAAAATCCCGTACAATCCCCACAAAAATAGGTTCTAAAATGGGTGGTGCACCCACCCTAAGATGCCAAAATGGGATCCCAAAACGGTTTTGACAACCACAGCCACCTGGCCACAAAGACCCAAGAAAAAGGCTTCCACGCTGTCGCGCCCACCTCGCGCTCCGGACACCTTTGCTCCGCCTTTGGCGCCGGCGCTTGTGAAGGCGCCGGCTCAAGCGCCACGTCCAGCTCCCAGGGCAGCTTTGGCCCGTTGGGGGTTATCTCAAAGACATCCATCAGGCAAAGTTTTCTGGGCAAAGGTTACCAAAACCGCCACATTTGCTTCATGTACAAACTGCCTGGACAAAAAAAAGGAACCATGATACATCCTGCAAAAGAAGGTTCCAGTGTTTCGGTGTTTCTTTTTGTCCGGCTCAACTCTGATGAACGTCCGACCCCAAATCTAGAAATTCAGTCTTGCCTTTGTGCATTTCTAGAGCCTAGGGCAAAGATGCAAGATGGTCCCCAGGGGTCTCATGGTTTGATCCGACCCACTTCGACAAATGATACACGCCACAAGGAGAAATACAGGGAAGCCTCCGTCCATGACACCTGCCGTTTTGGGCATCTCGTTTCGAAAGCACAGGGCCGATCCGAGGAAAAGCGGGGAACTCTGAATGAAAGGCGTTCACGTCTGAATCGCCGCCTCACGCTGGGGCAAGTTTCTTTTGCGGTTGCTGTTTGGCAGCAATGTGCCCAGTCTGAGCCAGCTTGCAAGACAAAAAACGGCGACTCTCACAACTTTGCTCTGCGAAGACATCTGCCGGGCATGAGACCTGAACAACTGCTCAGGTAACCCAAGCCCTGGTTCTTGCGGAGTGCACATGCAAAGTTGTATATCTCGAAATCAGCAACATAAGAGAGAAGCCGAACTGCGTTCGCCGAACAAAAACAGCTCTCTCCAACACGCATCTCAGTTACCCAAAGGACCAAGCACTAGAAGGTTCACCGTTTGGGACCTCGCCAAAAGATGGCCAAAGGTCGGTTTTGCACACGTGCGTCATGGAACTTGGGCTTTGCGGAATAGATCCAGAAAACGCCCAGGAAGGTAGAAGGATGCCCGGCAAAAACAGATCATGGGAAAGCTCCAAGGACCTGCATATAGAGCCGGCTTGGGTGGCCCTGGGACGAACACCAAGCCTAAAATTACAAGGGCTCAATGATTCATCCAAGGAGTACCCCGCAGTGCGACATGAAACCGGAAGAATGGTTGTTGGACCAAAACTGGGACGAAAGGGCACCGCAGGTCCGGGTCGAGGAATCTCCTCTTGGGGTGCTCCTCCAATTTGGGCTCCATTTAAATTTGCCGCATGAGCAACCACTGGCATTGGGGGTAATTTGGCTTTTAGGCTCCCTGTTTTACAGGAAATTTATGTATCCCAGGGCCCCTTGACCCCGGTCATTCATCCAATAATGGGAACCCCTTTTAGTGGTTCATCACCTTGAGAGGCCCCCAGCCCTACGGGACACATCCGTCACACTGCAACTCCTCCTCGCCGCGGCCAGTGGGCATAGTGTGCTTCATAGGCTTGAACCTCGATGCCAGGATCCCAGGATCCCCACCGCGCGTGTGTGTTTTTGTTTTTGTTTTTGTTTTTGTTTTTTTGTTTCTTTTCTTTTTGTTTCTTCTTTTTTTTTTCCGGGGGGGGGGGGGGGCGGTCCAGGCTGCAAGACCCAAGATGTCTGAAAAGACTTGGGTGCTCGATTCGGCAAGTAAGTTGATGACTTGGGTGATAGCCAACGTATAGGTTCCCCAAGTGCAGTTAGCCAAGTTGTACATAGGATATAGCTTAGGGTACTCACCACTTAACCTGGCGACATCAGGAGCGGTGCTCAACTTTCAGGCGCCACCCTGTGATTTGTCCGTCCAGCTCAGTGGATCCCACCCTGAATCACATGGGCTCACCTTCGTGACCGAACGCCCAGAAGACTACCTTCGAGGTAAACTCCTTCCTGGCCCTCGAAGGTGGCCCTCCAATCCAGGATGCATGTAGGGGCTCAATTTCAGCGACAACCCTGCTTCCCTATTCTCCACCCAAGAATGCAGGCTGCTGAATTGTTATCCCTGCGTATCACCCACTTGGGGAAGTATAGCAAAAGTAAATGGGTTATAGCAAGGATTGCTAACCGCCTACTATAAGTCCAGTAGTGATAGATTCCATTGAATACCAACTGGGAAAACAACACATGTGCTTACGCAATCGAAGATTAACATGTTCCGCCCGAAGTGAGATATGTGGGTGCCAAAATTTGAGCAACCCTTTTCTTTGTGGATGTTCAAAGAGAACCAACAGGACCACACTTCAGTCGGCCAAAGGACCCAGAAATAAAAGGTTACCCTTCAGGGTCATGACTAAACATGGACGAAAAAGGGAACCACAACAAAAGGTCTTTGAACAACTGAGCCACCATGTTGCTTGCTGGTGCTCAGCAGGAATGAGACATGGAACGAGCCTATAAGCCATGCAACTGATGGTTTTCCTTTAACCCCACTTGGTTGCTTTCTGCTCCCCTGCTAAAAGTTAAACTTTTAGTGGTTTAATGGAAAACCCCATTAATTGGCAAAAAGTTAAAGTCCTAACATCCAAGCAAAATGCAACAAAGCCCAAGTTCCTTCCCTCCTTCCCTGAGCACCAGCAACGTTGTGGGCCTAGAAGAAACACTGCCACAACTCATGTTCGATCCCGAGCGTCACCCAGGGCCCTGGCTTGGTGACGTAGACGTCCACGCTGCCGTACTTCTTCGCGGCCTCGGCCTCTGCCGGGACATGAGCTCATGGCCTAAGGTTTCAGGAATATGACAAGGGAAACCAAAAGGAATAGGTAGAATATATCCACCCATCTTGGTGGAACCTCACAAAATATATCCACCCATTTGCTGGAAACCCCCCCCAAAAAAAACATTTGTGTGGAACCCGTTCTTGGGATATTTTGTCCCACAGCCTTGCTGATCGGGAGCCGATGAGTTGGAAACCCCACAGGCCCCAAGTGGACGGGACCGAGGGCTGCGGAACCTGAATGGCCTCTTGTGGCGTCAAAGGCTTCCTGTTCCAAAGTTGGACAAACGACCGAACAAGCGGGGATACGGAGGCGGGGGGTTTGGAATCGGATTCCAACTTGGCGCCATTTCCCATATCAAACTTCGTCGTGAAGGGGTACCACACTTTGCCTCTCCTCCGATCCATGGCCCACGAGGGCGCCGTGGATGACGCCACCAGTCGAACAGGGATCTTGGGTACGGGTGTGGGCATCGTGTTTGCACGCGTTGAACCAATCGCCAACGTAGCTAAGCCAGGGAAGCCTGAAGGAAGGGTCCTCCATTTGTCATTTTCTCTGAAATCAAACTATCTCACTCAGTTGACTGGAGGAGAGAGGCGGGGTTGTTTACCCCGATTTGCTTAAGCCCCCGGGGGAGAAAAAAAAAATATTTCCAGTAGTGATAGATTCCCTTTAAAGCCAAAAGGGGAAAATCAATCATATTCTTAAGCAAATGGAAGTTTATCCCACTAACATGGACAATAGGCTTCCAGGGGCGTCCGTGGTGGCTCTAATGGAAGGAGGAAACCTCCAAAACCACCTTCTTTACAAGAGTGTGGCTCAACATCAGCAGGTACAGGTGTATTTGTTCTGGCTATCAGAAGCCACTCTCCTTTAGCTGGTGATTGGACACCTCCGTTTTGCCTACTTGGGTAAATGGTCATTCCCTGTTCGCTCGCCCGTCCCTTAAACCTCGGTTGCGAAACCTGCTCCCCTGCTCAAAGTTTAACTTTAGCAAAACCCATTAGTTTGCAAAAAGTTAAAGTCCTAACATCCAAGCAAAATGCACCAAAGAAACCCAGCGAGTAAAGTGAGTTCAGTGATTCAGTGGCTGCAGTTTGGGGGTGATCAGTTGCGCCCAGTCCCATCCGCATCCTCTGTGAGGCCGCATGACCCGCAGGGCGGCTGGCTAAAGACCGCGCCTCGGTGTTCGCAAAAAACGCATTAAAAGGCCGGGCAAAACATCTAAAAAAAAAACGGCACAACGGACACCAACCAAATAATGTGGGAAGGTGGCTTCAATAGTTCATGGACCTACATGTTGACCTCTTATCCCTGAGCTTTTTTCCGGGTTGCTTCCCTTTAAGACCACTCCAAAAAGGTATCCTCAAAACAGACAAACGCACCAACCAAACAAACATGAATGTACGCTCGGCTTGGTCCTGAAGCTTTTGCAGGTTGTTGAGTGTTCGGGTGAGAGCCACCATGCCATGTGCCTGCCATGGCCTTCGATGTGCCCAAATCTGGATGACCATCTCCACAAATGCCTGGGGGCTAGCTCTTCATAACGCAAACTCGTTGGGCGGCCAATATTCAGAGTTTACTGGCCCAGATATTCATGCTTCTGTGCTCTCTTGCTCTGACCCTTTCAGTATGACGCTTCATGTCTTGTCCAAGGCTTGTCCAGGAAATGGCCTCCCATCCCATATGACGGAGGAATCCAGCTAAAACCGTCTAAAGGGATGGTCACCCTCCCCCCCGCCCAGCCCCGTCTCATAACCCCCGAAGAGGGCAGCGCTGGGCACGTTCTCATAGTCCGGCTGGGCTTCCCCCTGCCCCCGCGGGCAAGGAAACCGCGTCTTCGGCTTCAAAACCAACCCACCCGGACCCTTGGGCCTCCCAAGACCCTTGCCTCCCAAAGGTTCTGAAAGAGGCGTGGACCCTTATGAGCGGCCAACTTAACTAACTAATCCTGCGGGGGGGGGGGGGGGTTAGGCTCCGCGGTGCTCCACCAATAGCCAACGTCTCTCTGCTTTCTGCTCCCCTGCTAAGAATGTTCAACTGTTCGTGGTTTAATACGAAAGCACCAATTCGTTGGCAAAAAGTTAAAGTGCTCACATCCGTTGGTAAAAAATGCACCTCTGGAGTCTGAGGCACCCGGCATTAAACAAGGGAATAAACAGCAACAACAAAATCAAAACAAAACCGATCTATATATATATATGTATATTATATATATATATATATAATAACAACACCCCCCCCCCCCAAAGAAAAAAAAAAGGGGCCTCGCCGAACATGGTCTTGGCCATCGCCATGCCCTCCATGAGCGCCACCGGCGTCAAGGCGATGCGCTCGGTGACATCCTCAGGCGGCGCCAGCGGCGCCCGCGGCTCGAGGCATCTTGGACAGGCTTGACGTTGGAAGGGGAGCAAAAAAATGCAAATGTTAGGAAAAAAACATGGATCCTTACAGTGAATACACCTGAACATTGCAACTTGTAAATGGTGGTTTCCTGTATTTGTGTGGAAAAAGCCATGTTTCAAATGGGCAAAATGTGGATCTTTTAAGGAGTCCTGAAAAATGTGCAATGTTTAACAGATAAATGGGGATTTCCCCTAAATGAGTCCCACATGTTCAGTGATTTTATGTTAATTTACCACATTTAAACGTTTGTAGCAAAAAATCTAGTGGGGACTTCAAGCACTAAGCCATGGAGGGGGCTGGGGGTTCCCCACTTCCATGTATCAAGCGTCTTGCCCGTAAAAGGGAAATGGAACCATCAATGGAATTCCAGAGATCACCCCCCTTTGGTAATTCCAGAATTCTTATTGCGAGAAACGCACACTTTGTTGCCCCTAATTAATGTTGACCCCGGATGAAGTGTTTACTAAGATGCGGGTATTCCCTCTGCAAAAGTGGTCTAAATCCCCACTAAATCAAGGGACACCCCCAAACAAATAAACAAGACCTTATTGATCCGGGGTCAACATTGCGGATAGTCTGGGAACAGCGACGACTCATGTAGGGCGGCCGCAGCTGTTTCTGGCTGGGACTGTCTCTTACTAGCCTTCATCTTCCCGGGTTTTCGACGTTGGCTCACTTGAATTTGGGCCAAATACAAGGGCATGGGTCAAAATTTAACCACCAGGGGACCGCTGGTTTTAGTGCTTGGTTCCATTTACCAGGGTTCCATTTTGGGGTTACCCTATTTTTGACCCAAAACCCATAAGGAAAACCTGACTCACCCTGGGCAGCCGCGCGCCGATGGCAAAGATGCTCTCCACGTTGGTCCGGCTGTACTCGTCCACCAGGATCTGGCGCAAGCGCCCGGCGCCCGGCCGGCGCAAGCGCCAGACCGGCGTCGGAATTCGTTGGACACAACTCTGTTCCAACTGGGATACAAAAAATGCCTACCAAACCCAAGCCAGCCAGGAAACAACAGGTTCTTTGGCTGAGTTGCCTTCACCCATAACGAGTAGAACTCCACCGCCTACTAACTCACGCGCGTGAAATCTGGACCGCGTCTCGCTGGACCCGTCGCCCGCCTTCCCGCTCTTTGGGTCCGTCTTCACCCCTGCCTCCTCAAGGCCTAACTCCTAGGCGCGGAGGTATGATCTAAGATGGGGTCCACCACCTCCAAACAACCCCCTGGGTAGATTGCGGTATATACCCTTTATGCTAATATATATATATATATATACATATATATATATATATACATATATATATATATACATATATATATATGTGTGTGTGTGTGTGCGTATGTGTATATATATATACTAAAGCGGCAACACTTGGCAACATAATGGCTTGGGGGTGGTGGTTTTGGGGATAGTGGAAACCATCTTCGAAGGGAGAAGCCGCGCGAGCCCCGGCTGTCCTGGCTATTGGGTTTCCGGCCCGTGGCAAACATCACCTCAGACGCAGGCCAAGGTCAAAAGATCTACGTGCGTGTGGACAAAAACACGACATTCTCACTTGGCTAGTGACCAGCCCAAAAACAGTGTACACTTTTTGGGCCACCACAAAAAAAAGGGAGAGCCACCAAGAAAAAAACGTGTAAAGTGTGTCCTCTGGCCAGGTGAGTATTGGACGGTCCAACCTTCAAAAAGACACACGCCAGTCGAATTTGCCACTCAAATAACCTCAAAATGTCTCAAACCATAGGCCTGGGGATTGAGAGATTTGTTTCCACTTGAACCATATGCCCTCCGGTGGATGCCGCAGCCTGCCGTGTTTATCGTACTTGACCCTGGATTTGGTGGTGCGACATGGTGCGACTGGCAATGTGGGCAACTCTTGGCCATTTCTCCTTGAAGCAACATTTGTCGGGCCGCGTAAATTTCGACCCTAAAGTTGACTGCCTGCTGGTTGAACTCCAGAACGGAGAGAGGGCATTAGATAAACACTGTTTGGGTGGGAGACATTTGGGTTCTCTTTTTCCCCTGCGTCGCTTCCATCTTCCGTCCACCCAACCCCAAGACTGGGTGGCTCGTTTGTGGAGTTTGAATCCTTCTTGGTGGTTGTAAAGGACACTAAAGGGAACCTCTCCAGTTTGGGGGTCCATCAAAGGGAAAATGCCACAATTTTGGGGGGCCGGGTCCCCTGAAAAAGAAACAATTAGAATAAGATTATGGAAGCCTAATTTAGGGTGGGTTGCTGACCAATAGAATGCCCCATGGCTGATCGTTGACCTCATATACCCCTAACACAAACCCAAAACCTCACAAAGGCTTCCATATTTTTACAGCTAAACACCTCACAAACGCACCTCCCGGCACCCGCCATCCCGGCGCGAAAAGAGTCTTTCTCCGCGCGGGCGGCCGTGTCTCGCGCGGCCGTTTCTCGACCGCCGAGGGCGACGCAGGCGACACGGGGCGCCACTTCTCGTCTCTTTGCTCCACCAGGTTCAGGTTCTCGCCTGCTCTGGACCAAAAAAACAGAAAGGAAGAAGGGCATCGACAGTGTGTGTGTGTGTGTGTGTGTGTGTGTGTGTGTGTGTGTGTGTGTGTGTGTGTGTGTGTGTGTGTGTGTGTGTGTGTGTGTGTGTGTGTGTGTGTGTGTGTGTGTGTGTGTGTGTGTGTGTGTGTGTGTGTGTGTGTGTGTGTGTGTTTGTGTGTGCGCTTTTGGATTCGGACATTCGGCTTTCCTCTTGGTGGACCCCCGAAATGGCTTCGGTTTCCGTTTGGCTTCCCTTCAAAACCACAAACAATGGGCTGCCAACTCCAAAACGACGAGCGAATGAACCTGGGGCTTACAACCCTGTCGCCTGCTTCCTTCCCTACTGAGAACCACTGAGAACCGTTGTGGCTTGCCAGTATTTTTCTCATTTGTTTAAACCAACCTGTTCTTTAGGCCCAGGCTAAGAAACACCAAAAGGCGGCTCAGGGAAAACCACCGCAAGGCAAACTGTTCAAAGAAACCCCCTGGCCCCCAAATCGCTTTCAAATGGGCACCAATAAAAAAAGAGCCCCAATCATGGTCTCACTAAATCAATAATCCCCTGATGGTTCGAAAAGTGGGGGGCATCTTCTTGTGGTGATTAAATGGTCAATTTAGGCACTGGGCACCCCCGATTAAACTAGAAACTCATCATAACAACTCAGTTGCCCCTTAGGGACCTAAAAATACAAGGTTAACCTTTTGTGGGACCTTTTTTGGGACCTTTACTAAAGCCTCAGATGCCCATGGGGAAAAAAAGGGTCATCCTTTGTTTTGTTGGTTGACTTTAAAGGGGAACTGTTGGAAAAAAGAAAAGAAAAACGGAAGCAACCCACTGGGCAACTGGGTTACTAAGTGGGAACCCTAAGGTTCTCCAGTAGAGAGGTTAGAATAAGGGTGCCATTTTTTTCCGTAGTCTATTTTAGTAGGGGAACCTTCCCAACCAAAAAGGGGGTCAAAAAGGGCACCCAGCTGGGGGACTTATATAGTTTGCTAAACAAACCAAAATGGGAAAACCAAAAGCTCAAATCCGGTCGGATTTTCGCTTTGGTTGCAACTGAGGAAAGCCGAGCGGCACTTCTCCAGGCCCAGCTCCAAGGCCAACCTAAGCGAAAGAAACGATCCCACCAAGCCCCGGGTCCGCACGGATTTGAGTCCTGATCAACCAAAGATGTGAAATTTCCATGTCAAGACCTGAGGGAAGAATTGGACCCCCAAGTAAAGGAAAGCCGCGCTCTAGCGGAGCCATATTCCAAGCCTCCCTTTGCAAATGCCCCCGCCCCTGAGAAAAAAGAAACATAGCTTTGCCATAGATTCCCTTTCAAACTCGAGAATCAACCATCTTCACTTCAACACAGGGATTCCGTGCCCCTTTCAACCCAGTTGCAGTTTTTTTCCCCCACACACACCAACAGAATTATATGGCAACTCAGGGAAGAAACAAAAAAAGGCAGACCCCAACCTCACCCTGAGACGGACATCCCAACTGCCCCCGACCGCTCCCGACGCGTCGAGGTGCTCTCGTGACACCACAGGCGGCTCGGAGAGCCCGAAACCCAACATCAGCTCCGAGGCGGTGTCCACCTTCGGAGAGAAAAGGGTTTAGAATGGGGGGATGAAGGTCAACTGAACGTTCGATCTTTGGTTCCAATAATTCATATCAGTCGAATAGTCGAATCGGTTTCCTTGATTTTTCTTGTTTGTCTTTGTGAGATCTGCGACCTTTGGGAGCTTTATCTCCCTAAAGGTTTATGATAGGTTTTCGAGAGTCTCCGTGAAACTGGGTAGCAGAACGAGGTTTTGGGCTTTCTCTTGTGTGTTGGTGCGGGGGTTCACCTGCTGATGGTTGCGAAATCCTGCTCTCGCACCACGAAAGGAAGCAGTGGTGAAACCATAAGGTTGGTTGGCACTTACAGGTCATCATTCAAGGTTTCTTAGGTGGTTCTCGCACCGCAGAAGAAAGCGATGGTTGAAACCCTGCCATAAGGTTGGCAGGCACTTACGTTGTGGAACCGAACAATTCCGTTGGGTTTCTGAACAGTGGTGCAAACGGATTTCGTCCATACGCAGTACTTTTGGTCTGGGTTCCTACATGGAACCAAGCCCTCACTTCCGTGGATTGGCCAACAAAACGTCTGTATCAGACTTCTCCATTCCCTAGGCTCTAAACCCAAAAAGATCAAGTCCAGGAACTCAGAAGTGAGAGCCGACCTCAGGACCCGCGCCCAGCTCAGGAGCGCCACTTGCGCGCGCAATTCCTCTTGGGCTTTAGGCCCCGCGCCACCAGCTCGGGATGCATGCCCGGCTGCGAGCTCCTCATCTGCGATGGCCCTTACCCTGCCCAAAGGGCCTGAAAATAGAAGGTCAAAATTTTGGGGCCATGACTAAAACCAGACCAAGCCCGGAAAACTAAAAGATCAAAAGGTCGCACCCAAAGGCCCCCGTTCCCAGAGCCCAAGACTTGGGCCCTGAGATGCCCTGAGATTGATACTTTGTGCCATCAGATTCTCGTTGGTCATTCAAGACAGGATCATACGCACCAAATTCCCAAACCACTGCACCAATCCAAACCACTAGTTAAGGGTTACCTGATTAACTAGGTCCTCAAGTGGAGAGGATAGAATAAGTTGGTGCCCACTGTTTTTCTTTTCTATTTGAGTAGGGGAACCCTCCCCCAAAAAAAAAGGACACGGTAAAACGGTAGCTGGCTGCGGGAAGTTGTGGTTGCCATGGGATTCCCGCCCGTGGGTCATCGACGGATGCACCAAAGAGACCGACTCGCTGGCCGCGCTCAGTTCCCGGAAGCTCAAGCAGACTCGTTGTGAGATGCTACTTTGCTTTTGGGAACGTCCCCCCCTGTCTTCTTCCATGATTTTACCGTATGGTAGACAAGCTCAATGGGCTGGAGGAAGTGTTTTATCTAGCCTCTACAAGAACCAGGGGTTTCAAATTCCCAAACCACTGCACCCATCCAAGCCACCAGTTAAGGGTTACCTGATTAAACCGGCTACCAAAAAAAAAAAAACGGCCGCCATCAAGAACGCACACCCATGTTTCCATCCGCTTTTCGGCGCGTTCCCCCTTTTTTTCGGGGCGCTCCGAGTGCTTCCGAGTGCCGAAAGCACGATCCGAATTCGGATTTCGGATCGAGCGGCAGGTGCTTCAGCAGGGACGCGAAGGCGGCCGCAGCGAAGAGCGGCAGGCCCTTGGCCTCGGCAAAAACCGGGCGCCAAGTGAAGGTGAAACCTGTGGAGCTGCGTTTTCAAGGTGCTTCTAGGTGTCCTTGTTTTGTTCTTTTGTTTGTTGGTTCGTGCTTATTTTACCACATGGAGTAGATACTTATATACATGTATATATATATACATACATGAATATATAGAATATATATTTATGTTTTTTAATGGTAGGAAGAGCAAGCTGTTCGGAGGTGCTCAAGGGATGCGAAAAGGAGACCCTTGCCATTCAAGGACTCCATGAGTTTGTCTCAAAGAGGGCCCCGGGCCGCGTTTGGGCGTCTCTTGTTTTGAGGTTTTCACTTTTTTGGGCGTCGGTTTAGTTTGGCAAACGAAGAGGAAACCAATCAGTTTGAGGGTGCCCTCATTTTAAGGCAAACCCATACTTTTTGAGGGACCCCTTAAAAAATGGCTAACTTCCTCTTGGTTTACCCCCAAGCCGACCCCAAAAAAGGTTCCTGCCAAAATAATAAGGCACGCCCGTACTGTATGGGTACTCATGGTTCCAGCTCTGTGGCAGTTTTGGAGGATCACCGGGAAGGGCCGATTTAACGTCGAGCTTGCTTGTGATGCTTCTCAGGTTGGACAAGGAGCCTTGAGCCACTTTTCCGGCGGGCGTTGGCTTTCTTGAGGCTGGCGTTGGACTGCTCAAACCCAGAGAATTGGAATCACACAGTGCTCCCTCTTCAGGTTGACCACCCTTTCAAATAGGAAGCGAAGGGGAAAGCAAGAGGAAGCCTGCGAGAACAAAACCAGACAAATTGGTAAAGCCTATTCGGTTGTCACAGAACTGCTGCCACAAACACGACTCCCAAACACTTTCCACCCAAACAAACTTGCCCAAACCCACCAAGCCAGTTTCGGTCGATTGTTGTCCTCCCCAATGGTTTGTGGGCGATCCGTCAATTTTTGTTTAAGCCCTGTGTTATACACCCCCTTCTCCTACAGCGACTTTTGGAAAGTTGGCGTCCATCTGACCCGACCCAAAACAAAACAAAGGTTGCAAAAAGCCGCAACCCCCCCCCCCCCCAAACTTCCCGAGTGGGGATTGGCCAACAAAAATCCCAAACTTGTTTTTGCCCCAAACAAGGAACTCAGGAGTGAGCTTCTCCGTGAAACTTCCACCCACCGCAGGCCACCCAGGGCGCGTACTCGCTCCGAGTGCGCGGCCCAGCGCGCGGAGGAGAGCGCATCTGCCGTGTGCAGGCCTTCGTCGTTGAGCAGCGCCGGGCCCATGGGCGCCCTGCGAGCGAGCTACTGTGGATGGACGCACATCCTGCAGCACCTAAGGGCCCCCTGGAACGATTTGACGCCACTGTGCATAACAACCAACCCGTTTTTTTTGCCCATCCGCAGTATGGAGCTGATACGGGTGTTTGATCGTTTTTAAGGGCACCTTGAGCCCCCAAAATGGTGGCTTCCTTTTGGTTTAAAGAGTACCCTGAACAAAAACACAGCCATACAAGGGGGACCTGGTGCAGTACAAGCTTGCATTGGTGGTATATACACATCCACACCTCCAAAAGCCACACCCGCAAATGCTCAAGAAGCCACGCCATTGTGCAAATCGTTTTGGGGTGGTATGGGTTCCCAAAAAGCCAGGACCAAAGGACCCACAAATAAAAGGTTGTCTAGGTCCTCCAGTGGTTAGAATAAGGGTGCCCTTTCTTCTGTAGTCTATTTTAGTAGGGGGAACCCTCCCCCGCAAAAGGGGAGAGAAGGGCACTGCTGGGGGACCTAGTTATCCTTTTGGGGCCAGAAACTTTTTTGAGGTACCTGTTTAGAGGTTGGTTGTGAAGGGAAGCCTGTGGGGAGACCACCCATCTTTGGGGTTGCCCTATTTTGAGACTGAAGCAAAAAGGTCATTTCAGGTCGATTCCATCTCTCACTCTAGGCCAGTGAGAGATGGAAGCCAGAAAGATGTCCCCGAACTTTTGGGTAGCGATCCGGGGCAGATTCATCCGCCACGCCTTGACACCGGCAGGTCTGCAATCTCGGGCATGAACCTGGGCTGGCCACCGTCAGACCCCGCGAAACGAAACTTCAAATTCAACCCATGGAATCAATGTTGTCCTCCCCAATGGTTTGTGGGGGGGCCCTTGGCCCCTCAAGGAATGCATCGCAGAACCAGCCGACGCCCGACGGGATCCTCTAAATCAGCTGACATTTGGCTGTGGCTCAAAAAACCGGAATCCCAAAACGGGTTGCCCTGGGAAGTGGAAACATGGACCAAAACCTGCGTCTTGCCCCCCTTCTGCTTAATTTTGAGCCACACCCAAATCAATTCATGGAATGAGTAACCTTAAAACCGAAGTCCTCCAATTCCCGCAACATCATGGGAATTGAAGGACCTCCCCTTGCTTGCCCACGTGAAACTGATGCCAAAGCGGCCACACACCCCTTTTGCGAAACCATGCTTTGTTTTTGTTTGGAAGAGGGGGGAGTTCTAGCTTGCGGATCCTCCTGCAACTCAACCCTCTCAATGGTGAACAATTGGCAATTCAACATCAGGTCGAAAAGAAACAACCTTCCGTGAGAAATTACAAACACGATGTGGGAACCCACCTGGAAACTCCTGCACAGGAAGCCACAATCACTTCGCGGTCATTCCACCCTCCCTGGCCCCTTGGCTCGAGAATGACTGACTTTTGATCGAGAGGACTGGCCAAAACAAGTCACGTTTACCACGTTTACCACTCAAATGGTCCAAACTCCAAAAAGTGACCCAAGGTCCGAAACGGAATGCGGGACGTGAGCTAAACATGAACAGAACCGCACAAAGGCAAGCAACTAAGAACACCAAGTCTGGACGGGGCGCTATGCTTCACCAAACATCTGCAGCATTTCGCCCTAGAGAATCGCTTGAGTGGTCTAGTCTATAAGGGACGCATGTCGCATGCCAACAGTGACGGAATCTATCGCCAGGTCAACTCCACCAGTCGAGGCAACAAGGGTGTGTCTTAAAATAGGGGACCCCCCCCCAAAAAAAAAAGTTTTCCTTTGCTCCACCAAACCGGTCCTCCCCAAAAGTGACTAAAGTCCAGCTCAGGAAGTGAGCCTGTGGTTTCCTTTTCACCGAGCCGGGGGGGGGGAAACTACAAAAAAAAAAAAACAAACAAAAAAGCAACTGAGCACTCAGGGCGACCTCCAACAAACGACCCACGACGCATTGTTTCCCCAGGTCGATCACCACCGAGGTGCGGCTCCTCCTCCCGGTCCAGCAGCAGCAGGAAGGCTCGGCCCTCCTGGGAAGGGAAGCTGCTTGATCTCGCCCTCAGGAAAAAACGACACACCAGGGAACATCAAGCGTTCTTGGTGTGATTTGCTCTTTCGCCGCCTTGGACAAAAAGGAGAACATATTTATTTCCCGCGGTGAAATCGGTTCCCTGGAAACCAAACAACTGGAAAATAGAGACGCGTTCTTACGCAAATGGAAGACACCTGCTGCGGCGCTTTGTTTGAGGGTACCCCCCCTTTTTACGGCTTTGAAGGGAAGCCAACAGGAAACCCACCATGGTTGCTCACAACCTAGAAATCAAAGGCTTGCCCGGGATGGAAACCCCGACAACGGGACAAAAACCACATACCAAACACCCCGACAACTGGACCAAAACCACATGGCCGTGGCTCAAAAACCCGGAATCCCAAAATGGGTTGCCCTGTGGACACCTGGACCAAAACCTGCGGCTTGCCCCTCCGATCGTTTAATTTTGAGCCACATACCAGGTTTCAACCATCTCCTTTTGCCTTCCCGGGCCAAAGGATCCTTCTATACAAATGAGGTGCCCCTTGGTTCCCCGGCGGCCAGGGCATGGCTTACTTACCCCTAACTCCAAGCAACCTGGGGAAGTTCTCATCTTTTACAGACAGATTTCGCCCATGCTACCCCCAAAAAGTTGAGAAAAGTTTTGTGTTTTTAAGAGGAAAGTTTACAATGACTTGGGAAAACGTTGCCCCCTGGCTGTATCAATTGGCTCCCGGCCTCCAGAATCTATAGCCAAAAGCCCTGACACCAATTTGTAACAAGGTTCCGCAAGCGAACCGAATCCCTGCTTATCGAAACCTGCCCGACCCTTGGTACGGTAGAAAAAGAACACTGTTTGTTTTTGGCAGCCTCAGCCCCCTACCAAATGCGAACAGAAAAAAAGATGGCATAAAGACCTAGCATCACGTGAACAACAGTGAAACCACAATCTTCCAAACGAGCTGAACGCCCCGACCCCCAACCCCCGAAGCGATCCTTTGGCCACCCGGTCCTTGCCGCCCCGCGCCGTGCGCCCCACCCGGTGGATGTACTGCTGGCGGCTAATGGGCGCCATAACCTGAAGCACCAAGGTGACCTCAGAGGCACAGGAGTTGCCGCAGGGCGCGGGTGGCTTGTGCGTGTGCGTGTGGGTGTGTGGGTGCGGGTGTGTGTGGCCAGTTTCTGGTATGGGTTTTGGAGCTCAGGTTGTATACCACGTTTTGAAGGGGTATATGACCGGTACATACTGCATGTCAAGCGAATATATGCGAATAGTGGTGGTAGATACGCATCCATACCTCCAAAACACAAGCCTGAACATGCACTCGATGTGTGCTTGTGTGGTGCTTTGTGCGTTCTGGTGGTTGTTTGATAGTTTTGATTGGGGCGTTCCCCTCAATAGTGATGATTCCCCACTAAACCCAGGCACACACCCCTTGAGGTTTTGAGGGGAGAGCCAATGGCTTAGTGGGCCAAAAAAGTAGCGCAACTGTTTGTCTGCCACTAAAACGGTCCAAACCCAAAAAGTGAACAAGGTCCATTCGAACTCAGGCTACCATGTCTTTAAATTTGCTCCGAAAGGCCCCCTCTGTAAAAGCACGTTTGGATAATGACGCCCTGGCTCCGTACGGCTCCCTTCCAACCACCAGCCAGCAACAACAATCCTTTCAGCTGGAGCTTCCTCCAGGACACACACCAAAATCAAGGCTGGAGTGAGTCGTAGCCTAACACGACGCGACAAATCCGCGGCAGCGCCAGGAACATTCTCCGGCTGAGGGGCGTTGGGGTAGTCCAAGCCCCGTTCCGAGGCCATGGAAGTGAAGAGCACCCCGCACGAAGCCTCGAAGAACTCCTGCGGAAAACCCCGCGGAAGTTGAGTCCAGCTTGCATTTGCTAAAGCCCCCCAGAAAGAAATAAAATGCTCGATTCCCTTTAAAACCAACAAGGGAAAATTAAAACCAAATCCAGAGCAAATGGAAGGAACTCAATCTTTTGACGGTTTCTGGGGGTTGTCAAATTCAGAAACTGGTTGGTGGCTTCCCCTCAACCTACCATTTAGGGGGTGAAATGGATAATGGCAAATCAGCAGGCTTTTAGTTTTGGGGATTTCATGCAACCCTTCCTACCGCCCAAAGGGCACACCACCCCTCCAAACACGCCTCCAAAACTGATCGATTTAGTCTTTCACAAGGGGGTGTGTTGGGGGGGGGTTGAGGGTTAGTCCGCCCCAAGCAACAAGCAGTCCCCTTTCAAAAAAAAACTGGTCGTCGGTCGGTCAGTCTAACCTGGCATCATCCAGGGTCAGTCGGGTGAGGGCCTTAAGATACGTGCAGGTTCCCTCCAACTGGTGTAGCCTCACCGCCTCCCTCCACCTCTACCACCTGCACCTAAACTATGCGAACTCCAAACCCACCTCCAGGGCAACAAATCACTGAACCCCCCCATATTCCAAGTGCGAAGTCGCATACCAACTTCTCGGGTGAATCAATCTGACCCAAGTTGTCGAGGCCTCTCTCGACGGACCCGAATGGGTAATTATGCCGGTAGCCCGTCTCCTCAGTGGGTCACCCAGTTACAGGCTTGAGGGAAACACCGACTTCCACCAGAGGCCATCAGCCAAACCTGCCCCAACCTGTGAACATGAACACGCTTTCTGCGCGCGATGCTGTGCGCCGCCAAAAGAGAAAGGCACTCGATGCGGCGCAGCGGCCCGAACCGTTCGCGTGGATGAGAGGCCCGTCCTGCTGCGCGAGGATGCGCGCAGACTCACTGCAGCGCCCGTGCAGCTCGTGGAGCCTGACATCCAGTTGCAAGAGACCGACTTGAGTGGCTTGACCAAACAAAAGTCCACCAAACTCACAGCTTGCTTGGCAGGATCGAACGGCATTTGGCCAGTTTGGTGGGGAGCTCAGTACACAAAGAAACCCAAGAAATCTGATTGTTTACTGCTATTAAACTGGTGCTTCCAAGTATAGAGTCCATAGACTGAGGAAGGGAGTATGAAACCGTCTGCATGAATGACGAACTTTGTTGGCGAAGCGGAATCCTCGCAGATCCCATCCACAAACAATCTGGATGGACTAGAACAAGTCACTCATCAAAAATCAGGGTACCTTTTGAACAAAATCTTCGTGCGCGAGCTCCTGCTTCACCAAAAATTGCCCAATGTGGTACGTCCCATGGTGTACAACCCCCGACAGCCTGCAAGCCCAACAGAAAGCGCCACAGTTGCTTCTGCAAGTGCTAAGCAAGCAAACCCACAAGTTGTTGGCTCGCAACTTGTCCTCTACAATCTGTTGGACATGCTACCCCCAAACCTAGCCCCAAAACAAACGAGAAATATACGTACCCTTTGCCTTTGTAGTGGTTGGATAGTTGTATATCTAATCCCCTGGAATAGTTTGGGGATGGTGCCAGCTCCGATATGTTGTTCGTTTTTCCAAGTAGGGTCCCCTAATGCTAGGCACCACCGTTCAGAAACCCTGGAATGATTCGATTGCTCAGCGTAAATACCATCCAAACATGGTTTCAACTTGAAGGTTACCGAGTGGATTTCGCAACCATCCACAGTTACTGTGTCAGAGCATGAGAAATGCATTATTTAGCATTGGGAAAAACACACACCTCAACTAACCTCAAACAAATACTTCCCTTGCTAGGCTCTAGGCCCCGAATACGCCTAGAAAAATGAGTGATCAGGGAACCCTTGGTGGCTTGGTGGTTTGGATTTTCTCCGCCTGGTTCTTGTGGAGCCACCAAGTAGGGTGGCAAAAGACGTGAGCTTCTCCCATTGAAAACTTGCAACTTGGGATTCAAAACCTACCCTCAAGCCTCAATCCCCCAAGGGTCAAAGGAAACAATGTGTGGCCGTCATATGCCTAGAAACACCCCACTCAACTCTATCCTGGATTCCCATTCCCAAGCTGTTCTCCCCAAAGGTATAATCTCCATTTGCCTAAGCCCCCAGAAAAAATGAATATCTTTCCAGTGGTGACAGATTCCCTTTAAAACAAAAACTGGCAACCACAGCTCTCCTTAAGCAACTTGAGGATAAACATATCAAAGCCCACCTCGAAAAATCCCGCGGTCTTGCTCTCCGCATCCGCCAAACCCGGGTGATTCCGGAGCTTCGGAAGACCCGCCGGTTTTCTTCGGGAGCGCGTCCTCATGTTGAGCTGCTCCCGGAAGAGCTTCGCGGCAAAGGCCGCCAGCCGCGCCGTGGGGAAGAAGACGATGACCTGCTCGCAGGTTAAAAAGCTGGGATCCTGTTGCCTCTATAACTTACCCCTTAAAACTCCAAGCAACCTGGGGAAGTTCTCATCTTTTACAGACACGCCCATGTCACCCAAAAAGTTAAGAAAAGTTTTGTGTTTTTAAGAGGTAAGGAATTGGGGTATCTGGGCTATGCCCCGCTCAAAGAGACGAACTGTTCGGTTCAATGGAAACTACCACTAAGCGCTAAAGGGCTAAAAAGCTCAGGGGACGGCTGGGAGCCATCAAGGTATGTGAGGGGTATGGTAACAGGGGCGTATTGAATGTTGAAAGTGCTTGGAGGTTCGTTGCCAAGTAAGTTGGGTGCATTTGGCGAGTTGGGCATCCTTTCCGGAGTTTTGCAAACCAAAAGGAAAACAAAAGGGCTGTTGGGGATACCACCTGGCCTTATTTGTTTTTATGCCATACGAATATTTGGGCGCGCTTGGGTGTTCGGCCAAGCTAGTAAGTTGTTGGTAGCACTCGGTGGTCCCCCGTTCAGTAGAGCAACCCTCGTATTAGTGGGTTATCATGGATCTTGTTGCCAAGTCAGTAAGTTGCTAACCACTCCTGGCTTGTAAGCCCCCGTTCAGTGGAGTTAAGCCTTTAAAAATAACCCAGGTAGCTAAGCAGCTACTAACTTGGCCGAACATCCAAGAGCATTTGGCTAGTGTGAGGGTTTCCTTTCCGGGGTTTGAAAACCAATAGGAAACCCCACGCATACCCCAGCCAGTGGCTATGGCAGAAGGGACGTTGTGGAGACACCAAGGAGAGTGCCGCTGAACATCTGTGGTTCTTACTTGGATGTTCGGCCAATTTGGTAAGCCCACCGGGTTGTAACCCCAAGAGCAGGGTTCATTTCACTGACCGGACTTATAAAGAGGATTACCACCCAGGCTAGCAACAGCTTACTAACTTGGCCGACCACCCAAGTACGTTGCCATGGAAACCACCAAGAGGTCCATTGCAATCGGCCAGGTCCCATAAAGCGGATTCGTATGCGACCGGGCGTTCCCTAACAGTATATAAACTAGCTGTTTTGCTGCCAACGAGTAAACAGTGGCAAACTTCCACAAGAAGCCTGGGTTACGCCCGCTTGAACGCGCCCTTCATGCCGCATGATGTCGGCCTCAGTGACTAACCCGCCCTCGTCTTGATCAGGGGCTCCTCTCTGAAAGCACCAAACGGCCATCTCTAGCCACGTGGCCTAGAGCAACCCCAAACCCACCCACGTGCACCTCAACTTCTGGAAAAGTTCCCACCGGAATTCCAAACCTGAAGTAAGACAATTGGATCGGCCTTCATGACTTACCTATCAATTGGTGTCCAGGGCATACTCACGACCAGAATCTTGGGATCTTGAACATCAACCGACTTGAACAAAACATAATATCTATAAGATGGAGTCCCTTCCCCCAAGCCATCTGGCCGAAACAGGTCATGGAAGGTACCCTTCCTCCCACCAACATAGCTTTTGTGGGAGGGTACCTGGAAGATCAGAGCTCCTCTTTAAAGGACCCTCTGTCAGGGCAACGTGGGAGGGATTCTAATTGCTTCAGAGATCTTTCGTCCGCTGCCTTGTGAGTGATGGGCTCTTTGCGGATCTCCTCGTCCAGGATGTTCCTGCTGCACCGCGACTTTTTGCATTTGAGAGCTTGGCTGTTGGCGACCCATCTGCAACAGTGAATATACTTGTTTGTGGGTTCAAGGGAAAACCTTCTTGATTTCAACCAAACAGTTACGTTCGACAGATCCAACCCAATAGCAATCAAGAGAGGGGAAAGGCAGCAGCATCCATGATGAATCCCGCAGACCCATTGGCACATCAAGAAACACAGAAAAGATGACAACGAAGGAAAACCGATTTCGGGCCTAAGGCAAAGAGGAGGCCTCTCTGTGGTAATAGATTGGGACCTGGGGATTTGAACCCACGAAAAAAAGAAGAAAAAAAAAAGAAAAAACGGGATGCCCTTCACCCAAAAGAAAAAAACACCACGCAATTTTTGCCTTCTGTTTGCCCCCCCATACCGAAATGGGCAAGCCCGGAAAGCGGCTGGAAGGGGGGTTGGGGAGGGGAATTGAGCACTGGCCCACCTGAAGGGGAAACCCGGCAAAAACCTCAAATTCTGGACAAATGAGGTATACCCGATTTCCCTTTGTGTTCCCCTGGTATACCAAGAAAATACGAAGGAATACCGAGCCATACGAGAAGAATACGACACGGGTTCACATTTCTTCTTCGCTCTTTGCCCCACGCATCTGCCGAGGAAACCTTTGCTTTGGCATGAACAAACACGTTCGCTAGGTTCTTTTCCATTCACCACGCGCCATGCTCAATGCCTTGGACACTTCTGTTGACGGCACCACATGCTGCAACACCAAACACGAACAACCCAAACAAGCATCACTAAGACCACAACGCACCATTGAACTTGAACAAACAGCTGCCACACAAAGCCCAGGGCCGAGCCTTGCAACACCAAGATGAAAACAACAAGGCACCAATACTCTCAGTCCCTCAGGCGCCTGGTAAACTTTGGACCTCTAAAAATGGCAACCCAAACCAGGGAAGCCAAAAGGTCGACAGGTCGACCACAAGAAAAACACAAGGTCAACTACGGTGGCCCACAGGACCCAGCGAAACCCAACGAGGTCCTCGAGCCAGATTTGAGAGGTTAGAATAAGCTCGGTTGCGAAATCTGCTCCCCTGCTAAAAGTTTAACTTTCAGTGGTTTAATGGAAAAAAACATGAGTCGGCAAAAAGTTAAAGTCCTAACATCAAGCAAGATGCACCAAAGTAAGTTGGTACCAACTTTTTTCTGTCTATTTTAGTAGGGGCCAACCCCCTCCCAACCAAAAAAGGGCAAAGGGGAAAATCATCATCTCAAAATTCTCAGGACCTGAGCTTGGCTTGGGCTGACCCGGCCCTCCAAGCTTGCTCCAGAAAGCTTCTAAGAGGCCCTAAGCTTGGTTTTCCAGGGGTGAGAAAGCGCACCTAGCTGGGAGACCTAAGGAACACGGCCCTCTCGCGGCCCCAAAGAAATCGCCTCCCCCTCCCGCCCGCAACGCGGCCGACGCGGCGGAAGGCTCGCGAGAAACGGTCCGCAGGGTCGTGGCCAGCAGCAGCGGAGGAGTGCAGGCGAAGAGCTGCTCCACAGCCTTGGAGCTCACCCCTCTCAGTTAAGTTCAGTGGTGCAGGCTGGGAATGGAATCCACTGTGCAACAGAAAGGGCCTAACCCCAATAAGGTGTTTTCTTCATATAAAAGGGGGATTCCCAACAGTATCACAGAAGTGGTTGGAGAAACCAATTCCGAGTGATCAACCACAACCCTGGGTGCAGGATTCTCAGGTTTTTAGGTGGGAACAGCTGACCCTGAACATTTGGCGGGTACACCAAGTGCTGCTTCCCACCCCTCAGGGTTTAGGTGGTGCAGGATTCTCAGTTCAGTGACTCTTGGACCATTTTTCGTGGGGCAGCCATTAAGAAAGAGGAAAATAATTGGTGCCACTGAACAACTGAGACCTTCCTTAACTGGGCTGTCCTTTTTTTTTTTCGGATCCGCGAAAAAGGTGACTCAAACTTTGAGTGGCTGAACTTCGGAAAATCCAACCACTTCTGAGGGGGGGCTTGCGGGCTCCGGAACCCCAGCCAAACTCACATGGAACCGTTCGACTTTCGGGCGGTCCTGGTTTGGACCATTTTCCCTTTGAAGGGGTCGGGGGCCCCTGTCAGTTCCATGAGAAAAAGGTGGGAGGGTACCCAGTATTCCCCATAGAAGGGAGCATGGAACGCGAGGAAAACGGGCGCATCACGGGGAACTCTTTCCTGCAACCTGCAAACCGGGTTATCTCCAGGTTGGGGGACGCATATGAGTGAATTACACACATCACCCCGAAGACGGGAATCTTACCCCTTAAAACTCCAAGCCCTGGGGAAGTTAATCTTTTACAGACATATAGCCCATGTTACCCAAAAAGTTGAAAAGTTGTGTTTTTAAGAGGTAAGGAATTGGGGGAGGAATGTGCGCCCCCGTGGAGTTCCCTTTCCGGGGCTCGGAAAACTTCCCCGCCTCCTGCGTAGGCACCCCGGTGACCAGATCCAGGCGCCGGTAGCTGGGCCGGCAGAGGCTGGCACACAGGTGGTGCACCTGCCGAATCCCTCCAAAGCGGTGGTTTGACTCGGGGAAAAAAAATCAACCTCCGGTTTCTGTGTGGCTTTCTTTTTTGTTTGACGCTGTGGGGACTTTTAAGTCCATATTACAATCCTGGCTTTAGGGTGTTTGTTGCTGTTGCTTCTGTCATTTTCTTGTTCATTTCTTTTTTTTGTGGGGACTTTTTCCTTTTTACCTGCGGGCGCATCAAGGAACTGTGGGGTCTCCTCCAAAAACGAAAAGAATCTGTTATTTTACCCGTCGGGCACTTCGAGTCTATGTTGCCACCAAATGTTTTGGGGTGTTTGTTGCTCTTTGTGTTCTTTTTTTCGTTTGTATCTGGGGGGGGGTTTTGGCCGCAACCTGCGGCCATACGTGTCCAACGGCCACCGGACTCTCTTAAGGTGGAGGACCTCCTCGGGGATGGTGGCCGATAGCAGCAGGGTCTGCCGCGACGCGCTCTTGGGCAGGAAGCTCAGTAAGGTCTGGAGCAACTCCTGCGGCTCTGGCTATGGGTCAAAACCCAACTTGGTTGACGCTGGAAGGGGAGCAACAAAAATAGTTTTTAGCAGTTAAGTGGGGATTTCCCACTAAACCACAATGCGCAAAAATGTAAATTGTTTCCCAACAACAACCATGCCAAATCGCTTAGCCTTCAGTGAACATCCCAATACTAAAATTGGTTCTAAAATTGGTGGTGCACCTAAATGGTACCATGGTTTTGACCCAGTCTCAGTTGTTCAGTGACCCTGGAGAAAAAAGGGGGGAAGGCCATTTTTAGTGGGGCGGCCACCAAAAACAAAAGGTGAAGAAGGGGTGCCACTGAATAACTGAGCAGTGGAAACCATCTTAGAGCCACTCTTTTTAGGGGCTTCATGGCACTTGTTGGCCTTATTGCTTTGCTTTTACCCTAGGCTTGGTTGCTGTCGGTGTCCGTTGGCTCCTTTTTGGGTGAGCTGGCCACTACTTTTGACCCGTGATCAACAAACCCCCTGAAAGACTGGCCTCTCCCCTATTGCGATTGCGATACGACGGAGCCATTGGCCCGGATGTTGAGCACTTTCAAAGCATCCCGAAAAGGAGGACGCTCAGCATAGCTCGAGAACAAACCTGCCGGGCCAGGTCGAACCCAACCGGCAGAGCCCTATAGCATCCCTGGGCAGCCAGGGAAAGACCAAATGGAACCTGACAGGGGGGTCCTGAACTATGTTCCTTCCGGGCCCCTCTGGTGGGTTCCATGTTAGTGAACGGAGGGGGGACACCGGGTCAGCCAGGGTTGGTTGCCTGGTGGCTTCCCTTGAGGGTCCAGACTCTGATTCTTTGAACGAAAATATGCTCAAAGCCCTTCGGGCAAAGAACCAGTATTCAGCTCGGAAGTTGATTTGGTGGTCAACCCACTTTGTGAGGGTTTTTAGCGATTAGCTGATCTGGAACTGCAATGTTGTGTTGGCTGGGCATGGTAGCATGGTACGACATCATGCTAGACCACTGCAGCCCTGATAAAAGTTTAACTTTCAGTGGCGTACACGTTGAAACTGCCACTAAGCCCTAAAACCGAACACCAAAGTAACCGGGCTGGGAACCACCAAGTTCAGGGGGCCCGACCCTGGTTGGGGTCTAACTCCGCCCCCCCCCCTCCGAAGCCAGGTCTCCAGATTATTGGACGCCAGCAGGGTGTCGCATTCGTCCAGCACCAGCGTGCTCAAGCCCTCGAACAAGGTCTCGAAGCGCAGCGTGGCCTCAGGGAAGCGCCCGGAAGCCACGTGTTGGATGGGTCTGGCATTTGGTTTGTCAAACTACTTGGCTGAAAAATATGGACCCCGGCAAAACATGATATATATATATTTATATATATGTATATATACATATATGTAGATATATGTATATATATTGTTTGTGGAAAACAAAGGAGACCCCAAACAAGCAAAAAATGATCAATGGGGAGCCAATCCTGGGGAAGGATAGATCTGGATTTGGACCGATGTCCGTGGCATTGGATTTGTCCCAACCTGAGAGCACCAAACTCGAGCCAGTTCAGCTCCCAAAACAACAGGCATGGAAGATGTTGGATGGGTATGGCATATGTTGGTTTGTCTCAAATGTAACTTTGGGGTCCTTTTGGTTCCCTGAAAAAACAAAAAACCCAACAAAAGGTACACTTAAAAAAGCAGACCCATTTGCTGAGGTGACCCTTGAATACTTCCGTCAGGGAAATTAAGGGGCGCTATGTCCACCATTGTTGACGAGGCTTCAAACCTAAACCCTAAGTCCTCCCTGGCTTGTCTTTGAGGGCGAAAAAGAAGCAGCCAGTGAGCCACGGTCAATGCATGTAATTTTGGCGTAAGGCCTCTGTGGGAAATTGTGAGTCACATGATGCCCATGCAGAGCGAATATTGGACCCTGCCCCCAGCCACGACTTCCCTGCATATAAACCTGAAACCCCAAGAAACTGCACAGGCATCTGTGTCTTTCTTGCTTTTGTTGTTTTGCGGGCTGTTTGGTGACAGCCACTTTGGCAAATCATTGGAGCCCGCAGGTGAGGAACAGCTAAGTCCAAGTGCTACATCCAAATGACGTGTCAATAGCTGGAGCAGCCCCCTTACACAACTGAGGTGCTATAGGCGCCGATCATGAAAACAAAATAGTAGTTGTCGGGCACCATGAAACCAATAAAAGTTGGGACAGGAGAAAATCTGGTTTAACATGTAAAATGAGAAGAGCATTTGTTTACGTCATGGTAGGACGTTAGTGGGACAGGTTTGGGCCTCCCGCAAAGAGTTAGCTTGTGTTTGCTGGTTGAAAGGGAAAATGAAGGAAAAACAGCCAGGCAAGAAGCTAAACTCCGGCAAACATGACGAAACCTGAAAGGGCCTTTTCCCAGCCAATGGTTGTTCCAAGATTGCTTTTGGGAGGGTAGCCCTGAACCAAACCAGGGCGACCAGGATGGGGCCGACAAATTCGACACCAGGGTCTTGCCTGACTTACAAAACGATCGAGTGGATTGGCTCAAAAAAGCCCTGTGAGAAGGAAACAGAACAAACTCATCATGGAAGTCGCAACCCGCCTGAAACGTGACGTTATGATTTGCCCATTGCCCCTGCCCACCTCACCTCAAATTTAAACAGCAGGCATCGCCTCAAACAGACACAGCCATCCGGGAACCTTCTGTTTGCTGAAGGCTTTGGCAAACTAATTCTCGCAGTAGTGATGCATTCCGCTTCACACCAGGGACATTCAAAGACATTCCTTTTCAGCAAATGGACTTCTTGCTTCATATAAGCCAGGCACATTCTGAATGCAAATGTGAAATTAACAGCTGACGGTTGTCTGAAATCCCTTGTTCCGGTCGCAACCTTTCAGTTCCAAAGTAGCACGCGAAGCGCGCTTCCGCAGCTCCAGCTCACAAGCCGTGCGGCAGCAAACGGGAGGACCCGTTGGGCTCATGTCCGGAAACTAGCGGGGAGGTCCGTCGACTTTCGCGGATCTTACGCCAAACATTCGCGAAAATCCGGCTGGAAAGTTGCACTCAACTTGACCCGAAAGCTTCAAATCTCGCACAAGCTGGTCGGGGAGTGCGCGGCTTGAGGGTTGCCGCAAGAATACGCCGCTGCAAAAGCAATCCCAGCCAGCAGAAACCAACTTTCGTCTGCGGGCATTCTGCGGGCATTCTGCGCGCATGGTTCATCATTGCAGCTTCCTGTTAGCAAGCCACCCTTACACAAAGCTTTCGCGAGCAAACAATTAACTTTCGCGACCCCCTTTGCGAAACTTTCGCGGAGGTCAACGCCAAGACCAAATGGTCTTCCACTTCATAGCTCAATGCAAGGACCTTTCGGACGACTCTTAGCTACCCTTTCGCGAAGGGGGGGGGGGGTCGCGAAAAATAGACATACCCAAATGGAACTTGGATGGTCTGCCCAGTTCGTGGGCAGCTGCCTGGGTTGTAACCCACTAACAGGCGTAACTGAACATTTGGGCTAAGTAGGATCCAACTGTTATAACTCTTATGTTCACCTACCAACTTGGCAACAAACGTCCACGAAAACAAAACCAAACCAACAACACGGACAAACAAACAAAAGCAACCAATAAACCAAACAAACAACAAACACACAGAAACAAACAAGAAAACTAAACCAAACAAGAACACCCGGAAAAGAAAAAAGAAACCAGCCAACCACCAAACCAAAAACAAGGAAAACAAAAAAAGGCCCGAGGCGACCCGACATGAGATCGCCCAATTTCATTCGCCTCGAAGTGCTGTGTGAGCTTGGCCACGGTCCCCACGAGGATTTGGGGCCTCCGGCGCCGGATCAAGGTCTCGTCCTGAGTCGACGGCGGGGGCGGGGGGGGTGAGGGGCTAGGTCCGCCAGTGGAGAGGCTAGAATACGGGTACCAACTTTTCTCTGCAGTCTATTTTAGTAGGGGAACCCTCTCACAAAAAATGCAAAAGGGCACCACTGGGGGAACCTTGGGGGGGTGCTGGAGGGGGGGGAGGATGCTGGGGGTGCTGGAGCCAAGGGATGGATCGATCTTTGGGGCCCAAAAATTGGATGGATGGATTCTTGGGTCTGGCTCTTGGGGCACAAAATTTGGGGAGACCAAAAGGAACCAACCATTCTGGGGTCTAATAGGGAAACCGTGGGTTCGAGAAACCCAACAGGCGGTTCTTGAGCCGAAAGAAACCCCCGTTGTAGTGGCGTTTGGCTTTAGGGAAAGTCAAAGGTAAACTGCCACTTGAAGGTGTGCCCTGATGTGCTCTGGGGCCACAAAAAGGCCGTTCAAGCTAGAACCAGCGAGAGCGGAGCTTGGTCCTGGGTGTCATTTTGGAAGAATAGACTGAGCTGTTCAAAATGGAGGGTTGGTGAATGCGATTTGCAACAGCCCCTGCTGGACAATTACCAACAAAGATAAGTTCTGTCGGATGCAAGGCTCTGATCCTGCGAATTGCCTAGTCACGCCCCTCGCCTGAAATTGGGGATGTAGAGAGGTGACGATCTCCGTGTCTGGGGCTTGCCTTGGGTCAGGTATTGGCCCAAACAATCGGAGCTCCCATCAAGGAAGAGGATCGCTTTCGGCAAGGGGAGCTTCATGAGCCTTTAGAATCAAAAGCCAAAAGCCTTGGAAGGCAGGAAGGGTTCCCTCTCCGAAATCTCGTGGTACTTGATGATTGCCCCAGTGATTGCAAGCGAGGGAGCAAGGGACCCCCTGATTTCCCGCAATTCGCCATGGTCTTGTGGTTGAGTGTGTTTGATTGATTCTTGTGTATTGGCGGCCCCGGATTAATTTTCAGCCCTGATTGATGTTTATATTTGTTTGCTTGCCCTCTCTCCAGCTTTGCAGCCAAGGGCTGGCCCTGTGGCCAATTTACATGGGGGAGCCACAAAGGGGAGACAAGATCTTCTTAGGGGGTGGTGGGGGGAGGGGCTTGTTAACACTGTATCCTGCACAATCGTTCAGAAACCCTGGAATGATTCGATTCCCCTATCGAACACCAACCAATGTTATGGCTTCAACCAGGGTGTCCAAGTGGTGCGAGAAGCGGATTCCGTCCATCCACAGTGTTATTAGGGCGTGCTCCCTCCAAAAGTGCTGAATCCCCACTAAACCCAGGGACAACCCCCCTATTTATGTTGCTCTGGTTGATGTTTTAGGGGGTGTCCCCTTTTCGTGGGTAAGGTCGCTGTTTACAGCACGGGTCCCACCCCAAGCTGCAAGCTGGCGCCTTCTCCCGGCGCACGCCGCCGATGAGCGGCACGATCTGGATGGCGTGGTAAGCGCACCTCGAGCAAGATCCCAGGCCCTTTACAGGTCCGAGTTGGTGGACCAGGCGCACTTCCGGCGTGGCCCAAAGAAAGTTTACTCATATTTGTTTAAATGGGTGCCCCCAAATCAACCCCGCCAAATCCCCATATTTATATAAACCCAAAATAGCGGGAGGAGTCAGGTCACGCTTCTGAATTCTGATTCTCAGACATGCGCACGCAATTGCATTGGTTCAGCAAAAGCAGCAGCAACAATTACAAGAACCAGGCCAACAATGACAACAGCAGCACCGGCACCGGAATCAGCGGGGCTGGCGGGAGAGTGCACAGGAGCAGGAAATGCACAGGGCGCTTCAAACAGGCGCAACATCAGCGCAAAATAAGCGCAACATAAGCGCAACATAAGCACAACACAGGCACAACACAAGCGCAACATAAACACAAAATAAGCTTTAAATAAGCTTGAATAAATTTTAATAAGCTTTAATAAGCTTTAACAAGCCCAAAATACGCCTTTAATAGCAACTAAATAGCTGGCACTAGCATGTCAAGGCACGTATTTTCCGGTATCTAGCCAGCTGCGCAGCATTCCCGACAGCGCACACACGAAGAAGACCATACCTGCCGATAAGTGACTCAGCCCCAGCAAAGCCATACAGTTCAAACATTACCCCAAAAATTACCAAACTTGTTGTTGACCACTCAAACAAAACAAGCAAACAGTATAACATATAAAGTCCATCAACTCAAGAAGTAAGGTTGGCATGAGAGCAAACCTAGACGTAAGCCATTTCGAGTTGGTCGCTGTTGGCGCAGGGTAGTCCTTTTTAGACTAGACTAGCTTGTTGGGCCGTAGTGTGGCCCGAGTGTAGGTGTTGGCATGCCTACCTTGTCCAAAGTTGGATGTTATCCTGGAAACTGCGGTCCAAACCTTTGGTAATGATTATATTATGCGGAGTTTTCAAACGTTTTCGCTTTCAAGGGGCGCAGTCACGACTGGGCGTGTCTGCTATTCATACATCTGAGTCAGTTGACCACTGAAAAAGCAGAAACATAGAACTAACACTTGGGGGTGTCTGTTTTTGGGGGTACCCCTTTTTGGGGGTTGGTTGAAAGGGCAACCGAAAGGACACCGAAGCCCAGTTTGGGGGATCCAACCCTGAAAAAACAGCCACGCCCGCTTGCCGAAATCTTTCACGCCAATTGCCTGCGCATGGGCCTGTAGACGATTGTGTGTCTAGGTCCGCCAGTAGAGAGGTTAGAATAAGGGTGCTCTTTTTTCTGTAGTCTATTTAGTAGGGGAACCCTCCCCCAAAAAAAGTAAAGGGCACTACTGGGGGGACCTAGGTGGCCTGGGTGTGCTGAGAAAAACCGTTTGGTGGGAAGCCAGTTGCACAATCACCCTGGTAGAAACCAGGCCGGCGGAAACCCCCGTATTTGGGTGTGTTTCTTGTTTTTTTTGTTTCCGCGTATTTGTTGTTGTTTTTTACAGGGAAGCCAAAAGGGACATAGGGTCCCGTACAAAAAAGACAAAGCCCCGCATTTCAAAAAAGTGGATTCCAGCGAGGATTTGTGCGGACACCTCAACAAAAACACAAAAGGGGTGGAATCCAAGCCATGTCTCCTGATGGAGAGGCAGCTTGTTGGACGCATCCAAATATTGGTTGCATGCACGATTTTTGTTGAACAAATTTGTGGCAGAAAAATGGCTCCGTCCTCGAGGCAAGCAAGCCACGTTTTCCCACACATGAGCTGCACGCCAGAAACCCTTGAACCCGAGGCTCTACCAATGTGGTTGGAATTTGTCTAGGCCTCACTACTTGTTGTTCGGCCAAGTTAGTGAGTGGTTAGCTACCTGGGTTTTTCCCCACGAATAACAAGCTTCAAACTGCTTGTAGCATGGGGGCAAAAAAAAGTGGGTTACTAGGTCCGCCAGTAGGGAGGTTAGAATAAGGGTGCCCTTTTTTCTGTAGTCCATTTTAGTAGGGGAACCGAATCTCCCCCCCAAAAAAGGGGAGAGAAGGGCACTGGGGGACCTAGTTACCAACAGCTTACGAACTTAGCAACGAACATCCAAGATCATCGGAAGGTCTCCCCGTGACATTGGGCCCAAGAAACCGCCGGGGCGGCCACAAGAAACCGGAAACCCAATTCCGCCCAAGGCACAAGGTCTCTGCCTCCTTGGTAATCTGCAAGGCCAGCTCTCCTAAGCGACTCAAACCAGAAGCCACAAACCACCAAGCCCTAGATGGCCTTCATTGGGCCTTCATTGGCCTTCATTGGGCCAAATTTTGCCCTTTTGCGCCTTATTTGGCATTACGTTCGCTTATTCCAGCCTTTCTAAATGCCTTACTTGTGATCTCGATTGGCCATGTGGTTTCCTACGACATGTTGGAACTCCCCGTGTTTCTCGTTGTTTCCACCATGGTCTTGTGGGTGGGTTTCAATGAACCCCACCAGTAAATTGATCAACTTTTGAGGGGGACATCCGGCGACCTCTGTGTGGTCGGTAATTACTTGCAAAATGCAGTCGGAACATCCACGTATGACTTTGAAATGAGGCCACTTTGCTCCAGTGCCTTCAGTACACAACCTCCATCCCTTGTTTTGCAATGTGGGGTGTAAGGGGAAGACACCCTTCGATTCAACCACCGTTGTGAGAGGTTTGACAAGCTTCCATTTGATTAAGACGATTGGTTATTTTCCCCTGTTGGATTCAAACTGTGCTTCTTTATTACATATAGAGTATATATATATATACATATATATATATGTATATGTATATATGTGTGTTTTTCAGGGTACTTAGGCAAATGAAGGAGAACAGCTTTGAAGAACCGTGCTTCATTGAAACGGGCCTAGAGGATAATCTGAAATGGTGCCGAGGTGGTGGAATCGCTCAAAGTGTTTGCGGGACCTGAGGCAAGAAACGGTTGGACAAGGGCAAACTGGCCAAGGAAGCAGTGACTATTAGTGACTAGTGACGTTCTTTGGGCCTTTCAGCTTTCCATCGCCTTGATTTGGACTCATGCGACACGTAAGCTGCTGTTTTGGAAGTCGGGTGTCTTGGCATTGAATCTAAATAAGATTGAATCCCCAGTTTCAAATTCAAACCCAAATTCTGGGTAGTGTTGACCCCAGACTGTTGCCGTTCAATAACTTGAGTCAAGGACTACCAACACATCCATAAACACACCAAACCTACACGGAGAAAAAAGAAAAGAACAACAACAACGCCTTTTGGATGTTTAAACCAACCCCAATCAAAGAGACACTTTTCGCCGCCGGTTTAATTTAGGCGCCCGGGGCACGTGTGGATGCCACGATGAGCACGCCGATGCCCGGAGGTGTTTGGCGACAGATGTGCTCCACAGCAGGGATGAGGAATGCCAGCGTCTTGCCGGTGCCTACCAAGAGCATATTCCAGCATGGGGTTTTGGACGCATGGAGGCACTTCCATAAAGGCGCATAAAGGGCACTTCCATACAGGGTATACGTACTCAATACCCCTCTAATTATTACTCTAGTTGGTAGTGGGGATTGGTGGCCCTAGCGTACTGTATATTGGCGGCAGAATACAGCTGTAAGCATGTACTCACTTCCTGAGCGAACTGAGCAAAAGAAGTTCAAACTCTGTGTTTTCCACTAAAATGGCAGCCAAACGCCAAAAGTGATTAAAGTCCAGTTGAACTCGATCGGCAGTGAGGGTAAAATCAATCCTCCATACCCCATACCTGGCAGGTGTCTAGTAACTGCCAAATCCAAAACACCAAGTGAGTGGAACCTGCCATTTGCTTTTTCGCTGACATGAGAAACTAGCAACTGTTCTTGAGCAAATGGAAGAATAGAAACAATCCTCCGAACGTGTGATGGGTGGAGAAAAAATGTGTGGGTAAATTCTAGTGTGCCCCGCATCCTTTGGTGGACATCATTTACGGGATTCATGTCCACCACCCCCCCCCCCCCCCAAAAAAAAAGAAGAAAACAACGCATGGAGCGGCGGGCGGGCAAAGAAACAAAGCAGCGAGCACAGCGAGCACCATGACTCAGACTTCCCGAGCGCCTGCACGGGCATGGATCACGAAATCGGATCCTGGCGGACCCCGGCAAGCATATGTTGCGTCTGCTTGGTGGATTTGTGCTTGGGTAGTTGAGGAGGGGGGTCCCAATTTTCCAGGTACCCGTGCCTTTTCCAATGCACCCCTCAATACTCAATGAGCAAAGGAAATCATTGTGCGCCGGGTTCACAGGGAAACTGAAACAAGCCCAAAAGGATACACAAACAAAAGGAAAGTCAGGCAATGCCTTCGCACATTTGTTTTATGCGGTGAAAGGTCAATGACAGCTTAAAGTCTCATGTGGCATTGTTCCCTCAAATCTTTCTATTTTGTGCCGGGACCTTCTTCCACCAAATCAGGCAAAGCAAACCCGAAGATGCAGCGTCAGGGCAATCATTCGTATTCCTCTCAAATTGTCCCATACACTCCAAACAATCATGGAAGCTGACAGGAGGGTGTTGGAAGGTGGAAGCCCCCCGCCCACGTCCATGGTTGCAGTTTTCCATTTTCTTTTTTCGCCCCCGAAATTGATATATATATATATATATGTATGTATACATTTAAAAAGAGAAAACACACATATTTCCAGTAGTGAAGCCGATTCCCTTTGAAACCAACAATGGAAAAACCCAACATGTTTCCGCAAAAGGAAGTTCAGCTTCCCTCTACCTGGAGCCGAATCGGTGGTGGTCTTCTGGAGGGGCAAGCCCCATTTGCCGTCCACATCTTGGCTGACGTTGGGTTTGGGGAGCAAAAAAAACTCATTTTTCAGCAGTTAAGTGGCTGGAGTTCAACCACTAAACCACCAGAAGCAAAAATGTTTCTCATGTTTCCCAACAACAACCATGACTGTAAAATGTTTCCCAACAGCAGCCATGACATGAACCAGGGCTTCAAATCTCCCATGTCAACCGCATGCGTTCTCTGAGTAGCGCTTCCGCAAAGCCAAGTGAGGCGCTCGCTCGTTTTTGGGGCGGTTACCCGTGTGGGGCTTCATGCCTGCTTTGGTTAGACATAAATTTGTCGTACAATTGGGGTGAAACGGTGGCACACTCGGCTCCTCTGGCTTCCGGTGCCAAGAGCTCAGGAAGTACCTGGCAGTGCGCGCCCTACGCGCCCCGCCGGGTCTGCCAGCCCGGTCGCTCGCCCGGACTAAGGTGTTCAACCTTCTGTGATGAACCCTTTAAAAGGAGCACCCCCCCCCCGCTGCCCCCCAACCAAAAAACAAAAAACACAAACTTCTCCCCCAGTCCCCCCCCCCCAAAAAAAAAGTGAAGAGAGGTGCTCATGAATCCCAGACATTGGCTGAAGACCGTAGGGGTTTTCATGACGCTCGTGGACAAAAACCTGCACCAGTTAGGGTGGAAATAACACTACAGGGGTTCACTGCCAACTGGTGCGCATCCAACTAACCAACCAACCAACTCAGCGACCTACCACCCTACCACCCTCCCACCCTACCACCCTACCACCCTAAGTCTAGGGAGTGACTAAACCCACATTAAGAGATGGTGTCATCTGATTTCAGCCAACTGTACCCCTCAGGGCTGTTGATTGTCGCGCACGCCTGTGCAGGCATGTGTGACCCCTGCAAAGCATGGCAAGCATGGCAAGTATGGCTGGGACAGTTTCGCGCACACAGACACACAAACAGCAAACATTGCAATATGTCCAAACTCTGAACAAAGGAGCTACATCATGGATTTTGCCCTCGACTCGGGGAGCTCGCACTCCCTGAGCAGAAGTGGAGACATACACATAGCAAGCACCCAATATTGACCTCTCCCTGGGTCGCTCTTCCCCCCTTGAGCAAAAGGTCACATAATGCAAAGGCGACTTGTTTCCAAAAGGTTCAGCGGGGCTTTGGGGTCACACCAAAACACTTCCATTTGCTTGAGCCCCTGGACAAATTGAAAACATGCCCGGCAGTGATGGAGTATGCTACCAAAAAGGGAAACTAAACGACATATAAGTAACTAGCAACTTTGCACCAAGCTTTTGTTAACTGCTTCCTATGTTGGAAAATAGGCAACACAAACAGCCGGTGATAGATTCCCGTTAAAACAAAAGAAGGGCACCAACAAAACAAAAAACAAAAAACACATTGGGCCAGAAAACGCGCCATCCCTGCCTTGCCCTGCACCTCCGTGGCCTCCGGAAACTTCAGCGCCTCTCGTAGCCCGCGCAGCGTGTGTGGATGCAAGTCCTCGGCTTTCAGCTGCCCCCGAAGGCAACTCTCTCACAGCTGCTTGTGTGGGTGGAAGACAAGCGAACAAGCAAGCAACCAAACAAAACAAAATCAAAACGAAGCAATGCAAAGCAAACCAAAGCAAGCAAGCAAGCAAAACAACAGCAAACGAGGCAATATCAAAGCAAGCAAACACAAACAAAACGAAGCAATATCAAAGCAAGCAAACAAAAACAAAAAAAACAAAAACAAGCCACGCACTTTCTTTGTTTGGGAGGGTCTGCAAGCAAGTCTGTGGTGACGGGGGAAAACCACAGGTGCCCCTGCATACAAATGGGTGTCCTTTTTGTTGCTGGGTACCACTTTTTGTGGTGGTTTTGCACGGAACACCCAAAGCGCACCACCATTTGGGAGGGTCCGACCATGAGAAACAAGCACCAGACTCCTGCACACGGCCATATTTTTACCGAAGAAAGGCGGGGATACTGTGGCTAGGCGGTCACTCCCATGCCTTGGCGTTCAACCCATGGCTACGTGGGGCAACAAGGCGCAAGCTCTTTCAGGACAGCCAGTTGGAAGGTATCTAACACGCGCTACAAAAACTGCCTGCGGAAACTCAGGGTTCATCGCCAAGCCCTCGAAAAGTGAATCAACCTAGGCAGATGTTGAGCTGCCAGGGTATTACCATAACAACCCCAAGGCAGACACATGTTTTATGCCAAGGGCAGATATGTTTTGTCCCCAATCTTCCCTCACTCAGATGCCCAGTGGATTTCCATGGGGAAAAAAGGGGGCATCCTTTTCGGGGAACCCTTCCAGAAGCAAAAAAGAAGAGAAAGAGGGCGCCACTGGGCAAGCTGCGCTGAACCCAACCCTCGCAGATCCAACTCCGCCGATCCTCGCCGAGGCGCGAAGCTTTCGAAGGGCGGCCGAAAAGCGAAGCGCCGAAGCCCAAAGCCGCGCGAGAGGCGTTGAGCGCCGCGCGCGCGGCCGACGCCGCGCGAGAGGAAGCCGCGTGCCCAAAGGGGCAAGCCCATGACATAGACCGCCCATTGGGCAAAGGTGCAACGAGGTCTTGTTTGATTTCCTGGGTGTGTAGGGAATTCAAGAAGAATCAGCTTTGGGAAATCGATGGTCAGTGGGATGCCTCTTGTAAACCGCAGCTCTTGCACTGTTCCAGGGCTGCGTTTCTGGCGGAAGGGGGTAATCCTGGGATGCGCTTGAAGTGTGGGAGCAGGCTGGAATGGAAAGCGCGGACCTGGTCCGGAAAAGGGAGCATTCATCCACACTCCTTTTCAAAGGATGAAGATGCCCGAGCATATGATCACATGACCACGATGAACAGCTTGGGCACCCCAAACCGAGACCCAATCCGCCCCTCGAGCGACGGCGAGCGAAGTGCGAAAGTCCCGCCGGTCATTGGGCCAACCAACCATTGTCCAAATCAGTTCAAAGGGGTCCCTTGGCTCCCTGGTTGCAAATTGAACCATTGGGAAACGCATGGAAATATAATTCTCATCTTGGTGTGTCATGTCCAGTTTACATATTGGTCTTCCAGAGGTTCTGCTAGATGCTCATATGAAAAGCAAACAACTCCAAGGACACCTTTTGGGACAGGGCTCGGAAGACTGGCACCAGACTTTTTTGAAGACTCACCGATTTTGAAGCAACCAATGAAAACTCAGAAGAAAATCACATAGAAACAATGTGATGATATCGAAAACTCAACATATAATTATAGAATAACCAAACCCAATACACAGAATCATGACGATCTAATTGAACCCGAAGGGCCACATTCTGGATGAAGCCTCCCCATTTTTTCCAGGGATCCTTCTTTTCAGGAAACCATCAAACACACTGGGGGAACAGCTGGCTTTGATAAGAACGATGGTTGAAAAGAATGGGGAATCAACCCCTGGACACATGTCCACTTCCAGAAGTCAAGAGCACCGAGAGAGAAACGCTTAACCTTGTGGAACCTTAGCTAAACATGGACACAAACAGGCAAACAACTTCAGAGGAACAAGCGCCGATTGGCTGCGCTCGACTATTTTTGACGGTCTCTCGCCACACATTGACAGCGAGTCACTAATCCAGGCGGTCTCTCGCCGCGCGTTGACAGCGAGTCACTAATCCAGGCATGGCTTTCCACACTCGTTCTTATGCTGCTTATAGAACAACTCCTGGAACTTTGCCACAGGAGATGACCTCAGATCGCACGAGTCCATGGTGTGGATTTGTGCTTTGGTGCAACCTGTAGCCTTCAGCGTTTCTTGCCTGGGGGACGACTGTGGGCCGCCTCCAAACATGGGTTTCCTTGGTGCCCAACCTACAGTATGTACTTGCTGAGTGCACTGGTCATACCCCCCTTCAATACAAAATTCAGGTGGTGGGGAAAACCGTAAAACCAAATTACCTCCATCAAAATCAAGTCGCTCTGGATAACTTTTGGCACGGCCCTCGCTGAAGCTCGGAACACTTTCTCGGCAAAGTCTTTCGGCACCCCCGACCCGTGCTGAAGAGTCTGAGACCCCATGCCACAACTGCCCCAATGTTCTTTCTGTGGATTCCCTTCCCGGGGATCTCTTCCGTAAAGAGGTCCTTTTGGGGCTGACCGTGTGGCTTGCTAAACGAACGGGAAAAAAGCATTGGTGCCACTGAGCAGGGAGTCGCGGTCAAGCCTGTAAGCTGCACTCAAGGAGGCCTAGGCCCAAACATCACTTGTTCTCTGGTTCGTGAGAAGGACTTTCGCAGAATCTTCCCTCTGGGGCGTCGTTTTGGGCTAGATCTCTGCTCTTGGATGTTAATTGCTGAAAGTCACTGCAAAACCCATAGATCTAGGGTCATACGGTGACAATGACAATCGACCACGTTTCACATCGACTCAAGAATCAGCTGCCCCCCGAAGAACTTGAACTTCCGGGAGGTTTTTTCCCGGTTGAGTGGGTGTTTAAGGGTTTTTCTGCCAAAAAAGATGCGCCAAAACCGCCCCAACTGCAAAAAACCACGACTGCTACAAGCACCTCCCCAGTCTTGCCGGGGCGCGATTTGAGTCCGGGGAACCACTCGGGATTGGAATAGACGCCGTCCTCGCAGTTTGCTTTGCTCTCAACCCAAGTTCTCGCTAAAAAAGCGGGGCACGTGGATTTCTTCAAGCAGGTCCAAAACCCAGAAGCTAAATGGAAGCAAACTGAACCTCCATTTGCGTGTTCGTCCCCTGGAAAAATCAATATGTCCGATGAGCTCCCCTTATAACCAACACGGGAAAATTGCAAATATTCTGAAACAAATGGAAGTGAAGTGGAATCCATCTATGGTCAACAAACTTTCGAGCCCCGACCCTCGTGCAAGTTCACACCAAGCATTCCCAGCCGGAGCTAAATCCAACATGCGTCCAACCCGGGCATAACACGACTCCGCCGGAAACCGGGCCCCGACCCCCACTTGGGTGTTCGATTCGCCAAGTTAGTCAGTCGTTGGTAGCTTGGGCCATATGCTGCCTACAAGTCCCCAAGTGAAGTTTGACTGGTTGCAAATAGGTTCCCTAGGATATGCTTTGTGTGGATTTCACCTGTTCTTCCCTTTGTAGATTCTCTTTTCGTGCTCTTTTAGTACTCTTTTAACATTTTAGACCCCGCATCCAAACCGTTTCCCAGGGCACCACTTACTAATGGGAAACCCTGGATGAACCAACCCCAGTGGGTGTCCCTGGGCTTAGTGGGTGAGCATCATTTTGGTAGGGCTTGATTCCAATTCCATTCTTTTCAACCATCCTTCTTTTAAAAAACATGCCGTTTTCCCGATCGGGTTTCCGGAGGTTTTCTAGAAAGATTCGGATCCCTGGAAAGAATGGGGAAGGTACCCATGGGATTTCGGGAGGAAGCCCCCCTAAATAAATAAGCAGGGGTTTATATGGCTGTGGTTGTCAAACAAATGTACCCAAAGGGTAACCCCAAAATGGCTTGCCCTGGTAAATGGTAACATGGACTGTAACCTGCGGTCCATATCCTGGTGGTTTAAGATTGACCCACACCCATATAGAAATCCAGGGGTCAACATGAGCCTGGAAACGAACACAGCAATCCGGGGTCAACATTAACCTGGAAACGAAGACTAGGTCCTCCAGCAGACAGGTTAGAAGAAGGGTGCCCTTCTTCTGTAGTCTATTTTGCTAGGGGAACCCTCCCAACCAAAAAAGAATCGGTAAAAGAGCCCTACTGGGAGACCTAGAATCCATTTACCTGGTTTTGTTGGTCAAGCAAAGAAACCACCCCTCAGAAACCCCCCTGGAGACCTAGAAGACAGCCCAAACGCCGCGGCTCGGGTCCTTCATGGCCCACATGACGCTCTTGTAGCACTTGGACCCGGGCTCCAGAGCCACACAGGGCTCCAGCTCAGCCTTCCTGGTGTCCGTGCCGGTGTACTGCTCCACCTGAAGTTCCAGATGGAAAGTTGAAAGCACCGGACCTCTGCGGCTCGAAGTAAAGAAAAATCATCATGTTGACCCAGGATTCATAAACCCGTCCCACTATTCGGGGGGTGTTCCCTTCAAAAAGTGAAAGGGGACACCCCCCCTATTAATCAACCAGGGGTGGGTTAACATTATCTATGTTACATCTATCTACATACCTATTGGTTATTACAATGTTTGTCTTGTTCTGTTGAACACAAAAATGCCTTGATGGTTTGACCAAAAAAGGACATGACACCTTGCAAATGGATCTTGACCACCCGACCCAGTTCCTGACTTCGACCGAGATGCTCAACATGACGGGCACAAGGGGGGAGCAAGCAACAAACATATCCGGCGCCACCATGCCCCCTACCACAAGGGGGAGGGGGTGGATTTGGGGTCCCCACTTCCATTTAATTACCTAGTCTTCCTCACAAAAGAGGGACATGCCCACCCAGAACTATTTCAAGGGGTCGGAAATGCTGGCACCAGCATCCCGAGCCCTTTTTTTGGTGAGGGCTAACAACGTGAAGTGAAGGCTTGGCGCAACATGGGCCAGGTCACACCTTTGGAGCAGGTCGCACATTTGGAGCTTTGACTTCAAACGAAACGAAACGCGTGCGACGGCTCATGGCTGCGAGGCGCGGTCTCGGTGTTGATGACGTTGCCCCGCCAATTGATGGACTCGATGGTGATCAAGTCCTTGGTCATGGTGAGGTCGAAGAAGCCGTACCTGTGGCACCCTGCAAAATGGGTATGGCTCAAAATTAAAGAGCTGGGGCAAACCGCGGGCTTAACTTTCTTTGGTTCCATATACCAAGGTGCCATTTTGGTACCACTTCTTTGAGCCACAGCCAAGCAAGCAGGAATCCTCCACACAAATGGGGTACCTCCGCAAATCTCCGCGGAAACAAAAAAAGCACAAGATGCAAGCGGTCCTTGCATCCTTTGTTTGGGTGTGCCTTTTCTTGAGGGTACCTGTCTTGGGCTGGAGTTCAAGGGAAATAAAAGAAACACCTACCCATTTGGGGGTTCGAATCCTAAAAGATACACCCCATGTTGGAGCCACACCCATGCAGGAGCTTCAAAACTAGCTCCTTTTGGTTCCCCTGCAAAAAACGAAAGTGCAAAAACAAAAAAAGTGCCAGAAGAAAAGTACTATCCGCGGCCCAGAAGGCACAAATCCCTTATGAGCAAAGGCGGTGACCAAACCACAAGGGGGATCCGTACATGGGACACCACGAAACAGATCACCACCTAGCACAAGGATGCACATGGCTTGGTTGAGTTTGAACAACCCAATTGAAATTGCTATCTACGTTCACCCAGGATCCCAGAAGCTACTGGACAGCTAGCCCAAAGTCACACCTTTGTTTTATTAGCTGGGCCGAATCTCTCTCTCTCATGGAAAGATCATGTTCATGCACTTTGCAAGGGGGGTAGGAATTCATCACTGCCATAGAACCCCCCTGTGCATGTGCTTGCAATCAAGCGTGAAAAGAACAATCCCACACTTTTAGAGGGGGGCCCGGGCAACCACGCTACGTGTTCCGAGTCTATAAAGGACCGCCCGAGCCCAGGAAATTTGCCTTCTACCCTTCTTCTAGCAGAAGGCATTCTGGTACTTGAAAATCAAGAATGAGTCAGGATTGTAGGGGCAAAATGTCCTAAGAACCTCTCTGCCTCTCATATTGCAATTTGTGAACCATGGACGTGCAAACCTTGTTTAGTTGGTGGTACCTTATTGAAATCCTTCTGTTTGATGTCATTATTGTTAACAAACTGAAGCATCCGCCACATTTAGGGGGATAAACAAACACTAGCCATGACAGGAAGGATCTGCATCTGAATCTCCCTTTTGGGTCCCGGAAGTGGCTCCAGGTCTTTTTTCCCCACCCAAAAGAAAGCGATGCTTCGTTCTCTCCAGTCCATTCCTCGAGCAGGTCACTGGTGGTCGTTGGGGTCATCCAGCTCCACGTTGTTCTCCGAGGTGATGCCACCACCGCCGCCGGTGATGAAGCAGGTCAAGCCACCCAACTTCTCCTCCAAGCTTGGGATTCGCAGATGTGCCCAGTGAACGGGTTACAACCGTGGATGTTAAGCCTAGCGCATGAGGTAAAAAGCATTGTGTTTTCGGTGGGAGAAAAAAAGGGTTGGCTTATAACCATGTGCTTACTACATATGACTTCATCCCATGGTAAACTTCGGAGTCACCTGCGAAACGTGGTCTATCTTCATGTTGACTTTGGGTTCTGCATATTGAGTGCACCGGCCCATCCATTCTATCCCTCCATTGCAACTTGAGGTCTGCAAATCGCAGAGTTTCCAAGCCGGCGGGCTCCTTTCACCCCAAGTCGAGCCGGTCTCGCCATAAAAATCGAAAGGCGTCGATGACGTTTCTTGCTTACTCCCCACAAGGACCTCCCCAAGACCCGATTTGAAGTCCGCATTGAGAGGCACAAAGCTGCCCTTAAGACCCCGGTGGTTTGGAAGCAAAGGACACTTTGTCTCAAAACATCTCTACTCTTGGTATGGGCTTGCGAAAAAACATGTTTTTTGCGGACCCCCAGTAAAAATGAACAGAACCAAAAAACAAAAAAAACACTAAAAAACATGCCAAGAACAGTGAAGAAAACCTTCCTTCGGAAAGAAGAGGCGCAGGGGCCCAAACTGTGTAGAGGTGTTCGCAAGAGCTCTTCGGTGTTTGTTTGTGTGTGTGTGTTTAGGGGAGCCCCAAAACGGTGGTTCTGCTTTGGCTGTCATTTTAACACCACAAAAAGGGTACCACAAAAAAAGACACCCGTTACTTCAACGGCGGGTCCAATCCCTGAATCAGTCCAAAATCTGAAGGGGTACCTGACAAGCTCTGTTTCTCGCTCGGCTTAACAAGAAAATCCACCCAAGAAAAGGAGAGCGGGAAAGTACAGCATCACAGTAGCTCGTCTTTCTGGAATAGACTGGCAATCTGGCACCCCTAGCGGGGAACTACAATCACTACAATCATAGGATCCAACCCCCCTCCAGGCTAACCAGCCTGTGACCAGGCCAGTCCGATCGAGGACTGCTTTTCTTTCCCGGCGAGCGGCGGGCGACCAGTACATCAGCTGATAGTGGGCGTGGCCAGTGACCAATAAGTCCAGGCCGTACTTGAGGTGAAGCTCCTGGACATTCATCCCTGGATGTACCAGGTCAATCAGTTCACCCAAAAGAGAACCAATCCCTCTTACCCTACCTTTGACCATGGTTGCAACATACTTGCAACCATGAAAGCCAGCTCCAAAAACTGGATGCCTCCCACACTTTGCTCCCACCCACAGAGCGAACAAAAGCTCTTTTCGTTGGGGGGCCCGCCTCTTTCAATATCGACTATCCCACAAAGATACGTGGCTTGCTTTTGGCTTCCCTTAAAAAGCAACCAGGGGTTCCCCAAAAAATGTTTTCCGGAAGGACACCGACAGAAATCCGATATTGGTCAAGGGTACAAGACTGCTGAGGAAAGAAAGCAAAGGTAGAGTTGGCACACAATGGGATGTGGGCCACACTTAAGCAACATCCTCAGCGTGCAAAGTGCACCGTGGAGATCAGTGGGCGCAAACCCCGCGCGCAGGTTGGGTCAAAACCATCCTGGAAACCACCCGCTTGTGGGCCTGAGTTGTTGGGGGCCCCCTGTTTTTGTCACCCCCAAACCTGCTATTTGACCATGTTGATCCGGTTTATGGCAGAGAAAGGAAAAACAAAAACAACAAACAAGCTGGGCCACAAACCCATGTAACTTGCGCAGTCCTTGTAGAACTTGGTCTTGTGTCCGCAGGGGAAGTGTGTGACCTCAGCGAGGGGTTTTGAATTTCCCGGCTCCTGGAAGTGGGTGGTTTGAAGAGCCTCTGCTTGGCTCCCCTTTATTTCCTTTTGCTTTTTGGCCCCCTGCAAAAATGCGAAACTATTTCCAGTATATAGTGATAGATTCCCTTTAAATTCCAAGAGATGAACACAAACCATATTCTTAGGCAAATGGAGGTGTAGAGGCGTTCGGCAAGGCCCCTGCCCACTTCCACGATTGGAAAGAAGATGCGGGCAGGACGGAAAAAAAGGGACGAAGGCAAACCACTGGCTTTTCACTCCATCGCGGCCACCCCCGCTCCAAACAAAGTAGCACCCTTAAACCGCAAAACGCACACCACCCATTCAGGCTGACATCGAACAAACAAAGAACAATAACAAGCAAAACCAATCAGCGGGCAAAAATAGGCGCACACACACACACACCAATCTTGCCGGTGCTCAGTACAGAATGTCCCAGGGTGCTGGGAATGAACCGGAAGTGGAGTTTTCTTTAAGGAAGCCACCAGCTGGACGGTTCTTCTTGGGGTCATTTCAGTTCTCATTCCTTGCTGAGAACCAGCAAGTTTCGTCACCCCCTTAAATCGACCTAGGAGTTGCGCTATCTACATTTTCACGGCAGAAACACACGGGGGGAAAAAATTAGGCCTGGCCTCCCAAGATGAAATATGGCAACCAAGCCATAAAAAAAACAATGCAAAGTTCAGTTGAACTCGGGAAGTGAGTGATTCCCAACACCCAGACTCGGTCATTCCCCCAGCCATCACACCAGCCAGAGGCATCCCAAGGCATCCGAACACATCCGGCTGACGGCAGCCGACTGAGGCTCATTCCCAACACCCTGAAAATCCCACATTCGGTGGTTTCCTTTAAGGGGACCCCTAAAATCACATTCCCTAGCCATACTCCCTGCTCGCACCAGCAAACAAAATCCCAACGCTGTATCCGAAGGCATCCGGCTGACGCATCCAGCTGACCTTGGTTGCTGTTGACCCCCCTGCAAAAAATATTTTTTTGGGGGTTTACAAACCCAACTTGATTTCAACCAAACAGTTAAAGTCTCAAGATCCGTCCCAATCGCAGTTAACTGACGGCATTCGACTGGGGGAGGAAACCAATGGATCCAATGGTACCATTTTAGGGTAGGTGCATCACCGCAGTTTAGTCTATTTTAGTGGGGACTGGGAGGTTCCCCCGGCATCCGGCCGACGGCATCCGACGGCATCCGGCCGGGGCTGCCGGCCATGATCTGCCAGTCCGCCTCGGACTTCTGAAGCTTCGTGGTGGCCCAGGCGGCCCCGTCGTCCCAAAGCTTCTGGAACCAGTCCTCGAGGAAAGGGGCGGAACCGCCCGCAAAATGGGGATCAAACGCCCATGTCCAGGTACCCTAAGACAACAATAGGGGTGGGTGTCGTTTTACTATTCCGACCCCCCACCCCCCACAAAAAAAGAAAGAAATGGAGGGTGTCCTTATTTTTTGGGCTTCCCTTTTGAACCAACCCCCCCTCAAAAAAAAAGGGTTACCTCCCAGTAAATCCCAGGCGCTTTGCCCGTATAAGCAACCCTTCGCCATTTGTCTGTTCATGTTCAAAGGGTGGCAAGCCCTTGGCTACCTGCACAGGTACATGGATCCACTCCCCAGAAACTCGCTCGAGTCAAGCTTCCTTAAAGGCAACTAGTCCAGGGCAAAAAAGAACAGAAGATGCACCTGATTCGCAAGGGGTCCTCTAAAGCTGGTCTTTTCGTCTTTTCGTGAATTCACTGCCTATAACAGAGGTCACTGGATTTCCCCAGATTCAGCAGTGGCTTTCATTGAGTCAATCGCCACTTTTGGCGAGGGAAATGGCTCGGACACCCCGAGAAACTCGCTGGAGTCAGAATTCCTTCTTGTTAACCAGGCAACCAGATCACCCAAACCACACCCAACTCCGGTGCTGGGTTGAATAAAACGGGACTCAATCTGTTTGCTCTCCAGGTTTTGGACACCAGCTGTCAGTTTTAGGGGAGACAAAAGGGATGAGGGAATCCACTGAACTGGGGAGCTGGCAGGGGAATCCAGCAAAGAAACCAAAGCCTCACTCCTTTTGGTCTACCTCCAAAGATGTCTACAAACGTGGTGGTTGTTGGGAAGTTACGGTTTGGTTCTCTGGAGCGGTGCTGCCACTTCGGGTTCGGGAGCGATTCGCAAGCTATTTGCCAGCAGCGGGCATGGCTAACTCCACTTGGCCATAGCCGTTGCACACCACTTGCTAACTTGACCGAACCTCCAAGTAACCAAGACGCATGGCAAAGAATTGAAGAGCAATTCTCGGCCAGTGCTTTGGTTGGAACCGAAATCCTAAGCTTCACAGCGTGAAAGTAGATGGTAACAATCCTTCTCCCCCCCCATTTTGGGTGAGTCATCCCCTCTCACCCTTCAAAAGTGGATGAATCCCCACCAAACCCAGAGCCCCCCCTACTAATACACAGGTGTCATGAATCTGGCTCCCGCCCCCTACCCAAATCAGCTCTCTCCGCTCTCGGCCCACTAACGCTCTAGGGGTTGGATTCCAAGTCCATTCTTTTCAACCATCGTTCTTTCCAAAAACCGGATCCGTTTTCCCGATCGGGTTTCCGAAGGCTTTCTAGAAAGACTCGGATCCCTGGAAAGAATGGTTGGAAGTTACCCGTAGAAAAAAGCAAAAACCTCCCTCCGCTGTCCACGTCCGAGGCGCGTGGCACTCCTGGATGGAGGATGGCCCTCCGATCTTCGCGCAGCTGGCGCCTGGGGGGTTGTGCAGCGCCCCGCAAATGTTGTGCTCCGGGTTCGCCGAGGTGTCCTCCACTCTCCGCTCGCTCTGACTTCTGTGCTTTGCATAGGTGGCCCTGTTGGACAAATAGATGACCCTGGTAAATGAAATGAAACCCATCTAAACCAGTGGACCCCATCCATTTTTGAACAAGCCAACTTTAATAAAGCACACCTATGGTGCTTTGCCCCTGCCCGATCCCCCGGAATTCACCGGGCCCACCTTTCAGCTGAGCGAGAAAAACACCATTTTGAGAGGGGTCTCCCTATTTTGACACATCCCCGATAGTTGTCAAACCTTGCACGGTGGCTACGTGCGTCCCCCTTAAATGTCCCTCTTGCGGGAATGAACCAATGTAGGTCAAAGATGATTGTCTAGGTTCTCCAGTAGAGAGGGTAGAATAAGGGTGCCCTTTTTTCTGTAGTCTATTTTAGTAGGGCAATCCTCCTAACCAAAAAGGGGTTGAGAAAAGGCACTACTGGGGGACCTAGTTGTTAGAACGGTATTCAGGGCTCCCGGATGATTTGCCTGGAACACTGTAAGTGGGTGGTCCTGGAGATGAGTCCCTCACTGCCTGAGAACCAGAAAGCTTACAGGTTGGTGTTGAACCTCACGTCAACTTGAAGCGAGTTTCTAATGTGCTGCTGAGGTGGACATAGGCAAACTTGCCAACCCTTGGTATGGTAGCAGACAAAGCCTTGTTTTTGCAGCCCTACTAAAAATCAGCAGAACAAAAACGTAACGTATTATAATATGCTGAAGGAATCCCGCTGGGTTCAGCCCTTGTGATATCAACATGGGTTCCAATGACTTCGGATTGGCGCCTTGATGGGGGTCGACTTCGGTGGCGCTTAGCCCCATTTGGCCCTAGAGTTAAGGGTTTGGAGGTCAGGAGGTGTTTTCCCATTTACCCTCCACAAGAACTGGGGGTTCGATTTCACAAACCACCACCCCAAACGACCACCAACCCCCCACCAAAAGGACAAAAAACAAACAACACCCCCTGAACCACCCCCAAACACCCCATCCCCGTTAATCATTCGTCCTCATCAGCATCCTCGATGTTGGAATCGATCATGAAAATCTCCACAGTGAAGCCTGGGCCAGTCTTGTCCCGCCAACATGCGCCCAATGCACCCCTTGCTCTGTGGGTATGCGTTAGGCGTCCATGACTATATGTTGCAAGATGCGTCAAACGAGCGAGTCAGATTCCCCATGTGCTGCAAATTGAGCATCGACCAAGCATGGGGGACCCCCCAAAAAAAAGAGCAGACACAGTGGGGGATCCTTGTGAATTCCTTGAAAAAAAGAACCACAAACAAAGGGGCACCCTCAAAAGAGGACAGACCCGTACGCTGGCCGCAGCTATCCCGCGTTTCCCGCCTTGGTCGACGTAGTCCACCGTCTGCATCCAGTAGGGGGCAGGCAGCACCCATCTCTTGCTGACCCAGGTGTATGCGATTTGCTGGTCCCAGGCAGCCTTGGATGGCCATGAGGACACCCTCCGGTCGTAAATTTTAGCATGGTGGACTCACTCGGTGTGACGAATAAAAATGCGCGGTTGAGGGTACGGTGGATGCCTTACATATTGCAGGCAAAGCAACCACACTCAACCACAACAAAATGTGTAAATTGCGAGGAAATTGCCCGAGCCGTGGGGGTTTCCTGTTCTTGGATTTTCCACAAGAGGGTCCGTTATGGTCCCTTCAAAAACCTTCCAGGAACCCCAGTCAGGTTCGATGTTGGTGGATGGGAGGGTACCTGTGCAACTTGACCGGGGGACCCCTGGATTTAAACCATTCTCCTCTGAAGTGACCTTGGTGGGCGGGCTCTCAAACACAATTTCTCTAACCAAGGTCCCCCTTTTCAGAAGGGTCCGTTCTAGTAGGACGTCCTCACAATGACGCTCTGGACTACATTTAAATGGGGGTTCCCCCAGCCAAGAATGATTTTGAGATCCCGTGTGTTTCTCAGGGGACTTAAGCAAATGGAGGTTCAGCGTGTGATTTTGATAGCAACATTCACAACGGGGCCAGTCAAAGCCAAGCTCTTTAAAATGGGGAGGCGGACCACGCTTCCACGCCACCCCCGATCCACAGTGCCAATTGTGTGCGTTTAAACAGGTGCAAATAATACAAATCCGAAAGCAACGGGAGGCAGCCCTAGCTTTTGACTTTGATGGCCCTCTACAAAGACAAAATAAGAGCCCAGCCAGGCTCCCCCTGCATTTCCATTGGAGCAAAGTAAAGGGCGCCCTCTTGCTTGACTTAAAAAAAACACTGCAATACCATGCCCAAGTTTGGCAAAACTTGGGCCATTTATTTTTTTTTAGAACATTGAAAGCTGTTGGCAAATGGACGGTTCTTGGTGTACCAAACTCTGGCTGTGTTTGGTTTGATGGTTTTGCTTTGGGGCTGGGGGGGGCGGGGCTGTTCACTCTTTTTTTGCGACATCCGGCACCGCCTAAGAAACGCTGGAAGGATGATTCCCCCGTAAATACCAACAAACAATGATTCTTCATGGTTTCCAAGTGGTGCAGGATTTTGTTCATCCACAGTAGGTCAACATTGAAACCAACAGGGGGAAACAAATCAGACTCTGAAACGCGCATGAAAGGGAACCAATCCCTCTTACCCTACTTATCAGCATAGAGATGCAATTGCAACCTTGTTGACCATGAAAACCGCCATTCGCAAACCATGAGAACCTTATAACCCATGAACACCAGTGAATTTTTCATGGGTGCTCGAAAATCCCATCTCCAAAAACCGCGGCCTCTGGCCGTCCACCCGCCGCGTCGCCCACAAAAGCGTCTAAGCGCCTTTTGCCGCGCAACGTCCATCTCACGACCGCCCCAGTCGTGGTTGCCCAAGACGCTGAGCCAAGGCTTCCCATCCAGGCCGGGGCCCTTGTAGACATTCCTGAATGCACCGCTTTTCGGTGAACAGGTGCATGTTTAGGTCCAAGGGTGCAATACAATATGTATGCTTAATTTATAGTGTGAATATATATATATATATATATTAGCCTTTGCATCTAAATTCAGGCATGACTGAGGCTGGGAGTAGATCCCCTGCAGACTTGCATCTCCCGAAATCAATGAGTGCTAGAGGGAACTTCTTGTGGAGGGGAAGTATCTCTCTCTCTCTCTACCCCCCCTCTCTCTCTCTACCCCCCCTCTCTCTCTCTGTCTCTCTCTCTCTCTCTCTCTCTCTCTCTCTCTGTCTCTCTCTCTCTCTCTCTCTTTCTGTGTCCCTCGCTCTCTCTCTCTCTCTCTCTGTGACTCTGTGTCTCTCTCCCTCTCTCTCTCTCTCCAACCTAAAATGGGAGGGGTGGATGAATCCGGCCTCAACACGGCTAGTTCGCCAGTGAAGTCCTGCCAAGGCGCTCAAAGACCCAGTTGAACTGCGCGCGCGTTACGTCGTTGACCTTGGACATGGGGGTGGCCCCGCACTTCCCAAAGACGCCGCCCCAGTAGAAGTTGTCGCCCACGTTCAGCAGGTAGTCCGGGTTGTTGGCCTCCAGGACATGGCTATGACTTCTTGACCTGCAAACCTTCCAAATGTTTCGCCCTGGAAAATAACAACATACTTCCAGTAGTGATAGATTTCCTTTGAAGCCAAAAACACGAATTCTTAAGCAAATGGAAGAAACCCGGATTTGGCGGGCATACTTCACATTGGGATGTACCTCCACCGGCCATTTGTAAGGGTAAGTATGCCCAAATTCTCTCAGCTGGCAGGCAAGATTGCATACCCACTGAACGCGAACATTGATTCCAAGGAGGTGGCCGTTAAAATGAGTGGATGTTTGATTCTTTCAGGAGCACATGCATGCAGGATTCGCAAAACCGGGGTCCTCACTTTCAAAGACAAGCCCAGTGCCGATGGATTAGCCCTAGAGCCTGCTTCCAACTTTGTGGAAGTGAACTCCCCCCCCAGTCTTGGCGGGTGATACACAGGGCCTGCAGAAGTCCAAGAAAAAACAATGGGGTGCGTCCTTTTGTGAGAGTTTCCGCCTTGTTTGTGGTTTACAAGGGGAAAAAAAGGAAAACCACCTTTTGGGGGGGGGGTCCCCCCCCAAAAAAAAACAAATACCGCTGGCCTACCATAGGCCAGTAGTGATTCTGGCTTATGGACCCTCCCTAAACCAATTGGATCGCTTGACTGTGGGCCAGAAAGCTTTCACAGCAGACCTTTTCCTGGGTCTCTTCAAGTGACATCTCCTCAAAATCAGATGGTGGCCGAAAGCCCGTCTGAGACACCCCAGCGGAACACACCGCAGCTCAAATGGGCCGCTGTGCAGGGCTCTCCAAATGGGCCGTCAAAACAGGCGAACCCCCGAAATTGGTGGCTCCCCTGAAAAAGATGGCTCCCCGCAAGTCTTTGCCTGGGCATCAAATTTGCGCAGCCCCCCGCTTCAGGCATATCCAAAATAGACACGCTCGGCTAAGTTGGGCCCAACTGCGGATGTACAAATCCTATGTTTACATGTGAATTGATCTGTAGATACTCTCGAATGGCTACCATGTCACCAGATCCAGCTCCGGAAGGGCCCAGTTTGCACCCCCCAAAAGTAATTTTCCGAACCCCTGTTTTCCTGGAACTCAGTTTGTTCAGCGACCCTGGACCAAAAAAAGAAACCCTTTTTGGGGAAGACCATTTTTAGTGGGGCAGCCACCCCCCCAAAAAAACAAAAGGAACAAAGGGTGCCAACAACTGAGGGAACATTCCGACCCAACACGAAATATGCACCCACTTCTCCGAGGCGATGTTTTAGCATCACGGTCAAACGGAGTGGGAGTCGAACGGGTTTTTGGCAACCATCCGCAGTATGGACATGTAGCTGGCCTCTTGTTTTTTCACCATTGTCAAAGTCACCCCCGTTCAGTGATGGGTTAAAGGGAAACCAACCGATTCCATTTTCTGACTTTGACAACCCCTAGAAACAATCAAAATAATGACCCAGCAATGTTAACCCCGGATTAATGATTAGGGGGGTGTCCCCTTTAGTGGGGATTCAGTCCGCTTTTGGAGGGAACACCCCCTAAAAATGGGTTTCGGGTCTATTCATGCCGGGTCAACATTATAGGGAACCCTGCGATCGGGAGATGAAGCCGGAGCCTCGCGTCGACTCCTTTTGGGGTTCCGGGCCCGAGCGCGCTTGATCATCTGCTCCGCCACCAGGTGCTGAGCCGGCACGTCCACATCCTGCAAGGAATCCGAGGCGGCGCAGCCCCCAACCTTTCGGCTCCCCCGGCCGTTTTTTTCTTTCTGGGAAAACAAAAGGATCTGGGCGCTGCGGTTGGGGGCTTGGACAAATGAAACACTTAGGGACCTGGAAATCAAAAGCTCAACCTTTTGGGACCTTTACTAAAAATGGGAACCCAAACCGGGAACATCAAAAGGTCAACAGGCCGATTTGGGCAATTGAGCAACATGGAAGTGGACAGGGTCGCCCCGTCTTCACCTTTCTGTCAGCTTCCATGATTGGAGGGAGGGTAAGGAAACGCATAATGACAGCAAATGGTCCGAAAAGCTACGTCAAATGGGCCCTTTTCAGATTGGTTCGTGGGGAGGCCTAAAGGAACACCACAGTGTGGCGGCTTTGACACATAGCATCAAACCAGGTCCAGTTTATGCCTCAAATATTGCAAGTAAGCCACCCACACCACCCACAAGACTATCGTAAACTAGGGAGTTGCAACGCGTTCCCTTGCAACATGCTAGGCAGGGATCCTTACATTGTACACCTGAACATTGCCTTGTAAATTGTGGTTTCCCTTTAGTTTTGGTGTTGAAAAGATGTTTCAAATGGTTGCAATATTTGTATCTTTTAAGGAGCTCTGCTAGGGGCCACCCGCAGAACTCCACTTCTAAAATCGAGATGCGGGCCGACCAGATCCAAACGACCCAGCCGAAGGCACCTTGAGCCAGCCGCATCGTGCCGGGCAGTTCGTGCCGTTGGTGCCGAAGCAGTCTGACATCTCCTGAGAGCGCTGAGCCCCTTCCTTTTGCTTGAGCCCCCCCGCGGAAAAAAAAGAAGAAAGTATTTCCAGGGAGAAAAAACACTTGTTCTTAAGCAAATGACCTGTTATATCCTCCTTGGGCTTGTGGGGTGGGGTGAGCATCTGCTTTGATGTCTGTGTGGTATGTACGTTTTGCTTTGGACTCAGTTGCCCAAAGGACCCAAACAAAAAGGTTAACCTTCTGGGGCAATGACTAAAAATGGATCAACATGGAGAAACCTGAAGGTCAGAAGGTCGGCTTTGGGCAACTGAGTGGAGGGTCTGTGTCTGCATTTGCTTTGTTTGGGGGGGGGGTTGCCCAACCCAACCCAACCGAGCCCAACACAGCCCAAACAGCGAACAGTAAACCAAGCAACCAACCAATCCAACCGACCAACCCGACTAGCCCAACCAAACAGCCAGCCAGCAAGCAAGCAAGCCAAGCAATCAATCAGTGAGTCAGTCAGTCAATCAACCAATCAATAAATCAATAAATTTATCAAAGAATCAATCAATCAATCAATCAATCAATCAACCAACCAACCAACCAACCAACCAACCAATCAATCAATCAATCATTCAATCAAAACTATCAAATCAATCAAATCAATCAATCAAATCAAATCAAATCAATCAACCAACCAATCCAATCCAATCCAATCCAATCCAATCCAATCCAATCCAATCCAATCCAATCCCATCCATCCATCCATCCAATCTATCTGCCTACCTATCTCTCGTATCTAAAGAAATTGTTTGGCCCTAGACAAATGATAAAGACACAAGCACATGGCAGCAACCAGATTGTAGTTTGCAAATTCCACCAGCCACACCGCCCTGCCAGAAGGAAACTCAGCTCAAGTTGGCCCGAGAGGGCAATCCTTACAACCCACTCAAATGGAACTACAGGGAACCATGTGTGTTTTGTTGCGAGCTTGACGGTAATCAAGTAACCCCTGATTGGATATGGATTGGTGGCTTGGATTTGGATTTGAACCCCTGGCTTTTGTAGAAGCTAAATGGATTGGACACCACCCATAACCCCTAAACCACCAATCCAAACCACCAATTGGGAGGCTGAGATAAATGCTACCTTTTGTTTTCCGAGGTTCGGGTGTGCTGCAGGACAGGTCGTGGGTCTTGGCGTCCGTGCGATATCTGCCCATGGTGTGGGGGCCCATGGTCTGGCCCCCCGTGTACTGGATGATCTGGCCTTCGGATGCGTGTCCCCGCCATGGCGTGTCTTGTTTTAAAAGCCCCCCCCCCCCAATGTCCTTTGAGAGCGGGCCGCCATGGGGGCTGTGTTTTTGCAATCAGCCTTTTTTACCATGATTTTCTGCGCTGCGCAAAATGAAGGCCCCATGGTGCCCCCTTCTGTTTCCTTTTGGATATCTGTGAAACACCTCCAAAGAAACGCATACTGCAAGCAAGGGAACGCGGACACCGTCAATATATCCCATTTATCATGACTTTGTGGTTGAGTATGGCTGGTGTACTTGCAATATTTGCGGCGCCCACCGATGCAGTACAGTTGATCTCCGGTTCTATTACGCTATGGTTGTCAAGGTTTTGCCGGTAGGGCCCATCAAATCCTAGCAATGGCCAATGGGCTTTTTGGGGTCTTTTGGGTGCCTTTCTGTCGGGAGGGGGGGGGGGGCAACATTGCACGATCAGCACCGCGCGTAATGGGAGCGCAGCAAAGTTGCAACTCAAAAAGTTGAGGCTTCTTGCAAACCCCTCAAAATACATTCAGGGTGGCTCTTAATGAGGATCTGCACCAAATGACTATGCACTATGATTCACAAATTACCCTAGTCGCAGGTTGTCGCTCGTTGTACCCTGGAATGGGTGACCTTCTGAACTCATTCGCCCAAATGGCATCCGCATACGAGGCACGACAAGTGGGCGGTGCTTTGTGTTTTCCTTTCACGGACGAACGAAACATCTAGGCGGCTGGCTGCTGCGAGGGGAGCCGGAGCACTGTTCTGGTGACCCAGCTTTTGGAGTATCACAAAGCTGTCCTCAGATCCCCCGCTAAAAGTTCAACTTTTAGTGGGTTAAATGGACTAAAGAGCCAAAAAGCTAAGGGGATGGCTGGGAGCCACCAAGAAAACATCTAACCATCGTGACCATGTCTCTCAAAATTGTTAGCGAAACTAAGTAACAAAACCGCCTTTCAGCAAGAGCTTTTGGCTACCATGACCATTCCCTACAAGATCCACCGAACAAATGAAGAGCTTTGGAGATGGCCAAGCAAGCATCGCCAACCAAGCAACAAAAAAGCTTTTGAGGGGCTTTGTGTTATTCAACCTGTTTTGTGACATTCTCGTTTTGCTGTTGGGTGTGTGGAGCCTGAAAAAGCTATCGAGCTCAACAAACAACCAGGGACCAACCTCCTTGAACAAAGAAGACTTAAACCCCTTGGTTTAAAGGGAAACCACCAAAAAACACCGCGATCTGTGCAGGGTCCAATTCCCAATGTTGACCCATACTGCGTTGGGGCAGGCGGTCCAAGGGGCTGTTGTGGGGCAGCGTGCCCGCAAGGCCGCCCCAGTCCCCCACCGCGAAGACGTGGGTGTTGGTGCCGCGGATGGTCATCTTGGGCCACTCCACCCCGTTGTACTCGAAGGGGTGCTTCGGAGGCTCCATGCCTCGAAAACCTCCCCACCCAAAAGAATTCACTCAGATCCATGGCTCTATGTACGGAGGGTTCGCAAGTCCCCCCTCCAGGACCATCTTCGGGAAGGGAGGGAATTCCATGGGGGGACTGGGAGTTGGAGGCTCTGCCTAGGTCGGCTTCAAGGGAAATCAAAGAGAAACCACCTTTTGGAGGGTTTCCCCCCCCTCCAAAAAAGAACAAACAGCACACCATATGGCAAAACCAAAGGGCCAACGGTTCAGTCGGAAAAAAAAAGTGTCCAAAACGTCGAGGGCGAAGGATCTGGTTGCGAAGCCTCTAGGTACTTTGAAGATCAACATGGAACACCCGCTTTCGGAACCTGATTGAATAGCTTGCGGAACTTATAGCTTGCGGGGGGTGCGGAGGGCGGAGGGCGCGAAAGTTTGGCTCTTCCGAAATGTTCGCCAAATCTTCCCTTCCAGGTAAGGACCTTCAAGGAGATCTCAAAAAGCCATTCTTGATGCTCCAAGATTCTTGAAGTGATTGGCATCCAAACCTGAGTCTTACGCTCGAATGCATGGTGGCCAGAATGCTTACAGTGAGCTTTACCCTGATAAATGCCACCCTCCAACCTATCATATCCTTACAGATCTCCTGGTAGCTCCGAAAGGCTCCCCCTTACCCAGCGAGTAACCCAGACTCTTCTGCAAGCTTCCATTTGCCTTTTCGCACCCCTGGCGAAAATGAGAAAATACGTCCAGTAGTGAAATCGATTCCCTTTCAAACCCAAAAGGTAAACCAAAAGAAGGCAATCCTTTCAGCAAGTGGAAGCATTTCACCATTTCGCCGCCCCTCCCTCCCCCCGTCCTTGGAACACTACTAGGTCCTCCAATAGAGAGGATAGAATCAGGGAACCATTTTTTCTGTAGTCTGTTTTAGTAGGGGAACCCTCCCAACCAAAAAAGAAACGGTAAAAGGGCACCAATTGCTGGGGGACCTTAGCTAACAAACCCCCCCCCCTCCCGCAAGGTGCCCCGGGTCTTCCGCGTGAGCACGGACTTGGGGAAGTGCAGAGGATCCTCCGGCAAACCCCCGCTGCAGGGCCGGGGGCAGCCGCCCTCCCCGGCGCGGTACAAGTTGTCCTGGAACATGGTGAACCTCAGCGCGGCTCTCTCCGATCCAGCGGCTTGGATCCAACAAAAGGACCCAAACTTGCTTTTTATCCGCCAAACTTTTGGGTTTGGCTAAAACAGGATCCAAAAAAGGATCCGAAAATAGCCCAAACCCGAAAAGTGTAAAAGTCAAACTTAAGTAGGTCATTGCCATAACCTCAGCCTCCCTCTGGCTCCGATTGGCCGATTGGCCCTGGCTAAGGCTCCTAGCTTGGTTGTTGGAAGGACTCGGTTGCGAGACCCCTGTGCATTTGGATTCACTTCTTGTGGGTTCTGATGGTCTCGATTGGTTCTGTGGGTTGAACTCAGCTTCCCTCTGCGTGTCGATTGCTTTGCTGGTGAGACCCCTCTGCATGCAACTTGGGTCCAATTCGGAAAATCCATTGTTGCAACCAAACAGATAGAGGAGGCCAGCTCAGCTTCCTTCTGATTGTTTGGATGGGTGGTTTGGTGGTTACTTTGTGGTTTCATCAAATTCATTTCTCGGAACATGTGAACCACTCCCCCCCGATTGCGGATCTTAGGTTTTGGAAAACCGGATCTCGGCGGGTGGCCAGAAAGATTGGCGGTTGGATTGGCTCACGGGTGGCAAATCAAATCAATTTGCCCTCTACAGGACTAACGGGGGTCAAATCCCCAAGCCAACCCAAACCTCAAATTCATGGTTACCAGCCGGAGGGGCGCCAACTGTCAAAACATGTGGGCCCTTTTTCTCACGTCCGATCGAGATTGGCCAAACAAAGTCCGTGAACGGTGTTCTTCACCACTATACATGTGGGACCCCAAAAAGTGGTCAAGGTCTGACTAAAGTTAAGGAAGACCTTTTTGGGATGTTTAATGGGGGAAACCAAAGGAACCTCAGCTGACGGTGAGCCAACCAGCCACCGTCAAAAAAGACAAAAATAACAAACCGGGGCAAGAAACAAAATGCTCGAGGGCCGAGACGTCAAATAAAGAAAACAGCCGCGAGACATTTTGAGATCGCCCCTACTCCCCCTCAAATTTGCATGGAACGCAAAGAGGGTCTACAAGAAACGAGACTCCTTTGTTGGGTCTCCATGTTGGCCTTCAGCAAAGCAAGCAGTCAGTTGGAGCACTTAAAGCGGTACCTGACAAAAGGAGTCGGGGTGGGCGAACTGCCGCCTAAACATGATCTCTCGGTTGAGTCTACCGCCATGAATCAGGGTAGCTCCCAGAAAGCGAAACCCAACCACTGAGACGTTGTGCACCAGGGTCCAACCTTCAAGGAATTGTGTTTTGTCGGTTGGCTCTCTTTGCTTGTTTTCTTTGTTTTGCTGGTTCCTCGGCAAGGCGCGGGGAGTTGGGGGTTAGGCCCTTGTACCAGGTCGGGTTGGCATAGATCCCGTCGCTCATTGCCCACTTCACCTGACAAAACCACGGCAGGCCCTAAAAAACAAATGGGAGGGGAGCTGCATATATATATATATATACATATAAAGGACCGTCCCGCCCGTGTTCCGTTCGAAGTGCATCTAGAAGGGTGATGCAAGCTTCCGAGCAGACTTTCCATACTCCCCTAACAGGAGTCTCCTTTTGGGTGACCATTTTTTGGCTGCCAACCCCAGCCGGTTCTATCCGGGGTCAAGATTACGGCAATTTACCGAGTCACAAGCAGCCTTTTCACCTGCTGTTGCCCCCTCCCCCCCCCCAAAAAAAAAACACCTCACCCTCCCCAAGAGAACAACACAGACAATGGCTCTTGATGTTTTTAGGGGAACTTCCTTCCATCTACGTAGTAGCCACCCTCCCCCCGAATCGAAAGCCACACCCAAAACAATTTTCAACCCAACAAAGCCATTGATTGAGGGCTTCTTGGCTGCCTGGCTTGGGCCCAAAAAAAACCTGAGCGTCTGCTTCATCCTTTGCCTGTCCTAAGGAATACAGACTGTGCAAACTCCTGAGCTTGACATGACTGATCGACTCTCTCCCTGAAGCTTCCGAACTTGCAAAACCCAAAAAAGAGTGTAGAAGATTCCGATCCTGAAACTGATGGCTTTGGGGGTTCCATGTTCATTTCCAGAAAAGTAAAGTTTTTTCGGTGAAGTACCCGTTGGGAACTCAATTTCCCCGTTTTGTTTTGTCATCCCTCCTTTGCCCGAAAGAAACATGTGCCATCTGCTTTCACGGGCTCCTTGCAGACATCATTTGGGATGTATGCCCCACCTGCACTTGAATGTTCAGCCCAAGTAGTAGGTTATAGTAGGCTGTCATATCTCATAGATGTAGATGGAATGATACAGTGGATCGACGAAATCCTGCACCACTTTGAAACCATGGGAAGCAATTGTTTGTTGGTATTTACAGGGGAATCATTCATTCCAGGGTTTCTTAGCTGGTGCAGGAGTTTGTCCATCCACAGTCGGGGTTGAGTTGGCTTCTTGCCATACCTTTAACCTGCTTGCTAAGCTGAGTGCTCTCTCAACATCCGTGTGCATGACCCCTTCGAACTAGGCTGCCTTGGAGCCAGAGCAAAAGACGTAAATAAAAATGACTCTCTTGCCTGGATGGCAAGAAAAAGGAAGTCCAAACCTTTACCACTAGAATGCTCTTTCCAAAAAGTTTAAAGTTCATGAACTCGGGAAGTGAGAATAGCATTGTGTAGGTCATGGAAAAGCCAGATAAGGCCAACACGTCCTGGGGCAGCTTTCTTGAGGTCACAGCCTTAAGCCCAGTGACTCACTCAACTTGCTCTCAAAGGGGGTTTCAGATTGATTTGCAGGAAAATGGTCCTGCCAAATTGCCGACCTCCAACTCACTTCTTGAGTGGGGCAAAAAAACTCCAAACTTGATATTTACCACCAAACTGATCCAAACCCCACTCAAGCAAGTCCAGTTGAACTCAGGATTAAGTCATTGAACCTATTGGTTTTTAAGGGAACTCAGCACTGCGGGAAACATTGGAGGTTTAGCGAATGAATTTGATAGGTAAAATAACGGGCCAGTCAAAACTGAGTGCTTTAAAGCGGGGAGGCGGACCACTTTGGGGTGCTTCCACCGCCCCCCAGATCCAAAGCACAAATTAGGTCCGCTAAAGTGACTCTTTCGCCTGGATCTCAAAATCATTCTCGGGGGACCCCCCCTTTCAAGCCTGAGAAGGAAGCGCACGAAAGCCGTGGCTTTTTCCCCCGGTGGCTTGCGGCCTTCAGCCCGGGGAAAGCCGCTGAACTGGACGTCCCCATCCCCAGAACAGAATGGGCAAGCTGATCAGGCTGTCAACTGGCAAGACATGGAAGCACGCGTTGAATAGCACCGTTAAGAGGTCGTAACGTGCCTTTGGAGCGGGGTGGGGATGCTGGGCACTTTCACTTGAGCGGCCGGCATTCCTGACAACCTTATCATCACCAACCCCCGTGAAAGGGAACTGTCGAGAATGCAGGACCCTGAGCTCGACATCCCCAGCATCACCAACCATCCCCAACATCCCCAGCATCCCCAGCCAACTCCATCCAGGAAGCCCAGCCCCCTCCAGCTGCCCAAAAACTGCTCAAATTGGACGCGGGAAATCCCCTCTTGTATGGCCCAAAAACGGCCCAAAAAGGTCCTCCCCGCCCGCACCCTCCTAGTACTCACTTCGTTCGCCAAAACTGAACTCAGCCTAAGCCTCCGCAGAAGGCTGGCTTTCGTGATGGTAACTTAGAGCGCAAAAGCTGCAAGGACCATCTAGAAGAGGGGCGCAAACAAATTCTGTGCGGCGTATGTTTAGCTTCCTTTCCCGAGATGTGTCGGACACGACAGAAGCGACGGTGAAGCCGAGGAAAAATCGCCCGCGCCTTCTTGAAGCACTCGGTGCCCGCTTTGGGGATGCCGCAGTCCGGGTCCACCTCCGGCTCCTCCTCCTCCGGCTCTTCCTCCGGAGCCGCGCGGCCGGGCGGCCGGGCTGAGCGGTTTGGAGGGACTCTCGGTTGTGCAGTGACCCGGGAGAAAAGGAGGGAACCCTTTTTGGGGGAAGACCATTTTTAGTCACTAACAACTGAGTACAGCCACAACAAGACCTTTTGGGGCAGCCACCAAAAAGAAGAGAAAAAAAAGGTGCCACTGAACAACTGAGGACTGTTTTAGGGGGAGGGATTCCCCGAAAAAGGGAACCATGAAACCTGGAAACTGGAATTCCAGGAACAACCCCCCTCCCCCAATTCCAGTCTGAAGCGGGATTGAATGTCGCAACATCGTGCAACCAACGCGGGGTGCTCGTCCTTCAGAAGGGGGACACTCCAAAAAGTCCCTAAACTTTTTTGTTTGCCAAAATGGTCCGGAAAATGACCACTTCTGTGATACAACAGAAATGGCTTCCCAAAGGCTAACCCCCCACAAAAAGGGGGAGGTTCCCTTGTATCACAGACGTGGGAATTAACCCCTTGATCCCACAACCCTGCCAAAAGTGACGAAAGTCCAGCAACTCAGGAAGCATCTCCGGTAATGGTACCAACTCCAAAATACGCCCAGGGGGTCCACCTTTCTGGAACCCTTCCGGAACCCCAGCCCAAACCCGCTCCTCCGCAAAGCTTTCAGCTGCGGAAAAAGACGAAATGGCCGGGTGTCAACTTGCGTTTCCAGGCAACCAACATTTCGTTGGTTTCCTCTGGACTCTCCAGAGGAAATTGCAGAAAGGAGTTGCATGGCACACGGTTCACGAACTGTTTTCTATCTCGCAAAGATCTCAAAGGGTCCTCTCCTTCACAAAGTTGTAACCCTAGTCGAATTGTCCAAGTGTAAGCACAAATTACTAAACCCTCCATTTGCTTACTTAAGTTCCCTCAAACAAAATCCAGTAGTGATAGATTCTCTTTGAAACCAACAGGGGAAAACTGCAAATCTGTATTTAACTCCGAGGTTTTAGCAGCTCCGTTCAAGACATCAAGCCAAAGAGTGAGTCGTCCTTCGGGTTGGGTTACCCGCTAACAAAAAACGCACCATATTGACTTCAATCCAAGAAAGACTTAAAAAAAACCTTGATTTGCACAAGGGGCCTTCCGTGTTCCATTTAGCGTCACGTGTCAGAAACGCCAGTCTAACAGCTTTCTGTGCGGAACCCTGATTGCAATGGGACCCCAGGTTAAGCAGAACACTTGGTTGATGTTGATCGGGGGGTGTCCAATTCCTTTTAGTGCTTGGGTTCAGACCACGTTTGTGGGCCCTATTCGCTTTGAGCAAGTAGCCGCAAGCCCCCCCCCCTCCAAAAAAACAAAAACAAATAAACAACAACAAAGAACAACGGCAACTATGCGGCATGGCTTTCCCAAAAGTAAATGCCCCCTGCGTACTGTAGAACGGCCTTGTTCACTTGGCCCTTCGATTTCTCAAAGACGTGGCAGGAATAGTCTAGGTGCGTTCCCTCGAGAAACAGGTGGACTAAACAACTCCAAGCCGTTTTGCGGCGAAGATGTGCCGCCAAGCTGCGGTGGTCGTGAGCATTTCAGTGGCAGGGGCCTGTTCTTCTTCTTTGTCCTCTGTTCCTGCGGCGTTTGCCCCACCCAAAGTATCCAGGGCTCCATCCTCTTTCTTCTCCAAAAGCAAGGCCTATTCTAAAGCCTTAAAGCCTGGATCTAGATGTTTCTTGTGCAAAGCAATGAGAAGAGACACCCTGCAAAGTCCATGGTTCCTTTTGACTACCTTTCCATGGTTGTCAGGCTTCACAACCCTTGGCATGGTTGTAAAAAACTTTGTGTTCTGCAGCCCCAAACCTGAAAATGAACAGAACCAAAAAACTAGAGGACGATTGGCCCGAAAGCATTGAACCCCAGGTGCTCATCCAGCCACGGGGACACCTTTTTACATCGCTGCGGCGAGCGTGTCTGCACGCGGCGATGCTCAATGTGTATGGTCACATGAGAGCTCCATCTCATCGTCCTACGAGAGGAAACATGGCAGTGCTCGATCCCACATATTTACATCCGTTAAAACAAGGAGAGTAAAGCTCGTAAAGCTCGAAACGAATTACAAGCAAAAGGAAAAGCAATCAATAGCAAAGCTTACACGACAGCCACAGTTTCTGCAAAGCACGCTCGCGCAACTTAGCTCTGTGCAAGATGGCTCTGCGCAGCTTGGCTCTGTGAAAGTTGGCTCTACGCAAGCTACTTTTCGCGAGAGGCTCTGCGCAACTGGCTCTGTGCAAGTTGGCTCTGCATGAGTCTGCTCGGCGCAATGCGCTTTGCGCGAACTGCGCCGCGCGATTTCTCACGAAAGTGGTCTGCGCAAGCTGCATTGTTCCAGGCTGCTGCGCGCAAGTTGCTCTGCGCAAGTGCTCTGAGCAAGTTGCTCTGCGCAAGTGCTCTGCGTCAGTTGCTCCGTGCAAGCGCTTTGAGCATGTGCTCTGTGCAAGTTGGTCTGTGCAAGTTGCTCTGCGCAAGTGCTTTGTGCAAGTGCTCTGCGCAAGTTGCTCTGGCAAGTTGCTCTGCGCAAGTGGCTCTGCACAAGTTGCTCTGCGCAAGTGCTGCCGGAGCTGTGGGAATGTACTTCGCGTACTATTTTTGTACTTAAAAGTTGCGATTTTCCAGCCGGAGCTGCGGGAGTGTGCTTCGCGTACTACGTTTGTACTTAAAAATTCTGATGTTCCAGCCGGAGCTGCGGGAGCACGCTCCGCATACTACGTCTGTACTTAAAAGTTGCGATTTTCCAGCCGGAGCTGCAGTACTACGTTTGTACTTAAAAGCTGCGATTTTCAAGCCGGAGCTGCCGCGGACCAGGGGGGAGTCGAACCCGCGACCGCGGGATTGTGAGAGCAGGCGCGCAAACCACGAGACAACTTCCAAAGGCCATTTCGCGAGCAACAAAATCGCACGGCGCCACAGTGAGAGCGCTTCGACACGCACGATCTCCGCAGAGAGTTCATCCGGGAATCTCAAAAACGCAAAAAACCTCGAGTTTCTGTACCTCGACCACGCCGATCTCCGCAGAGGGTCGCGCGGGCACCGACAAAAACGCAAAAAAAACCTTGAGTTTTTGCACCTCGACCACGCTGATCTCCGCAGAGATTTCATCCGGGCACCGCAAAAACGCAAAAAACCTCGAGTTTTTGCACCTCGACCACGCCGATGTTCGCAGAGGGTCGCGCGGGAACCGACAAACCACGCCAATCTCCGCAGAGGGTCGCGTTCCCGATCGTTGGCAACATCCCCACCCCCCGCCTTAAAAGAGATTATTAATACCGAGCTCTTTCTCTTTCTTTCCCGCGCGTTAAGTACTTAACCTAACTTACTTAACCTAGCTTACACAGCTGCTAACGCCGAGCCTCTACACCTATCTTAGCTTAGCTCTATGCACCTAGCTCTATGCACTTGGCTCTATGCACCTGGCTCGATGCACCTCGCTCTCTGCACTTGGCTATGCGCAAGTAACTCTATGCTGGTGACTCCACGCTGGTATCTCCATGCTGGTGACTCTGTGCAAGATACTCTGCGCAAGTTGACCAAGAGCTCCTGATACCTCCATGCTCGTGACTCTGTGCAAGCTACTCTGCGCAAGTTGGCCAAGAGCTCCGCACGGAAGAACCCTTCGCCATGCTTTCGGGAAAAAAAACATGCCAAGAACAGTGAAGCAGGGCTAATTCTTTGGAGGCCCTTCACAACTACAGGACGACTTTCAACATTCCAAATCAACAATATCTTCACTTGGGCCACTGTTGGCGCGGTTCAGTCATGGCTGGTATAGGTTTGTCCGCCCATGTCCCTCCCTTTGCCTGAGCCCCTCAGGAAAAGATAAACATATTGCCGGTAGTGGTAGATTCTGTTTTTAAACCACATATATACTTAACCAGATGGAAGAAATGAATTATAAACCGGATCTGTCCGAACCTCCATGGCCTCTGACTCGTCGATGCCCCGATCGCCAAATTGCAAGTAAACTAGGTCCTCCAGTAGAGAGGTTAGAATAAGGCTACCCTTTTTTTCTGTAGTCTATTTTAGTAGGGGGCCCCTCCCCCAAACGGGCACCCAGCTGGGGGACCTAGTAAACCCAACCCACAGCCAACCACACATGGCAGATTGCAGAGGTTGCCTGGTTCCCTTGCGCCATTTGGGGCATCACCCTGAAGCCGGACCTGCCGAGCCTCTGGACCGCAGCAATTTGAAGCCCCGGGAACCAACATGCGCATCACTGGGGATTTCACCCACTAAACCACCATAAGCAAAAATGTAAAATGTTTCCCAACAACCATGTCTAGGGGTTGGTTCCAACCCTTTTTTTCAACCCTCCTTCCTTTTCGAACACCTGCCGTTTTCCCCGGGTTTCTGGAGGTTTTCTAGAAAGAAGGATCCCTGGAAAAAATGGGGAGGTACCCCTAGAACCCAAATCAGGAGGTTTTCGTGTCTGGTACCCAACACCGCTGGCAAAATGGCCTTGGGAGGGCTGAAAAGGACCAGAAATGCTCTGAATCTAACGTTCTGCGCTTGGTTTGTTGCTTCTGCCTGGTTGGTTGGTTGGCTGGCTGCCTGATGGGTTTGTCTCCAAACTAGACATTGATTAAGCTTTGTTTCGTTCTCGTTCAAACGGCCCAAGCAAAGATGCTCGCAAAAAAAGACACGTCGCTTTCGAGCCACATCCCTCTGAGTGGATGGGCCAAACAAAGTCCAAACTTGTTATTTTCAAAATGGTCCAAACCCAAAAAGTTGCCGAAATTCGAAACGGAATCAGCTTGCGCCTGCTCCTCCGCTTGCTCCTTCCGCTCCTCCTGTTCCACCGCCGATGACGCTGGGCTCCTGGGGTAAAGCACGCGTCCCAAGGATGGATTCGAGGAGAGGGCTTCCAACCATTCTTAGCATTCTTGCCCGGGATCCTTGTGTTCAGGAAACCCTCAAAAACCCGGAGATGAAACTAATAAAATAATAATAAACAGCTAGATCAAGGTTCACCTCGCCGGGCGCGAAACTGAAAGAGCTACATGAAGATTCTAAAAAAACAACAACAAGGGGTTCGACCAGCACTTTCAACAAAACGACCTAGAGGTATTGCAGCCGCTTGAAGGCCAAGACTGATAGACCAATGACGTCAACGATCCAGGTGTTCCTCTCCCACGCCAATGGGTCCAAGTCCAAATCGAGTTTGCTTCTTTCAAAAGTTGATCTGGCATCTGTTTGTTCAAAAGAGCAGCTGGGAGTTTCCTTTCGGAAAAAAAAAGCCTCCCTTTAACTTTCCATGTCAGGCCTGGTTCAGCTCACAGAAACAAGCAAAACCAGAAAAAAAAACACGCCGCGAAGGCTGGGGGTGGGGACGACAGCTCCCAGCACACCTGCACTGAAGGGGGGCTTACCCTCCAAAAATAGTCGCACACGGAACTCGAGGGTGGACACTCCAAGCACACGCCCTTGCACACTTGAAGTTAAACCAACATAGGGGCAATTTTCCGGTCTATGTCCTCAAAACTACCACCCCCAATCTTGAATCCCTCGGTCCCTGTCCGGGGTCACAGAACCAAAAGATGATCCAACTCCTGTCCGGGGTCTGTGTGTTGTGTTGGGTCATAACGTGGTGGCCCCTGCACCCTGTGAACGCAAGCGTTTAATTTGTTGAATACTGGGGACAAACACATGTAACAAATAAACATAAATGTATCCGTGTCTTCCAACACACCCAACAGTACAGGATAACAGGGGCTGCCTGGATCTCCTCTTCAAAAGTTGACCAATTTACCGGCGGTTCCCCTTAAAACTGCCACTTTTGCAGGTAAGAGCTTGAAACCGAGGAAACCCCCAGAAGTTCAATCCCAACCAGCCGACCCGGACACTTCGCACGACTCGAAACCGGAGAAAAGTTCGTTGGGTTTCGTTCCAATCTCCTGGCACTTGCCGTTCTGGAGCACCGAGCCCTCAAGGCCTGGCGGTGGGCGCCGCCCCCAAACAGCACCAACATCCTTCCAGTTGCTACCAATCCCCTCAAACATCCAGCCCCCCAGCTACCAAACCCAAGAAACAAAGTGCAAAAGCCTTAACAAACACTTCCATTTGCTTTTTCGCCCCTGGAACAAATGAGAACATATGTCCAGCAGCGATAGGTTCCTGTTAAACCAACATGGGACAACAAACAGCACTCATTTGAGCAAATGGAAGCATCGGTTCCCAAGTCCTTTCCTGAGTTGCCAGTAGGGTAGAGTGACATTTTGTCAGTTCATGTATGTCTTTTTGTGGTGTGTGGGCTTACTTGCACTGCGCGCTTTCGCAAGTTGTTTCAGGGGCCTCTCCATCCCTTCAGAACATGGCCGCGTTGGCTGGTTTTTTTGAGGTTGTCCTTCGGGTTTTCCGTTGACACCACCGAAAAAAAGAGGACCAACTGAGAGAAATTCACAGCTCCATGTCAAGGGGTTCGGGAACCCCTACGTCAAAAAAGCGCGGAACCCCAGTCTGTTGGTTCAAATGGCGTTTGGGGCTTTTGGGGGGGGGGGGGGGGGGGGAAATTTCAACATGAAGCTGGGACATCTTTGATGGAAATCTGCGTTCGTCAGCGATATCGCAATCCCCCCCCCCCCCCCCCCCCCCCCAGTGAGGTCTCGATGTATGGTTTCTTTTCCCATGGAAAAAGATTGAATGGGGACCCCCCGAGCAAGGCCAGATGCGAAGGTCCAACAAGACCCCTCTTCAACTTCCACTGGCTTAAAACCCCTGGAAAAAACAACATATTTCCAGCAGTGATAGATTCCCTTTAAACCCAACTGGGGGAAATAACAATTATTCTTAACCAAATGGAAGTGGCTGTTTGGAGATAAACTCACTCAGATTCAACGTCCCGCCCTCCAATTCCATTGTTGGCAGGGTTCCTGAAAGGATGCATCCATGCTTTACCAAAGGATCCTCTAAATCAGCTGGTGTTTGCAACCGGTGCCACAAGCTTTTTTACAATGCTGGCTGGTGGGGAGCTCTTCCTGAGCAAAAGGTTAGACATTGTGTAGGTTGAATGGACAAGCCGTGCGCTTCCAATTTAAAAGGTCCCGTGTTTGTTGTCTATTTCTATTATTGTCCCGTGTTTGTTGTCTAGCTTTGGGGTCTCAGCCCAGATAAGCTCCGGGGTGGTCCGGGGCGGCCGTGAGGTAAGGTTCCACGAGGGTTCCACCAGGGTTCGACCAGGGCTCCACCAGGGTTCCACGAGGTTCTGCGAGGGCTGCGGGGTGGTGCGAGCACTAAAAGGAGCACCGCATGCTGTTGGGGATGTCACCTGAGCTTGTTTTTTTTTTTTGATTGGGGGGGGGGGGAGAAAGAAGGTCACACCAAAGGCCAGCCATGTGTGCATGTTCCGAACGGCTATCTCCACCCATACCCGCGTTTTTGTTGGCTGATTTACAGGACAACCAACCGGACATTTGACATCTCCACAAATTTCGGGGGTTCCCATTTACAACCTCGCCACACGCGGACCATACACGGACGTCCGAAGAACAGTCCCAGGGGCAAAAGCAGCTGCCGTCGATGCATGCCGCAGGCCCGAACTCGTCGGCGCAGTAGCCCCGCACCGTGCAGGTGTCCTCCGTGCGTCGGAGGCCCATGTGGGTGGACGGGGTCAGCTTGTCCGGGTAGCACTTCCCAGCCGCCGCCACGTAGCCTCAAGAAACCAAAAGCGCTCGGGAAGCTGCAAGGAGAAACTCTGGCAACCAAAACAGGAGGGATTGAACCCAAGCAGTCACAAATAGCTGGAAGATGCTTTTTCCGACTAAGAACAAAGAGGAGTTTGAACCCAACAAATCACACACAAAATAACTTGAAGCCGGACTTCGGAGCTTCGATCAATATGGAGGCTAGGAACCTATTCCCCCCTGCCTTTTCAGGAGCCTAAGGAAAAGGCCCGGCACCTGCCCCCCCTGAGGTTCGCCTTCAAAGTGCCCCTTTGATTCAAGTACTTCCGAAGGAAAGCCTTAAGGCAAGAGGAACAAACCTGTGAGCCCCATAAGTGCTTGCAACCAGGAAGAGCAGCAACCTCAAAAGGCTCATATTAAATAATTCGGTCAAAGGCGCGACCTGTTTCGAATCCTTCGGACAGCTTTGTGGCACAGCATGGTTGGGACCCTTTCTGCAATAAAGATGTCCATCTCCACAGGAAATGGGACTCCTAGGGGCCCTCAAAGCTACTCACTGTCGATCAGGTGGATTGGCCCAAAACGTCGAAACATTTTTTGCTTGTCACTAAAACGGGCTGCCCAAAAACCGACTCAAGCCCAGGAGCTCAGGATGTGGGGGCTATTTGTACAACCATGTAGGCCAGGGCAGGCTCTTGTGATGGAAAATGCATACATGCAGGCGTGCTTCTCAGGGTTGCTGCCCTTTGAAAAGTATAGCTGGTCCCTAAAGAAGAACCCAACACCATTGTTTTTCGGGGAGCCAGGGAGATTGACCCAATTTTGGAAAGCTGAATGCCAAGTGTTACCCGGAAGTCGGGCGGCGCCGTCATTTGTTTGGCCCATGGGCTGACAAATTTGGTGCATCAAAAAACAATTCACCTCCTCCTTCCAGATTTGGCCAGGCCGGGTGAAAAAGCCGATGGCAGAAACAAAACCAACCACTCACGGGGTAAGCATCGATGGATGGGCGCGATGGGAAGATGGGGATCCAAACCGCAGCCGGATCCTGGCCTTGAGCATGGATTTATCTGGTGAAATTCATAGGAACCAAGCCTATAAGTCCTCCAGTAGAGAGGGTAGAATAAGGCTACCTTTCTTTCTGCAGTCTATTTTCGCTATTTTAATAGGGGAACCCTCCCCAAAAAAGGGTAAAAGGGCACTACTGGGGCACCTAGCAGTGGTGAAAGCAATTGGAACCAAACTGCAAGCAGCGGGATCCATTTCTTCTCAACAAGGCTCACAAAAAAAGACCTATGCGGACGATCCGTTTAACTTCACACCTTTGATCTTGATACCCGCTAAAGGTTTATGATCATAGGTGGCCTTTTAGGGAAATAATTAGATGGCCCTGGTAGATGATTAAACCACCAGGTAAACCAGTTCCATATATCAAAACAACCAAAAAAGCCAACCCAACCTCACGCTCCGTTGCTAGGGGCCCGGCCGTCTTTGCAAATGCACCGGAAGTGGTGGCACATGGTAGGGCCTCTGCTGCCATCGCAGCCGTGCCACCAGCACGTGCCTCCTCAAGTCGAGAAAACTCGGACACCGATTTGACCGGTTGATACTGTGGATGGACGAAATCCTGCACCACCTAAGAAACCCATGGAATGAAGAATTCCCTGTAGATACCAACAAACAGCGGTTTCCCATGGTTTCACAGTGGTGCAGGATTTCGTCCATCCACAGTACATAAGTTATTTACATAAGTCATATCAGCTTCCTTCCGGATTGGCGTGTTGGTGGTTAAGGAGAGGTTTCCCATCTACCTTCTACAAGAACCAGGAGTTCTCCAAATCCCCAATGCCAACGGCAGCACTGGTCCGTAATTCGGTTCTCCAACATCTCCTAAAGCAGTGATGGGCCTCGCCGTCTCAATCCAGCCATGGTGACATGCCGAATGCGCTTTGCTTGGAAAATTTACCTGAGGAGGTCATGTCTGCAGCAGGCAAACTAACAAAGTATTCAGGGTGTTGAAGCTGGAGGGTTGACCAAGCCTAATTCAAGATCCCCTGGAGGGCGACCAGGGATCAAAGGGGCCCGAAGCATCTGGATCGTCTGTCAGCCCAAAAAGCGAACATTCATCTGTGTCATCATGTCTTGAAGCAACCGGACCAAGTAAGAAACAACGTAGGATGCCAACACCTCAACTGTTGCCACCAAGAATGGAAGCTGGCCCATCTAGGTGAAGTAGATTGCACAACATCCTTCGGCATCCGATTGACTTCTCCACGCGAAGGGAAGTTGGCCAGCTACTTTCACCCTTTAGCACACCTTCTGCAAACTCCACCGACAACACGCCCACACCCAACCCAGCCTCCCCCCCCCTTCCCCTCCCTCCTGTCCACTTTCCGCCGTGGGCCAGGCCCACGTACCACTCCTCTTCTGACTTGGCCTGGGGAAATTTCAACCGGGTTTCGCCTGAAGTCACCGAAACCTACACTGACAGACTTCCATTTGGCTAAGACCCCTGATTTGTTTGTTTTCTTAAGTGGTGACGTGATGAATTCCTTTTAAAACCAACAAGGGGAAAAAAAACAACAACAACATATTCTTAAGCAAATGAAAGCACATCCTGAGTCGACTCACCCAAACCTCTTCCGCACACCGCTATTTCCGCACACGGCCCTTTCAGAATTTGAGCCCAAGGCTTACTCAGTTGCCCCGGATGGGACGCAAACAAATAAAAGGCGATCACCTTTTGGCGCATGACGCAAAATGAACCAAATCACTTTCGGACATGTTCGGGATACCTCCAGCACGCCAGTGTTGAGCTAGGGGCGCCATACATCTTTCCACCTTGAGGGAACTCAATACAAATGGGAGACCGCCCTGTTCCTGCCAGGGATCAGCCCCCCCCCCAAAAAAAGAAACACCGCCCCGTTTTGGCCCTTTTCAATGAAACCCATGTTAGCCTTCATCTTCCTTGGATGAAACGCTGGAACCTTCCAACACGTTGAGACCACACCCAGCCTGGCCACGCATGGTGGGTTTCTATGGTTGTCCTGGGTTGGGGCTTCGATTCCTTCAACTCCCCCCTAAACATGATTCAGTGGAGCATATGTTGCAATCCTGCTGTTTAGGTACATCGTTCTTGTTGTTTTACGGGGCTGAGTCTGCATTCTGTTTCTTTACCGGGGTGAGTCTGCAAAAGATGGCTGGTTGGTTCATGCCACCGCCCATTTTCCCCTAGGAATCCCCCCCTTCCGCCTCCTCGCTATTGGACTCGGCCTCTAGGGTCAGCTTGTCTGCTCGGAGCTGGCGCAGCGACACGTCGCACTTTGTTGACTCGCAGGCGCCGTCCTGCGATCAGCAGATCGTCCTTTGTTGCGATATGCTCTTATTTGAATGAGCAGCTGACTTTTCTTCCTCGTCCCCTACAGAAAATAACATGGAAGCCAAAAAAAGAACACGTTTTTTCGCGGATGGGCTCCGTCTGTTGGGTTTCTAGGGGAGGCCGAAACTGGCCCAACGTTGCCAGCTTCAGAGCTTCCAGGTGAGTCCAAAGGTGGCCAGCCGTTCTTAAAAAGTGTTGACGTTTGGCGGCTGTAAAGCGCATACAACGATCTTCAATCCTATGGTGGGCCCAGAAAACCACTATATCAAGACCGTATCCCTATAGGAGTGGTTTATATGGGAGGTCACCGCAATGAAGCCGCATACAGCGACCGGGCAGCACCACAAGCCGCTGCTTCTTCCATGCCCATTCGGCCGCACGTCGCGCCTGGTCAAAATCCAGCTCGGTTGGTGAATCCGTCCGGGCTGGCTCCAGCAGCAGTAACATGGAAAACGCGAGCATTCGCGCCATCGTAGCGTTCGCTTTTAAGTTCGCTTCTAGTTGGGCAGGGCGTAGGTGGAATGAGAGAAAAAACTGCGGCATGCATATGGCAAAAGCCGCTCGGATGCCTGTCAGTGCAATTGGATCAATAGAAAAACACGCATGCTTCTTAGGGTTCATCCTCCATTCTCTTCACCCATCGTTCTCTTCAAAAATCCTGTTTTCGTTGGTATTTGTCCTATTCTCTGAGAAGGATCCCGGAAGAGAATGGAAATGGACATGGACTTGCTAGACTACGCATAAGAGACACCAATGACACCAATGGCTTTGCTAGAACACCTCCTCTTGAACTCTGGAAATGCAACTGGATTTCAACATGCCCAAGACGGACACCAATTCAGCTTCCCTCTTATTGGTGGTTTGGGTGGGTGGTTTGGTGGTTCTGTGGTTAGGGAGTGGTTTCCCATCTACCCTCTACAAGAAGCAGGGGTTCAAATCCCCAAACCACCAATCCAAATCACCGATTAAGGGCAACCTGACCAATGGCGCCGTGCGCGGATCGGGGAATCTGAGCGCTCCGCGTTATCAACGAACAGCTCTGTGCCTGTGTCCGTCCTGGCGGCAGCAGCTCGTTTTGCACGCCGCGCATGCCGAACACCTTTCATTTGCTAAAGCCACCTGGAAACAATATGTCCAGCAGTGATAGGTTCCCTTTAAAAACTAAGAGGGAAAATAACAAATGTTCTTGAGCAAATGCAAGAAACCCTTGCCCCTGCCGGTTCTTTGCCTGAAAACGGGGTGGCAATGCCGCAATGCAGAAAGAAACTGGGTGCTGCTGTTGGGGGTCTGGAAAATGGAAAACAAAACAATCCCCTTTTGGCTTCCGTTGCCCAATGCTGGTCTTGCAGTTAACCAAACCAACCACACTTTAAAAACCCAAAGGACAATTGTTACTCACTTGCCCAAAGGCCCTGCAAACAAAAGGTTTTCCGAGCCTGACCAACAAAAGAAAACCAAACGGTTTTCCAGGGTCGATTCGCTTTGAACTGAGACTATCAGCGAGGAGTTTGCGTGCCAGCAACAAAAATCAAGACCCGATGCCGCGGCTGTAAAGGCCCCTTGGCCCTCGGTCCTGAACTTCAGCTTGCCCTCCTCCTCCTGGAATTGGCAAAACCAGATATGACATGAAGGGACACCCCACGAGTCAAAGATACCCTAGAGTTAGCACTGAAAGGGAACCTAGAACTTAAACTCTGTTCTGGTGAGCTAAAACTTGGCTAGTTAAAGGAATACCCCAAAGAAAAATATTATGTCCGTACTACAAGGGAAACAACCCTGCTTCGCATGGTCCAGATCAGTTCTGAAGTCCACATTGCCAAGTTCAGCAACCCTGCTAGACAAAGGGGGCCGCCAACTCAGTTTGGGGTGCACCATTTTATTGAAGCCATCGAACAGAAAGGGATTTGGCTGTGGCTCAAAAATCGGTACGCGAATCCGAAATGGCACCTCGGCATTTGGAGGAAACTGAGGCCTGCACAACAGCCAGGGTGGGTGGTCTTTGTTTGTTCGGCGAGCTCACCGGTGGACGGGTGGGGAGGGGGGGGGGGGCAAACGAGTGTATGGTAAAGAATCCTTTTTTCTTGGGGATCCATTCTTTGGCTGAACAAAAAGGCAAACCAAAATGGAACCCTGGCAAATGAGGATGCTGAACCGACCTTCGTGGGGTGTGCTCCTTTCGGGCCCTCAGATTCTCCGCTTTGACCTGATTTGGAAGCTTCGTAAGTTGCACTCGGTATGGCAAACCCAGATGGACCTGAGTTCCTGGTTGATTTGCATTGGGGGTCTCAACCATTGGACTGTTGGGAAAGTGAACTGTGGGGGAAATCGAGCGAACCGACACATTGCAACCAAAAAAAACTACACACACACAAACCCGATTCCGTTCCTCTCGGTGGGAAACTGGACCAATGGCGTTTCCTAGAATGGGCCTTGGGCTTCCCATTGAAGAGAAAAACTAACAGGAGGGTCTAACAATTGTGGAAAATGTGCCCTGTGTGTGATTCCAAAGTTGTGGATTCCGCTTTCTTTCTCACTCCCTCACAAAGGGGATCCCCGAGGTGCCACTGAAAGTGGCCAGCCCCAAACAAGCCCTTCCCCCATCACCATGGCATTCCTTCTCCTTGCCAGCTGGACATTGACCAAGCGTCAGTCTTAAAAAGCCGCGCCTTGTGACGACCTCCCACGCTCCGACTCCCACGCCTTTTCAACGAAGGGGACCTCCGCAAATCGATCCGTCCCCGCAAGCCTCTCAGCCGAAGGGCGCCTTAAGCGGCCTACGGCTCTACCGGAACCTGCGCTTCAAGCGCAGGCCCCGCGCTGCGCGCGCTGCCGCCCCGCGGCCCAAGCCGGAGCTGACTCATCGGACGTGGGACAGTTGCCTGGTTTGCCTGCTGGGAATCCAGTAGAGAGGTTGGAATAAGGGTGCCCTTTTTTCTGTAGTCTATGTTACTAGGGGAACACCTCCTAAACAAAAGGGGAGAGAAGGGCACTACTGGGAGACCTAGCCATCCATATGCCCCCCCAAACTAGCAGTAGGTTACAGTGACTCATCTGTGCAAAAACATGTTTGTTTTCTTTCTTATCTGTGTGAACAAGTAAACATTGTACAGGTTCATGCATGTGTGCATGTGTACAAGTGCACATCGGTGTGCAGATGCGTACAAGCCATGGGTTGGATGCCCTCTGGTTGATCTGTTTTAGAAAACGCTCCGTTTGCACCCGTGTAAGGAAGATGCAGACCATGCCCTGGATTAGGATGTTATGTGTGGGGTCCAAACCTGTTTAAAACTGAGTTCATATCATCTTTAGCGAGCCCCCTAGTGTTTTAATGTTTACAGATATGTTGCAGGGCATCGTGCAAAAGTACAGCTTCTCCGGCACGCCCGTGCAACTTGCAAAGGGAGATTTCAAGCATGTTGCATTCTCTGAGTACGCCCACCCTCCATTACCAACCATCCACTAACAGTGATTGCTGCTTGACATCTGGCACGCCAAGGAAACAAAGGCGCCACAAATGCATTTCTATAGGGGGCATGGGTGGACATAAGGAAGTTCAAAGCTCCCGGAGGGTGCAGGGGGCAGTTTGCCCGCCAAGCATAAAGATCCAGAGTTCGACGTGCTGGGGCCCATCCTGCTACCACGGACTGAGCTGCAGTCTCATGGCAAACATCGCTCAAGCCATTGGACTTGGTAAACTTGCGCTCAGCTACCAGCAAGGATGAGTAAATATGATGAGAACGCCATAGGAGAGATGATGATGGCAGCTCTTCTAGAATAGGGTTGTCGAAAAGGGGAACCCTCCAAAGCGGCTTCTCTCCAAACGTTACAAAACGGACACACCCATGTGTTTCAGCCTGTGACCATGTGGGAGTTTCAGTGGGGAAGCTTCCATTCGAGGCCCTTCCGGGCATAGCTCAGGCCGGGCCCCGTCTCAAAAATGAGAAAACTCTTCAGTCGCCCGCTGTGTCCGCATCCTCGGCTGACGGGTCTCGCGGTTTCTAGTTGACGCAAAAGTGATTGCTTGGAAGTCCGCGCCCAAGTTAGTAATGTCGACCCCAGATTAATCAACCCAGTTCATTAATAGGGGGTGTCCCTGGGTTTAGTGAGGAATCATCACTTGTGGAGGGGAACAGCCCCATATTCATAAACTGGGTTGATTAATGAGGGGTCATGACCCACTAATATCAGGGCTAACTCCACTGAACAGGGAACTTATCCGTGGGCTAGCTCTGATCACCTAGGTTACCAACAACTCTAACTTCGCAGCCAACATCCACTCCGTTGTTCAGTGACATTGGAAAAAAGGGAACCCTTTTTGGGGAAGACCATTGTTAGTGGGGCAGCCACCAAAAAAAGAAAGGGGGGGAAAAAGGGTGCCACTGAACAACTGAGTCCAAGTGTGCCCCTCCCTACAAAGTTCTTTCTTGCCACCTGTCCAAACCTTCGAAAGCATGCTCAAATGGCACCGCCAAGCGCAGCCCGAGTCACTGGATTTCCCCTTCAAAAGGTTCAATTTGCTGGTGGTGTCCATTGAAACGATTGTGACTTTTGGAGGTTTCAAAAAGGGAAGTGGAGGAAACCCAGTTTGTTTGTTGGTTTCCCTTTGCCAACCCAAAAGGTGTTCCTTTCTCCCTAAGGACCTCTGCATTCGGGACCCGCCCTCGAACATTTTCCAGCCACGGTCTCATCAGGGAAGAAGGTCGGGGATGTATGCGTGGACTGCGGGGAGTCTGGAGATGCCGGCGATGCCAGACTGGGCGTCATCCTGCGCGTGCAACCACTCGGGTTTGGAACATGGAGGATTCGTTCTCTGGCAACCCCGAGTTGCTATTGGCCGTCGCCTGTGTATCGTCCTGGAAATCAAAGCTCAAGTTTTTTGGAACCTGGACCTTCCATTTGCCTTTTTTAGCCCCCCTGGAAAAAAGAGAACCTGTGTCCAGTGGTGATCACACCAACAAGCGAAAACAACAAACATGTTCATTTCAACTGGAAGAGACCTTGACCGGAAGACCAAAAGCTCCAAGGCTCGGAGTTCGCGTCACCCCTTTTTGCCGCGGCAAAAAGCCGCCGTCCTCTGTTTTCCGAAGGGATCTGGCACGAAGCATCCTGGAACCGACTCGCAAAGGCTTGGACACACCTGGGTCACCTGGACCCCGGAAATTCCTTTCAACATGGGTTGTTGCCCCAACAATCTGAGGTGAATTCCCTTTTTGGGGGTAGTTTGAGGGTCCAGGTTGACCTTTCCGGGGGATCCCCCCTACCTCGAGGGAGGGGCTGGGAGGTCTGAGGTGATGGGTGCCCTTTTTCCAACCGGAAAACCGTCGGGCGTGTCGGTCTTGCGCAGAAGTCACCGCTATTTCAGTTGTTTCGTTGGTGGCTTGAAGCGCGTCCGGAAGCCCGTTATTGGGGGGCTCAAACAGCTCGCTCATGACTTGGTCTTTTACCAGCGGGATTTTTTGACTGAAAGTCATTCTCTGTAGTTTGCCGTACTCTGCCATTTCGCTTGAAAGTGGTTCTTGCAATATTTTTTGGGGCATCCACCATAACCCCCATTTGCTTAAGCCCCCTGGAAAGTAGAAACATGTGAAACTCAGGGCAAAATAACACACATTCTAAATTCTCTGGAGGATCAACGACATATCCAGTGGTCCAATAGTGATAGATGTCCTCTTAAATCGAAAGACAAAAAAAAGGAAAACTATGCATGTTCTAAAGCAACCAGAGCCCCAGAAGTCCAAAAAAACACCCAAGGTCTACGCCGCTCATGCTAGGCTCGCGCCCTCGCCTCCATCCAGGATGGATTCCAAGCGCGCCAGGTGTTCCACCAAGTCAGCCTCGTGAGTTTCGGCGCAAACAAGGACAAGGAAAAATGGCAGAAGGCCTCTGCTAGGTCCTCCAGTAGAGAGGTTAGAATACGGGTGCCCTTTTTCTTTGGCCTATTTTAGTAGGGGGGCCCTCCCCCAAAAAAGGGGAGAGAAGGACACTATTGGGGGACCTAGCCTCTGTAGATGGAACCAAGCCTTCCATTTCAGGCTTGGACTGAACGGGAGGGGGCCTTACGTCCCTTAGACTAACCGCCGGAAGCTCCCCCAAGTCTTTTAAAGGTCCTGCGAGCTTCCAGGACTGGAAGCGGGGCCTTGAATTGGCCCGGAGAGGGGGGGAGGCTTTTTCAGGAACGGCCCCTTGGGCACCGATGCAGTGAAGAGCCCCACATCCCCAGCAAAGGGGTTGGAAGGGTCACCCAACCAAGGCAGGTTCATCCCCTCCCTGCTTCCATTTGCTTAAGGATCTGGGAACAAATGCAAGAATGTGTTCAGTAGTGATAGTGTTTTTCCCTTCTTTTTCTGGGTGGGGTGGGGTGGGGTTGTAGCTTCTATCAAACGATAGAAGCGCGCGTCCAAGGTGCGAAGGTTCTCTGGACCAAATGCCGCAGAATTGCGGTGTCCGCCAACCTAGCAAAGCGAGATGGCCCATGAAAAAGGGCCCTCCCTGAACACTTAAGCTTGCTTCTGCCCAGATTCTACCCTCGGCGATGCAATCTTGAGTCTCTAACCTCTTGGTGAGCCTGAAGAGCTTCACTCCAAGAAAGCTGTCAAAAAGCGATTTAAGGCCTGACACTAAGACCAATGGTTTACCTTTCACACAAAATTATTCGGTCTTCGTTGCCAAGTTGGTAAACTTTAACCCAGGCAACAGCCCACTTCTAAGTGGAGTTGACTCCTGTTGGGTTGGAGCCCTGGTGGGTAACCTTGCTAACTTGGCAACATGTAAGTGCCTCTTCAAGTCCCACGGGACATGCACAAATGGCTTTCAGCGGGTCGGTCCCCCCAGCCTTGGCGTTCCATGAAGGTTGACGCAGGCCTAACGGCCCGGCCGTGTGAGCGACCGCGCGAGTCAGCCGGAGAAGGCTCATGCGTCGTTGTTGTGTTGGTCGCCCCAGTGCTCGGTTCGTTTAAACCGAAGCCACGAGGAAGCCACCCATGTTGGGGCACACACACACACACACGCACGCGCACGCACACGCCCACCCACACACACACACACACACACGCATTCGGGGTATAATTGTTTGTGCCACTGGGGTTGTGCACCCTCAGCTGGATGCCAGAAAACCGCCAAGGTGCGGAGAAGAACTCGTGCATGGTCACTTTGCCCACACGGTCTTGGTCCAGAATGTAGAATATGTCCTTGGCAGGTCTTGAACTCACTTGCCCCAAAGGGACCCAACCAGAAAAAGGTGATCACCTGTTGGGGCAACTAGATATGGCAACCCAATTCAGGAGAAACCGAAGGTCGGATTCGGTCGATTCGCTTTGGAGTCACTGACACGCCGAGGCTTGAGACACTAAAAACCGACCGAGAACAAATCCGCACATGGCATCGAATTACCCAAACCTCCAAAAGTGGACAGCCACGTCTGTGCCTGCAAACCTCAACATGTCGGTTTTCAGGGGCGTGGGCAAAAGCAAAGCGGTGTCCCAAACCCTTGCGGTAGCTGTGTCCAAGGCGCTCATGGTTTAATTACTTCTGCTTCCCAGCTCCGACAAAACAGGTCCAGCAAGCAAGGAGCCCCTCCAAATAGTTGGTGCCATGCAAGTTCCTGCTTTGTCAAGCCCCCGTTTTGGACGCAGCACAACAAAGTTGAAGCCCTTTCGGTGGATGTCTAGATATTGCAAGAAACACCAAACCACACTCGACAACAAAGCATGGTCAATTAGAGCAAAGCGGCATTCCGGTCTCCACTCAGAACAAGGGGCAACCGAAAACCACCGATTGTCCACACGGCCATTGGTTTCCATTTGGCCATGGAAACCAAGAAGAGCTCCAGGATTCCAACCAGTCTCCATGGCGAAAATGGCGAATGGCAAACAAACTGAACAAGTTGGGTAAAAGCTCCAAGGGTTCATGAACCATTAAATTTCACCAATCCAAATTTGACATGGCTCCGCAACTGCAAGGGGATTCGGACCGCAAGAGATCCCATGCTGTGCACGGTTGCTGTTTGCTTGTTTTTTTTCCTGGGGGGGGGGAGGCGTTGTGGGCTACGAGTCAAGCGCCAGATCAGTCGAAGGATAAAAAAAAACGGACAAGAAGTTTGAAGCTTGCCAACTCGGCATGTAAGAGTGCTTCCTTCCTGGAGGGACCCTACGGAAAGTCCTTCTCCACAGTTCGAAACTCGGCAAAAGGTAGCGAGCGCATCCGTCGATGTTCGGGCTCCGGGCTTGTTTCAACATCTTTAAGGGATGGTTTCAACAGCCACCTTTCGGCTTCCTTTTTGGCAAAGGACCAAGCCATGACTGGCTTTTTAAATACATCTAAGCCCAAGGACATCGAAACCCAACCACAGGTGTCCTTTTGGGTAAAATGATGGGAATTCCTGGCCACCGACTAAAAAACAAACAAACAACAACCATATGCAGTGCTCACTTCCTAAGTGGATGGCCCAAAAGAAGTCTAAACTAGTCGTTTACCACTCAACTGGTCCATGAGCTCAACAGTGACTCAAGTCCAACTCAGGAAGCGAGAGTGCAACCCGTCAATTTCTAGCCAAAGCCCGAAAAAGTATGACTCCCCACTAAACCCAGGCACAGCCCTCTATGAATAAACTGGTGTTGATCAATGAATTCAACATAAAATGGGGCATACAACCCATCTGAACCGGTGGACCCCATTCATTTCCGCCGATGACCAACTAGGTCCTCCAGTAGAGAGGTTAGAATAAGGGTGCCCCTTTTTTCTGCCGTCTATTTTGGTAGGGGAACCCTCCCAACCAAAAAAGAAACGGTAAAAGGGCACCTAGTGGGGGACCTGGCCAAAGAAACCGGGGGCCAACTCTCCGCTCCTCCGCTCTCCCCGGAGTCCGGCCTTGGCCTGGCCCGAGTCCATCTCGAAGGCGGTGAGGTAGGCGCGCATCTCTTCGGTGTCCAACTTCCGGCAGAACTCCGCCCAGGTCAACAGATCTCAGCCACTCAGTTGTAGTGACCCTGGAAAAAAAGAACCCTTTTTGGGGAAGACCATTCTTAGTGGTGGGACAGCCACCACCCCCAAAAAAGAAAAGGTGCCACTGAACAACTGAGGCCATCCATCGGAGAGCGAGCGGAGGGGAGGAGTTTTTTGCGGCGACCCCTCGCCCCTGCCCGCGCGATTCATTTTTATGTGTTTGTCCTTCAGAGCAAAACACGAGCCAAGCACAGGCAGCCTCTTATGACCACGGCTGAACTTGGGATTGAAATGTGCTGCAACACAATTCTAAATGTTTAGGCCCTTGTTGCAACCGTTGTTGGGCTGGGTGGGGTGGGGGGGGGGGAGGGGCGCAACTTCCACTGAAATTCACTTCACAAGGCTCTTTTTTGGAGCCGTGCTTTGTCGTGTTTTTTGTGAGTTTACTTGAGTCTGCGATTTTAAGTTGACTCTTGGGGTTTCCAATGCTTCTGTTGCGAGGCCTTCGGCTGCTTCTCTTCCATTCCCCAATGGGCGTTGCGTTGCCGCCGGCCGCCTTCGTTGCATTGCCGAGTTGCCACTGCCATCTCCCTCCTCTCCTCCCAGGGTCTTTGACCAGCGAAAAACGGCTCTGCATTTCTGACATGTCCTACAAACCCGGCCTGTGCTCCTATATAAGGGTAATGTTTGTAGAGAAACGTGTCAAGTTTGGACCCCATGTTTCATATCAACGTACATTTATACATATGTATGAATGGTGTTCATTGGGTACCATAGCCTGGTTGTTCGAATCCTCGTTGACACACCCTGATTTGGGGGGCGGAGGGCGGGTTCTACCCTTAAGCAAGCCATATGATTACCTTCCTGGGTGGCAGTTTTTTAGTAAACAGTGTCACAAAGAACTTGGCTGCTTGGAACTTCCGTCATACTTTCTGGAAACCATGCCATACTTTCTGGAAACCATGCCGGGTTTGTTGGCCCCATTTGGCTGTGGGTCAAAAATAGGGGAATCCCAACATGGGTTATCCTGGTAAATGGAACCAAGGACTAAATCTGCGGTCCCCTGGTGGTTAAATTCTGACCAATACCCTTGTATTTTCTGTATTCCGCCGCTTTTTGCTTTTCAGTCGAGGGTATATTCTTTGTCTTTTGGTATCAACTCCCACCTTTAAGAATCGCTACCAAACACTACCCTCAAAACACAGTAGATAAGCATTGGCTGGCCGCAGCAACCATGGCAGGAGCTGTGAAAACAGGGGGTGGCCTCCCTCAATAATGCGTTCATCCAAATGCCGCCAGCAGGTGTGCTCTCATCTCAAGGGAAAATGCGTAGCAATGACAATGATCAGTTCTTCTTTTTTGCGCGGGTAAGGCGCGGCCAGCTTTCATAACGGGAACCCCGGACTAATACAGCCTAGCTGTTTTTGCTTGGGCGGGTGTCCAATTATATGTATTATAGCAGTTGGATTCCGACCAACTTTGGAATAATCTTTACCCTACTAACTTGCGGATGGACGAAATCCTTCACCACCTATGTAAGAACCCCTGGAATGATGATTCCCCTGTTCATACCACACCCCCCCCAAAAAAAAACAAAAAAAGGTTTCAACCATGGTTGCATTTCGCTTTGTGCGAGAAGCGGATTTCGCAAACCACCCACAGTGTTCCACTTTTCTTGGTTGACGCTGGAAGGGGAGCAAACAAATAAATTTTAGCAGTTAAGTGGCTGGATTTCAACCACTAAACCCCAATGAGCAAAAATGTAAAATGTTTCCCAACAACAACCATGTTTTCGTCCACGGTGGGATGCTCCTCCAAGTCCTGCTGATGTCGTGCGGACGGTGGTGCGGCCGGCCACTGCGCCGCCTTCCGTCGACGACTAACGCATCAGTCGGGCGCGCCGTTTTTTTGTGAGGCACGTGTCTACATGCGTCTTACCAATAGCCGGCGGATTTTACTTTTATTAGGGGTATGGGTGACATTCGGAAAAATCGACGGGCTTCCCTGGCAAATGAGGCATGAAACCTGGCAAACTCCATCGCGCGGGCGGCTTAAGGCATACAAAATTGATGGGCTTGCTGAGGGTTCCGATTTTTGCTGGGTGAAGCCATCAGACAACCACAAGTCTTGGAGTCCAAAAGGATGAAAGCCCATCACCTGAGGGTGTCAACTAAGAGTTGGCAACCCACGCTATGGTTTAGCGAAAAATGAAATCCTGGTGGAGTCCTGTGCCCAAACGGGGTCGTCGAGTAATGAGGCTGAGAGACTAATGTGTGCCTCTGGTTGTCAATTGCCCAAAAGAGACTCGTAGCGACAAATACCGCCCAGGTGGCATTTTCTTCTTTGGGAGGCCCTGACAACCATGAGAATGAGATAGCGTTCAACTACCCCAAGGGTCATGACCCCTCCACTGCACATCCGCGGACCCTTCAATGGAGAACCCCGACTTGAAAACAACCAGTTTTGAGGGCCCAAACGCAATCGAGACCCTTAGGGTAGCCCCTTTCTTCTCGTCCGCCCGAGGAGGGAGAAATAAAAACAAACGCTTCGCTCATTCGCCCAGGAGCGCAGCTCCGGCGCAAGGAGTCGCCGCACATGCTTCAACAGGTCCTCTGAAATTCGAATTTGCGCGCGAGAGATAACTCGAGGCCTTGCACCGTGTCCTTTAAACAATGTTGCCAAGTTTTGGTACGGACGGTGGCCTCGCTTTTTTAGTGCCTCCACCCCAAACATCTGCGCCCTTGCTGCAAACAGATTTAAAAAAAAAAAAGAGTGAACAGCAGCAACAAACTAACAACAGAAAACACATGCAGCGAACAGCGAAGCCATTGGGCCCGTTTCGGGCTTGTCGTTTGCTGTCTGCCTGAGTTCACTGCGGCTCGGAAAAGGTTCACGCTAGAAATAACGAAGCAACTGGCCAACAAGCCTTCAAAAGTCACAATTTGCTGGCTGGTGTCCATTGAACATGCCAGTAAAGAAGGCTCCAACAGGGGAAATGCAGGGAACCCTGAATGGAGGGTGTGTATCATTTCGAGGGTACCATTTCCAAGAAGAAGCCCGCTAGCTAGGCCTTCGGCTCCATGCGTCTAATTTTGATGCCTTGGGATCATACAGCCCTCCCCTCCCGCAATGTCACAATGCACCTGAGCTGTCCTCAGATCCCCTGTTAAAAGTTTAACGTTTCGTTGACTAAATGCACACCCCCACTCAGCCCTGAAAAACCCAACCTACAAAACGGCTGGCAAAACTTCACCTTGACGCGGGGGAAAAAAATGGCCCTTGGCGCATGCCGCGGACATGGCGATAGCGCGCTAGAGTCGTCAGAGCACGTGTTGAACTGGGGGATGGGGGGGCGGTTGCGGGGCAGGGGGACCCTAAGATGAACTTGGAAGCGAGAAACGCCGTAGTTGCAGCGTGTTTGCGCACATCTCACCCCAGAACTTGTCGTGCAATTCTCAGATTCTGTCACCCACTTAGCCTCGTGTCCACGTTGCCATGGAATCCACCAGTCAAAGGAACAAGGTCCAAACCAGGACCGTTTTCCGGCGTCTCCAAGTGCTTTTCCGCTCCCGTAGTCGTGAAATCGACCCCATTGAAAACCAGAGTTAGGTTCCTCCATTTGCTGAACTCCCCTGACAAAAAAAGAACATATTTCCAGTATAGTGATAGATTCCCTTTAAAACCAACAGGGGAAAATAAACATATTCTTAACCAAATGGCAGGCTTCAAGGAAAAGGCTCAATCTCAGACTTCATAAGTCCCGTTGCAAACCCCTGCGACTCAGAGGTCGTTGGAGAGGCGTCCCGGCTGCGGCTGCGGAAGGTGTTTCTGGGCGCTGTTCGGAGTAAATGGTTGATAACCCCGAAGGGGCGAACACCCTAGTGGCTTATAGCCCAAGCCGGACATCCAAGTACACGAATCATCCTCCCCCTTGTGTGGTTGCAGGCAGGTTCTGCTTGATTCGTACTGGGCCCCTGGGGACTTGTTGCAGCACAACCTGAAAGGGGGTTAAGTCCTGGAGAAGAAAAGCCCAAGAACAAGGAAACCCCGCCATGTTGGGAGGTCCCTTCAATCAAACATGCATACCCAAGAGGCCCAGTCCTGGTTCTTTTCCTCCCGCGCGATCCGCTGGGCACCGTCCACAAAGACGCCCGTGACCTACCGACACGCTTGAGGATTGCTTGCGCGCTCCCTCTCCCTTGCCCCACGTAGAGCCATCTTGGTTTGCGCCCAAGGCACACAAACCACCGAATCATGTCCCAATGCAGATCTATGAGGGAGGCATTGCAAGAAACGGTCACGACAAACATCGGCCATGAAGGGCCATGACCCCCCCATTGGCACTGCAGCAAGGGCCATAACAACGCCCCAATGGCTCCCCTTGCTATGGCATAGTCCTCGTACAGGGACCCTCTGCTGGGCTACATGAGGGTGTAAGGGTTTACCCCCCATTCTCCCTACTTGCGAAATTTGGGTGTGTCTCAAAATGATAAAACAATTACCCCCCAAAATGGTTTTCTTTCATTTTGGCTTCCGTGTCCAGCCCCAAAAAACGGGGGCCTTCCCCAAGAAAAACCACGGCACACCCATTCGGCTGAATCAATCCAAGCCCCGCGCCAGGTTCATCATCACCTCGGATCCAATGGCTCTAGAATGCTCGCTGGAAGGCCCCTCAAAAAGTGAATAATACCTTTTGGTGGGCTAAAACTGAATCTAAAACTTAGCCAACTCATAAGCTGTTTTTTGATTGCATTTTTTTACAAGGCAACAAACTAAACAACTAAGGAACCAAATAGCAGGGAACCTCCAAGAAAAAAAATGCCTTTTTAGTGGGCTCAATTCGGAAAGCCAACTTGATGTCAACCAACAAGTGTCTAAAGATCCAAGCCAATGGCAATCAAGAATGGGGGACCCTATTCCTGTTCTGAATGCTGGACTTCTGTTTGAACCTCCCCAGGGCTCATGGGGAAGGTCTCATCTGAAGCCACCCGTGCCCCGGAAAGGAGACTTTTCAGGCTGCGAGAGAAGGAACAACTGCCCTGCCGGTGGAAGCGCGGCCACGCAGGCTACGCATGATCCCGTGGCTCTTGGAACCCCAAGCGACAAATTGGGACTTCAAGCCCGGGTTCCGTATGGCCGCTGACGACCCGGGGGAGGGGCAGGTTTGCTTGGCTCTTGGGACATCTGTGGTACGCTAAGAGGAGCTCTTAAGCAGCTACCTAGGCGAATTGCACGCACCAGCCCAAACAGGAGCACCCACAAAGGAGCCATACAATACTGTGGATGGACGCAATCCTGAAGAAACCATGGTTGAAAGAATAGCGTGCGTTGGTATTTCCAGGGGGGATCGAATCAGAAACCGTGGAGTTTCGGAACGGTGGTGCCGAAATGCGGATTTCGTCCATCCACAGTATGGGTGTTTTTGAGGGTCGCCTTTCCTGGCTTAAAGGCTTTGAAGGGCAAACCAAAATCCAAGCTGGGGGTCCAAATCCGAGTGTTGCTTCTTTTTGGCACTTGATTTAGAAGGAAACCCAGACTCCCCCCCTGAGCCCCCCCCGGGGTCCACAAATAGAAGAAAACAACCGGAACTGAGCCCATAAGGCCGCTGCGAGCGTGGCAAAAGCGATGAACAGCGCGAACACGAGAGTGTTCCTCAGCTGAGGTTTCCTCCATTTGAGTCACAATCACAACCCAGCATTAAAATGGCCTACCCAGAACCATGTAAAGAATCAAGAAGGCGGCTGCAACTGCTGGGACTGCCCCTTACTAACCTTTGTCTACCCGGGTTTTGATTGTGGCTCAATTGCTTTTTCGCCATTCTGGGTGAATTATAATATTGCACCTGAAACTTGCGGTGATTGGGGGGCTATTCCCCACATAAAACCACAATTTGGGGTGAATTTGTTCGTGTGAGGTCGTTATAATTCACCCAGTCCATTTGCGTTTTTGCCCCCTTGGAAAAAATGAGACACTTGTCCAGTAGAGATAGGTTCCAATTGAAACCAGCAGGGGAAAATCAACAACATATTCTTAAGCAAATGGAAGGCTTGACTTGAAATGGCGCTGGTCCCAAAATTGGATCTCCCCTCCGAAAAAAAGAAGTTACCCTCCCACCAATTAACATGGAACCTGACAGAGGCATCTTCCTTTGAGAAGGACACCCTCTGTCATGTGATTTGTGGCAGGGCAATTTCATGTTTGTTTCCCTTGGAAACTGACCAAAAGAGCGCTCAACCATTGCGAGGTATTTTGACGTTTCCCCTCCGTCATGTTAATTCGTGGGAGGGTAACTTCATGTTGGTTTCTCTTGGAAACCGACCAAAAGAGACGCTCAAACATTGCAAGGTATTTTGACGTTTCCCTAAAAGGGGTTCTTTGAACTCTTTGTAACCAGAAATGGACAGCTGGCTGGGTCTGTCTTCACATTTCCTGGGGGCAGTAAGAACATTTGATCATCTCCCGGGTCCCGGCTTCATGTGCAAGATCTGTAGCGTGTGATAGGCTATACCGCTTGCGGCTTCATGACAAAAAAGAAGTCATCAAGGACCATTACCCCCCTTCCAGGGCATCAGGGGCCATAACCCTCCGGCCAAAATGAGGGGAGCCCATGGGTGCCTTGCTGTTGGTTTCCCTTTAAACAACTTGCTTGCATCCTTTCAAGGTAAATGAGTGGACGAGTGAAATCCTGTTGGGAGGGAGGAACCCTCATTAACAAAAAGCATAAACCAACTATCCACTGGTGAATATATTAAGTTTGAAGGGATTACCTTGCAAGGATGGAAGCAAATTGTTAAGGGAAACCAAAGCAAGCCACGCTGGTACACCACTTTGTCCATCAGTAGTACACCATAGTACACCCACATCCACTCGTTGAATACGCCAAGCTTCACATTGGCCGTCCCGCCGGAAAACTCGTCGAAGATCATAATGAAGTTGTGCCTTGGAAACCGAGACCACGACTTGCGACCAAGCCTGGCAAAAGGGAACCTTGGGGGGTTCAACCATAAGTGTCTCACTGGCTGAGTGGATTGCCCAAAAAGAGTCCAAACTTTTTATTTACTACTGAAATGGTCTTCCCAAAAAAGCTTAAAGCTCATGAACTCAGGAAGGGAGGTGTCCTTTTTGGAAAATAGATGGGTTTCCCTGGTAGATGATTGAGCCAGGCAGACCAGGGGCCCCCTGTGTTTTTTAAGCAACCAAAAAGGACACCTATGGGTTCGACACTTCTCAGGGATGATCCTTTTTTGGGATTAAACCCTTTTTGGGGTTGACTGTCAGGCTGGTGGAAATAAGAACCTACACCAACCAAAAAAGAAAGAGGTGCCATTAAACCTTTGTTTTCCAGCCCCGCTCCCCACACCCACCTGGCCCTATGCTATATAGGACCCAAGCCCCCTATCAAAGGCCATGAAGGCAACCACCTGGGTTGTAAGGTCAAGTCCATTGAACGCACTGCCTACAAATTAGGTTGTCACCTTACCAACTTACTAACTTGGCCTAACATCTTAGCAAGGCTCCATTTTGGGAAACAGGTGGAGGGGTCGGGGAGCCCGGGAGAGGGGGAGGGATCGGTCTTCGCATGCCGAGCATCCAGTCGTCCCCTCCGGTGATCGCCTGGAAGAGCGAGAGGATGGAGTTGCCAATGGATCCTCAGCCACATGGGGGTGGCTCAAACTTAAGGAGCTAGGGAAACGCGGTTTCAGCCTTTGCTTCCATTTACCAGGGTTCCATTTTGGGTACCCATTTTTGACCCGCAGCCACATGACTTTCCGTTACCCAATAGCAATCAAGAGCACAGGTGTTCCAACATGTGGAAGCTTGGCCCAACCCCGACGTTTTTGTTCAATGCTTTTCCACATTGCTTGCGCAAGGCCTGGTTCCCCTTAGTTTAGGGCCAAGCTTTAGTCTGCTAAACCATGTCTTGCAAAGCCTATACAACCTAGGTCCCCCAGTAGTTCCCTTTTACCAACTTTTTTGGGGCAGGGATCCCCTACTAAAAGAAGAACCACACAATTATCTCATCCATGTGTTTATCCATTTTTGGGGGGGTGTCCCCCAAAAAGCGATCCCCGCATATGATTCAGTAGCCATCGCTTCTCTTTACAACCCGCAGGGAAGAAAATCCAAAACGATTCTTCTCTGCAGCACATGGAACGAGTTTGGCGGAACGGCCATTCATCGGCGGATCGGCCATGTTTGTCCGTCGTCTCCCAAGGTTTGGGGAGGGAACACCATGGAGTCCTCCGCTTGCTTTTGGGTCCTCAGGAAAAATGAGAACATGTTTTTGCCAGTAGCTTTAAAACCAACGGGGCAAAATAATACATTAAACGAACAGGGGGAAAAAACAACTATATTCACCTCATTGAATGGAAGGAGCCAAAAGGGACAATCCACAAGGGAAACACTGGACATGTTCTAGTCCGTGCCAAGAGTCCCCAGGTTTGCTTGATGGAGCTAAGGTCTTTTTGCGGATGCCGATGCTGCAAATCCCAGGCGAGCTCTGTGAAGTAGACCTCAGCGAAAATCTTCGGCATCACGACGTCGGTGGTCGCTTAGTTGCTTAAGGACCCAACTTCTCCAACTTCTGGCTTGGATTCGTGGCTTGGATTCGTGGAGGTGGGCAAGTAGCTTGGAGGCGGGGCGGTCGCAACCATTTACCTGCACAAGAACCAGGGTTCAAACCCACCAACCAATCCAAACCACCAAGGAAACTAGTCCAAACCGGAAAGAACCCCGCAGTCAGGTTCCATGGCAAAGTGGACAGGGTGGCCATGGTGGCCCTCCGGTGGTGAGGGACGGGGTATTTCTGGAAAGGCACAGTCCCCATTTGGGCATCGAACAAAATAGGTTCAACGGCCTGACAAGAGGTCAGCATTCCCAATTAAGGTTGTGCAACGGGGGGCCCCCAATTGAAACCCGAACCAATTGAGGGGCACCTGAGTAGAATTCACTGGATGGAAATCAGGAACCTAATTCCCAAGTACAGGCGCTTCATCATGCGCAAGCTCGTCTTACCCTACAACCACTATGCATTTTGAAAGCTACCTGTTTGGCATGCTGAACTTCGGGACGGAACCCCGTCCTCCCCTGGGATGCCTTTCCGTGTCAATCACTTTCCCAACCCCCAACCTTCGACCTCAAGCCTCGGGCCGCATTGCCCATGCCGAGGCGCCGCGACGCAGTACATCAGGATGATCAACAGCACCACCGTCCACAGGAAGCTCTTCAAGGACCTCGGCGGCCGCGGAACCGGAAAGCAAACACGGTTTCAAACACGATCGACACGCGTGCGACAGCCGGGGTTGACACCTCCAGATATTTGGGCTCCCCACCCCCACCAAACAAATGATCAGAAAATTAAGAAGCAAAACACATGGCCATGGGTCAAAACCCCGTGAACATCCAAATCCCCACTAAAGTCCCGACCAACATGGGTGGTGAATTCACCTATCAACCAAAATGGGATCCCAAAACGGTTTTGACAACCACAGCCACATGACCCCCAAGAACTCTCAGCACCAGCCCCCCCCCACCACAGCCCCAACCCCCCGCTTAAGGCCGCCACGCCAGGATGAGGTAGACCATGGACTTCAGCGCAGGGATGAGCCGCACCATGCGCACCAGGCGCACGATGCGGCCAAGTCCTCGTGCTGATTTTTCTGCGTTCCTTCTTTTTGATGATTGTTTTTCTAGTTGTTGTTTGGTCGTGCTGTTTTTGTTATTTTTTTGTTGTTCTCCCGCATGTAACTGGTTTGGAGGGGTTCCGGGGTCGTGATCTTGACCGTTTCTAGGGGCTATCAAAGTCGGAAAATGGAATCGGTGGTTTCCCTTCTACCCCATCACTTAGGGAGTGACTTTGATCATGGTGAAATGAGGCCAGCGGTTCGGAGTTGGATTTGAAGCCCTGCGTCCTGTGGGTAAATCAACCACCCTGAACCTCCAATGAGAGGGAAGCTGGTAGTGGGAACCTCGCATTGAGACACCTCTGGTTGAATGCTAGGGTGGGCCTCCTGTGGGAATCTGGATGACTGTGGGTTTGTAGGATGGGTTTATTAATCCGGGTTGCACATTGAATGCGCGCTTGCCTGCGGCTTGCACGAGCAGGTGTGCTTCAGAGCTGACCCCCGAAGCAATTTTCTTGAACTATGGTACCGTCTTCATTCATTAGGCCCATTAATGACACGAACAAATCATGAACAGTCCAAATCAGGGCAACGCCCCCGTGCTATGCATCCAGGGCACTGCCAACGGGATGGGTTTCACGCGGAGGCCCCGTGAGCAACCCCCCGCACTTCCGTGAGCATCCCCCCGCACTTCGATCACTTCGGCAGCGTGCCGATTTTGATACGTTTCTGAATTTGGCGAAGCAGCTGCACCAAGACTCCGGTGTGTAGTTAAACACGGGACCAACACAACTGTGCCATGGTCAAAACTTCCTATGGCCATGGGACCACGTAATAGGAGCCCTTACGGTGGTTGTCCATGGCCATGGCCATCTCCACCAGCCCAAAGCAAACAGGCAAACGGGTGCTTCGATCATGCACAAATCTTGGTTGACGTTGGAAGGGGAGCAACAAATCAAATGTTAGCAGTTAAGTGGTTGGATTCCAGCCACTAAACCACAATGAGCAGAAATGCAAAATGAAAATGGTTCCCAACAGCAACCTTGAAATGACGCTGCGGCACCCTGTAGGCCAAATCAATGTCCAGTGAAAGGGAAATCATCCGGATTCTCCTACACGCCTGATATTTTTTTTAAAAGAAAAAAAAAAACAGGCGCTCCGCTCGTTCAAAAACATACGCCAGGCATCGGAGGAGGCGGAGCATCCCGAAGCTGTCGAAGACCTGTCGGCGGACCAAATCGATGCTTAGGGATGCCCCATCTTCGAAGGGGAGTGGTGAATAGGTGACCTTTTGGACAAAAGTAAATGGGCTCCCTGGCAATGAAACCCATCTAAACAGTGGCACCCATCTATTTCGAGAACAAAACATAAACAAATACCAAGGACATGTAGTGGTGAGGTGCATCCGCCCCTGAGGAGGAAACCTGCTGGGTACCTTCGTGGGATTTGTTTCAGGACCATCTGTGGCAGCACCCAGTGTTGAGGTGGTTCCAGCTCTTAAAAATCACTGCCAATGTTCCAGAAGGTTCAAGTTGACCCAACAGTTTACCCTCTTCCAGAACTGAGGGGAGAGAACTTTTCCCCTCAGGGCTAGCTGGTGGCTTCCATGTTAGCCTAAGGGAGGGTAGCAGCTACCATGTCCCTGACCAGATCTCCTGGTAGCTCCTCTTCAACGGCAAGTCCGCCTTTTACCCCCAGCTCCACAACGGTTCCCTTCCAACCAATCACCCGCTAGCTGTTGCACACTTTCTTTTGCCCAGTCTTGGCTTTGCTCCCTTCCAACCACCGGTTCCTCAAGAAACTGGTCCTTTAGTCACCCACCCACCCACCCACCCACCCACCCCCCACCCCCCCACCCCCGCACCCACCCACCCAGCCAGCCAGCCAGCCAGCCAGCCAGCCAGCCAGCCACCCACCCACCCACCCACCCACCAAAACAGCACCGATTTCGCTACCCAACTCCCAACTTTGGCGCATACCAACGTCCCAATGATTGTATGATTTCAACCGGCCACTGGCCACCCAACCCAACCCAACCCCACCCCACCCCACCCCACCCCACCCCACCCCACACCACCCCACCCCACCCCACCCCACCCCACCCCACCCAAACGGCACCGAAATTTCCCTCGGCTCGCAACGAGCTCGCCTGCTGCACCTCCGAGTCGCTGAGCACCAGCTTCGTGAGCTCGTCCGCCACGCTGAAGCCCACGATGAAGAGGTCGAAGAAGTTCCACTGGTACCCTTCCCTCGGGCGTTGGCAAGGTTATAAGTTACACAGGGATCCTTACATTATACCTGAACATTGCCTTGTAAATGGTCGAAGGCTCCCGCCGGGCACCAAACTACTGCAAGACATCTGGAAATCCTGGTTTGTTCCAGTGAAACAAAGTGGTTTTGGCATCCGCCCCCCGGATCATTGACCACGCTCCCACAACAGAAAAACTCGTCGCCGACCGGATTTGACGGGACATCCCGCAACTTTCTTTCGTTGCGGCCACAAGCCACCGAGCCCAAGCCGAAGGGACATCCCCTGGTGCAAATCCAAGTTGCCAAGTTGCTGGTTTGTGCTGCGGCGCCGGAAAAGTAATTAACTCAACCGGCAATCTGCGAAGCTAGTCCTGCTTTTAACCAATCATGGCCTTTGATGCGTGCCCGTGAAGATGAATGGAGCACACATGTTGCATGCTACTCAATTTGGGGGCGGGAGGGTGATTGCAGCGACAAAGAACTCTGATTGTAGGGGATCACCTGGTAAAAGCCCTCGGTAAGCTCTGTTTGACCGGGGAGCTCGTTGATTTGTTGGTGCAATCGGAGGCAACATCAGCAGTTCCACACCCCAAAGCTGGTCCCTTTCAAGGCCAGCCCTAAGAATACACACCCTCCCTTCAAGCATCCTGGCACCTTGCATAGGATTTTCTAAACAAAAAACAGATGCGTGTCAGTGTCCTTCCATTTGATGTCTCGCCGCCCCAAAAGGTAAACATATTTCCAGTAGTGAAAACACCAACAAGGGGGAAAACAACAATATTCTTATGCAAATGAAGAGGCCCTTCTGTTCGGCTTTCTTGGACTCCCTGCTCAAGGGACAATTAAACATATTCAGAGGCGATCCGGGTTTCTAGGGGGGGGGGACCTCCAAGACTTGTTTCTCTGGACCCGGTCGACCTTTGGGGGGGTATTAACCGGACACACAACCACTAAGCCAACTAAAAAGCTAAAGGGGTTGGCTGGGAGCCACCAAGACGAGGAAAAGGACGTCAAACCCACCTGTGTGTCCAAAATCTTGTCATCCTCTCATCCCTGCCCTTCCCTCGAAGCCAGCTTTCCGGAGACGCAGTCATGTCCGCCAACCATGTTCAAGAGCCCTAAGTAATAATAGTATCATTGGCGCCGGAAAAATCGAATTTAGGCAAGCGGCATGCTCAGGAACTTCTTCCCATGCGCGCTGACGCGAAGCAAGAGCTCCATGACAAAGATGCTGCAGAACACCACGTCCTGAGTCGCGCGAAGAACAAATATGGATTTCTTCTTTTCGGCGGGGGGCACGCGGGGGGTGGACCAGTTTTTTTTTTGGGGACTCCATAACCCCCCCCCAAAAAAAAAGAAGAAGAAGAAACAAACAAAACAACGAGCAACCCTGAGGGTGGATGCTGACTCCGAGGATCCCATTTGGAGCCCTGTGGTTTCGAGGTGTGGAGGTTCCCACTCAGCCTCAACCAGGACCAGGGCTCACAGCCGCCAAGCCATCAATCCAAGCTACCATGAAAGGACACCTACACTTTTCAAATTGCGACTTATGTTGGGATGTTTTTTTTCGTTTTTTTTTTTGATTTTTTTCCCCGTTTTTCGTCCGGGCCAGTAAAATGTCGTATTTTGCAGCATTTTCTCGCGAAATTGACGAATTGCACACAAGCCCGTCAACATCCCCAGCATCGTTTTCAACATCTCTCGCATGTCCGACCAACATCCCTAGCATCACCAACAAATTGTGGGTAACAAATCAAAAAAGTAGCTGGCGGGTTGACGGGGTCAAAAAAATGATGATTCAAATAGGAGGGCATTTCAATCCCTGAAAAAAACACTAAAGAGTAGGGGGGGGGCCGCCCCCCCCCATGATGTTGTTTGCAGAAGTGATGATTTGAATAGTGGTGCAATTAATAAATCTCTGCAAAAAGTCTAAAAAGTAGCGGGGGGTTGGAGGGGGGCGGCAGCCCCCCCCATGATGTTCGAAGAATTGATGATTCAACTAGGGGTGCAATTAATTAAATCTCTGTAGAAAATCTAAAACGTAGCGGGGGGGTTGGGGGGAGGCGGCAGCCCCTCCCATGATGTCGGAAGAAGTGATGATTCGAGTAGGGGTGCAATGATTAAGAAAGGGTGCGATAGAATTTAAACGGCAGCGGGAGGGTTGGCGGGGGTGGCTTCCCCTATGATGTTCGAAGAAGTACATACATACAGACATACATGGATTACACAGAATACCTAAAATGTCGTATTTTGCAGCATTTTCTCGCGAAATTGGACGCTCGAAAAGTGATGATTGAACTAGGGGTGCAATTCAATCTCTGCAGGGTAAATCCAAAAAGTAGAGTGGGGGAGGCGGCAGCACCCCCCATGATGTTTGAAGAAGTGGTGATTCAAATAGGGGTGCAACTACTCTGCAAGCAATCTAAACAGTAGCGGGTGGGTTGCGGGGGCGCTTCCCCCCCCATGATGTTCGAAGAAGTGATGATTCAAATAGGGAGGAACTGGTGATGCTGATGATGCGGGGAGCCACATCCAAAAACCGATGAAAGGGTGCAAAAGCCAAAAAGCCCGAAAAGGAACTGGGAAAGCAGAGGATGCAAAAAGCTAAAGCCGCCAAAAGCCGCATAAACCAGCGAAAAGCCGCAAAAGACAAAATGCCACCTGCCGAAGAGGAACTGGGAATGCAGAGGATGCGAAAGGCCAACGCCAAGCAGCCGAAAAGCCCAGAAGCTGAGAAGCCAAAAAGCCAAGAAGCCAAGAAGCCGAAAAGCCAAGAAGCCAAGAAGCCAAGAAGCCAAAAAGTCAAGAAGCCAAAACAGGGAACCCAGGAATCGAACCGAGAACCGTGGAACCGAACCGTACGAACCGAACCGTCTGCGAACTGTTGTTTTCACAAGCCGAACCGAACCGAACCGTCCAGAGGAAAACAACCGAATCGTTAGGTTTAGAGCTTGGCGAGCAGCCAGACAAGGCTCCCTCAGACAAGAATGCAACTTCAGCCAAAATGCTAACAATTTGCTCTTACATAGCCATGCTGACCAGAGAGCCAGTCATTTAGCTGGACAGGGTCTAAAGACATAAGTGGTCCCTCTGGAGTAGGCCCAAGTACAAGCAATCTCCCAGGTTGCTAAACAAAACTAAACTTCAGCAGCCCAGGGCAGGCTGTGATGCATTGCCACCAAAAGACATCCCACCAAAAGCGACCTCAAGGCCCTTGCCCTTGCTCAACCAACATATTGGGGGAAGGTATCTGCTGGCGGGACTGAGCTGATGAGACTGGAGGTGAAGCTGGGCGTATGGCTGCTAACTGACGGTGGCGGTGAAGTGGTGGGTCGGGCTGGAAAGGCTCGAGGTGAGGCTGGTGAGGCTGGAGGCAGGCTAAAGGTAATCGGTGAGGCTGGAAGTGAGGCTGGAGATGAGGCTGGAAGTGAGGCTGGAGCTGAGGCTGGAGATGAGGCTGGAGGTGAGGCTGGTGAGGCTGGAAGTGAGGCTGGCGAGGCTGCAGACGGCTGGGTCGTGAGAGTGGTGGTGGAGCTGAAGGTGAAGCTGGAGGTGAGGCTGGAGGGGATGCTGGTGAGGCTGAAGGGGAGGCAGGTGAGGCTGGAGGGCTGGAAAGTGAAGGTGGCTGGTGAGGTGAGGCTGGAAGTGAGGCTGGGCAGACGGCTGGCTGGAGGTGAAGGTCGTGAGAGTGGAGGTGGAGCTGAAGGTGAAGCTGGAGGTGAGGCTGGTGAGGCTGGAGGTGAGGTTGGAGGGGATGCTGGTGAGGCTGAAGGGGAGGCAGGTGAGGCTGGAGGTGAAGGTGGTGGGGCTGGAGGTGAAGGTGGTGGGGCTGGAGGTGAAAGCGAAGGTGATGTGATGCTGGTGAGGCTGAAGAGGGGGACGTGAGCCTGGAGGTGAAGGCAGGTCAGGCTGGGAAGGCAGGCGAGGCTGGAGGTGAGGCTGGAGGTGAAGGTGCTGCAAGCAGCAGGCTGGCTGGAGGAGGTTGTAAGGCTGGAAGTGAGGCTGGTGAGGTTGAAGGGGAGAGGTGCAGCTGGGGGTGGAGAGGCTGCAGGCAGGCTGGAGGTGAGGCTGAAAATGAGGCTGGAGGTGAGGCTGGAGGCGAGGCTGGTGAGGCTGCAGGCAGGCTGGAGGTGAGGCTGTGAAAGTGGAGTTGGGGATGGAGGTGGTGCTGAAAGTGTTAATGAGTGCCTTGTGATAGAGACAGGAGGCTGGCACGCCGAGGCTAAGAGTGTGGCGCGCGGCTGGAAGTGGCACAGTGCAATCATCCGTGAACCGAAAAAATACCATAGTAACCGAACCGAACCGAACCGATTTCAGATGAGAAACCGAACCGAGCCGTAATTAAACAGGTTAGGTTTCTGGAAACCGAACCGAACCGAACCGTGGCCACTCTGCCAAAAGCGAAAGAACAAAAAACAAGAACCTCCCTTTCAAAATTGAAACCTTCCACTAAAGTCGAACTCTTCGGCCATTTTATAAGGCGACCTCTGCTGCGTCCCGTCTTAGGTGGTGGCGTCGCTTTCCAGCCCATGCCATGCCCCTTTTCGGGAAACATTCTGCTCTGTCAGGTTCCAAAGAGGTGCAGGATTTCGTCCACCCATTGGGGAGCCGCTTGGACAATTGTCCTTGGGACCCTTGTGCAAGTTGCATGCTTGGTTTTTCACGTGCTTGCTATTGCCAGACCAGGGGCTTGCCGCTAGCAAAAGACAACTTGTTCGCCCTTCTGGGTGTCCATTGTCCTTTCTCAGCCGGCAGAAAGTGATCACTTGTTGGGGGCCTAAGTCCAGTAAATAGGAGGGGATCCCTTTTGGGTCTTAGACGATCAGAGCGTGACTATTCTTATCGCTGAACAAATGTTGAGCCAAGACAATGGTTCAAACCAGTGCTTGCTGGGTATTTGCAGGGGAATCGAATCATTCCAGCCGTATGAATGGTTCCTAAGAGGATTTCACTTCTAAGTTCCCCGTTCCGTGCAGCTATATGTTATTGGTGGGCTATACCCCAGGTGGGTAATTAGCAACAGACATCCAAGTAGTGTCCTCAAAGAAAACCAGCGGACTACAAGGTGGGGCTTCTAATGGCAGTGTTTTTTTGGTGAAACCGAGCTTTGAGAACCGCTTTTTTTTGGCACAGGTTCCTTTTGTTTTCCGTACTTCAGGCCAAGCCAGCAGCTCCTTCATTTTGGGAGAGTGGGAACGAACCCAGAGATTTGGACGGCTTCTATGGGATGAGCATTCCATGTCTCATCCCCTGAGCACCAGAGAGGTGCTGTTACCCACCGTTCCCGGCTTTTCGGATTTGCTCCGCCATCCAACTGAGGCCGGGTCCAGCATCCGCGACCAGAAGGGGTCGCCTCCGGTCCCCATTTTTCTTGGAGATGAGGCTTTTCCGAAACGCCGCCCTGCCCAGAGACAAAAAAGCGCTCTGAGGGCACCTGGAACACGAAGTCCCTCTTGAAAAACTAAAAAACACCTTGTCAAGCGTGTGTAGAGGGAGTGTGAAATTCGGGCCCGGAAAACCGGACATGGCCCATCCCCAATTGACTTGGGAACACCTGCAGGATATGGCCATCATGCGCTGACAAGGGGGTTCTGAAAACCGAATTGAGCCGGGCAGAAAAGCGGTGAAGAGGAGGATCCCCATCTTTGCGGGGATCATTCAATTCTTGGTCTATGGCATATGGGTCTGCCAGGTCTTTCGGCTACACAACGGCCGAAAATGCCTTCAAACAAAAATACAGTATCCAGACCTGCTGCAATCCAGGTGTTCTCAGAGACATGTGGGTCGCAAAGTGGACATCCTCAGAAATACCCACACCAGATTGTGGCCTTAAAGGGAAATGTTCACTTTTGCGGGCCCCTCTTTACTGGCCCCTCTGAATTATTGTCCCTTGCGGTCATACAGGGCAAATGTATGGGGAAGGAGCGCTTGTTCAGCCCCCTCCCCCCCATCTCCATACATTAAGCTGAATTAAACTTAAAATTCGAAATTGAATCCCTGCATGTAAATGCGTTTTGCCCTGGAGGTAAGCTCGAGCCGCATAAAAAGAAGACACATAACAATTATGGGCCGGGGGGAGGAGGGGGTCTTCCGCGCCAAGATTCCTTGAAGGATACATTAAACTGGGTCAACATTCTGAGGGGTTCTCAAAACTACTTTTGGGCGGGGTCCCCTTGACACCACCATTTGGCTCGGGCAATGAGTGCGGATGTCACTTTACCCAGTTCAAACACCACCTTCACGACTACCATGTCCCCAACCAGAACTCCGGGTAGCTCCAAAAGGCTCCCTCTTTCAAGCAAAACAACAAAGGAAAAAAACAACAGGCAACATAAAAACCTTCCAGGACTGGGGAAGAGAACTTGTTCCTTTGGCTGGTGGCTGCCATGCCCAGGGCGGGCGATGCCACGTCAACCAGACTCCTGGCATCTCCAAAAGGCTCCCATTTGGTGAATCTAGGCTCAACACCTTCGTGTTAACGAAGCAGTTGGCATGTTCAGGGATGCTAGATGCGCGTTATCCATAAAATAACGCGCATCTGGCAAGCCTGGCTGCCACGAAACAGCCGTCGGCGCACATTTGCTCAAAACTTCCGCAAATTCTATACCACATGTCCCGAAACCCGAACCAAACCTGAAGATCCCCAAGAGGCGCATTTTTTTCTCCCTCTATCCATCCCAAAACCGGTCTTCGCGCTCGCGGTTTACATCGGCGACCTTCAGATCCCTCAGCTCGTTTTGTGCCAGGCCACTGGACTCCTTGCCGGCCAAGTCCTCACGAGCGTCTCATGGGACCCAGACCAAAATTTTCGTTGGGTGGTGTGTGTGTGGGGATTTGGCCCCTCCAACAGTGATTCCCCTCATTTCACCCAGGGACACTTTCCCCCCCATCAATAAACTGGGGTTGATTGATAGGGGGTCAACATAACACCCCCCCAAAAAAACCGCCGGCCCTCGGTGAGAAAAAAAAAGCCGCCGCCAGGTTACCCGGTTACCCGGTTAATTACCCCCCCCACAACTCCGTGACTTCCAGGTCGGCCCTTTGCGAAAGCGCCCAGGCCCGCGGGTTCTCCGAAAAAAGAAAAAATCCGAGCGAGGCGCCACTTGGAAGCCGATGAGCACCGCGTTCAGCGTGAGGATGAAGCCCATGACCTGGGCGCAAAAGAACAACAAAACACATCTCCCTGGGCCAGGTCTCTCACTTGGCTGTGGTCAAAAATGGGGCAACCCCAAAATGACTGGGGCCCCGGTAAGTGGAAACATAGACTAAAACCTGCGGTTCCCTGGCTGGAGCTAAATTTTGACCCATGCCATGTAGTTTGTGTGTTTCTCCAGATTCGGGGGCCCAAGTAAATTCCTTTTGGTTTCCTTCACCGTCCCAAAAGGGTCTCCCTATTTTGAGACAGGCCCATTGGAGTCATAATCAAACCCGGTATTAAACTGGCCGTAATCCCAGAACCATGCTTGAAGAACTAAGAAGGCGGGTATCTGCAGCTATTTGTGGTTGGGATTGTCCCTTACTAACCTTCATCTACCCGGGTTTTGATTGTGTCTCACTTGTTGAGAGGACCTGGGAATGAAAGGCTTACCCTATAGCTACATTGAGGAGAAACACCAACAAACCAAAGCCACGCAAGGCAGAACATACCTTGATGCCACATGCTGGAGGTTGCTTCTATGCACAGCATTAAAGCAGCGCCGGTTTCACCCATTGGTGTTTGGCTCGGCATGTTTACAAAGGGTTTGTCTTGGCCTTTCTATCCCAAGTAGACCACTCCCACTAACATTGCACCTGGGAAGATGATTTTTTTGCTTGGAGGGGGGTTCCCTATTGCTTGGTTTGTGTTGGCGTTCATTTGTTCGACTTGCACGCGTTGTTGCTTGGCTTGAGTTGTTGCACCTGTTTCTACATCCGAGATTGTTAGATGAGTCTGTTCACCTTCTGCTGCGACAGGAGGTTTCTCCACTTTGCTGGGTGCTTCTTTGCTTCCAGTATGACGTTCCACCGGACTCTCCAAATGGCGAGCTATGTTGACCCCAACTCGTCTTTGTTCAGGAGCCAACCCAGAAAGCGCCTTTGGACCTTGCCAAGAAGGGGTTCTCATGCAAGGGTTCCGAGAACCTGAGCGCGTTTTCTGTGCGACTCCGGGCACCTCAAGGTCTCTTGCCAAAAAGTGGTCCGGATTCCCTCTAATATGGGACAACCAAACCCCCATCTAGGTCCTCCTGTAGAGAGGTTAGAATAAGGGTGCCAACTTTTTTATGTAGTCTATTTTAGTAGGGGAACCCTCCCCAAAAAATGGGTAAAAGGGCACTACTGGGTGACCTAGCCAAGTTCATCCAGAGTTGGTCAATCTTGGATTCCCAGGAAGGGAGCAATCGATAATTTTGCCCCTGAAAACCGAGTCGTCCCACGCCCTCTACGTGGCCAAAAAGAGAGCGACAGCGGGCTCAAAGCCAAGGAACGTAGTCAAAGTAGTCGTGCGTCACCATCCTGGAGGAAAGCAAGCACGCAAGGCAGGCAAACAACAACAAAGTCAACACGCCTGACTCAAACAGTTTGCCCCAAGACACGAACAGCGCGCATGCGAAGGAAGCTTCTCATGAATCCTTGCTTGGGGGGTAGGGGGTCCAATTCAGGGTTCGCTTCTTCCACTAAAATGAGCCTCCCTTGAAAAGGGCTTCTAGGCTGCCAGAAAGGCTGCTTCTTTATTCAGGCTGCCAGAAAGACTGTTTTTGTCATTCTCAGTGGAAAATAAACCATGTTTTTGTTTCTCGGTGCTGGCTTCAATTTGTGTCAAACAGTTCGCGACAAACTTGTAGTTGGAAGGACCCCTGCAAGGACTCTGCCCGCTTAAGACACTTCCTTTCAAGTTCCAATTGGGCCACGGCGATTGCCAAGGCGGCGAGGTTACAAAAAGGGTCCGTCTCCAAGCAGGGGAACTCGCACAAGACGGGTGGTGTCCCTTTCGGCTCCCGCCTGGAGTCCCCAAAAGCATGCATTCGAAAACCAGGCGACTTTTCCGAGCTTGGCGAACACACGGAAGCCGCCCCATGGAAAAAAATGACATCCTTTCTTCGTTGGTTGACTTTGAAGGGGAAACCCCATGAAAAAAAGGCACCACTGGGCAACTGGGGCCTAGTGTCCATGGCACGACACCCTCCCCCCCTATCTCCTCTCCACGAATCCCGCACCTTCGCTCACCTCGGGTAGCGGGTAGCGCGTCTTGCAGGGATGACGCGTGAGGCATACCTATGGGTGTCTCTCAGTTTCTCAAACAATGCGCGGTTTCCTCTTGGTTTCCGCACAAGGGCACCCCCATTTTGAGAAACACCACACATCAACTGTAGATCTCCGTTTTATCCAGGGAAATCCATGAAAAATGCTCACTTTTCCCTTGAGGGATCCAAAAAGACAAGGTGATCACCTGTTCGGTTGCCTTGGCGCAAAAAATGGACACCATAGGAACAGCACCTGGGGCCCCAAAACACTTTTTTTTGGTCAAAAGGCTTTGCCCGAAAAAATTGGTCATACGGCCTAATACGTTGTCCTTCGCTTCTTTTTCAATATGTTATCGACAAAATACGGGTTTTATACGGCCAAACACGGGCAACTAAGGCAAATGACCGAGGAAAAAAAACAGCCTTACGGGCAACAACGCGCCAAATATGCCCTTTGACCGAAAAAGTGGCGTTTCGAGGCTCCAGGCAGTTTGGTCAGATCAAATGGTCGATCCGTTTTGGGCCGAGACCATGTTTCACCTTTCGACCTTCACAAGTAACCACATGCTCTCAGTCTTGGCTGCATTGGATGAGCAAAAGTCGCATACGATTTGGCCCCCTTAAGGGCCCAACAATGAACAAGGCGATCGCCTTTTGGGCCACTAAACCTTTCTGGAGTCTCCATGACCCTAAAAAATGAGGTCATTACACAAAACCAAGGGGTCATGACCCCTTTTTCCTAGGGGTGGAGACTCCAGGTGGTTACCAAACTTTCGGGAAGCCAAAGGTCAGATCCGGTCCATGCGCTTTGGTAAGTGCAAGCGCTTGGCTGACCCTTGGACTGAGGCAGTGGCATGGAGGGCCTGGAACAGGTCCTTGGCTGGAGGACACCAAACCCCAAACCCCTCGGTTGAGCGACGACCAGTGACCTCGTGGTTTTACTATGGGTCACAAGGGAGAATATGGGTGGCTCGTCTCCTAATTTTGGAGTTGGTACCCCTTTCTTGTGGTTTTTCAAGGGGCACCAACAGGAAAACCGCCATTTTGGGGGTCCACTAAGACAGACACACCCAGGTGGGTGCTTCCCTACACTAAATCAAGCTAGCCAGAAAAAAAAAGTCCGAGCTATCATCACATTGAACCCGTTAGGGACCTTTTAAAGGTGTTCGGGGCTGCTCAATTGGACCCCTCCATTGTGGGTAAGGGGAAGGGCCCTTTAGGGCAACGCCCAAGACTCGAAAGGAACCTGACTCTGATGCTCCGACTTTGCCTCTGCTTGGCGTGGTTGGCTGTTGACCCCCTTGCAAAAAGTGAATAACTTTTCGTTGGTCCAATTCGCAAGAACCAACTTGATTTCAACCAATCCAAAGATCCAACCAAAAATAGCCCCATAAAGTTTGGCTGACTATCTTCCATTGGATGTGGCGCTTGCTTCCCGCGCAGCCAAAGCCAAAAGTTTGTTGTCCGTTTGCGCGGTGTATTTGGGCCATCCCATGCTCCCGTGAATTGAAGACAAGCCAACCCAAAGCACAAGTGCCGAATGCCGCAAGTCGGCAAGATCTGCGAGGGACGTGAGAGACAGACCCTGGAGGAAAACCAACTGGGGCACCCCCAAAAAAATGGCAGGTTCCATCTGGATCCCTTTTCGAGTTGAAACCAACCAAAAGGGGTACCCTCACAAAAATGACGAGCCGCACACTTGCAGGAAGCGCCTCTTTTGCAAGGGTCGCAACTGTACAGCGAAAAGGGCCGCACACCATCTGCGCGGCTGCAAGTGACTTGCGCAGGCAAAAACGGCACCGCAAAAAGGTTTCAAAACGTAGCGGCTGCTCCGGTCGATCCGGCCGTGGTAAACAAGCATTTAGGTCTTGGCTTCGCTAGAGATCCGTGCATTGGCACCCACGAATCTCTAAATATTTGATCGTCGGCCCCAGTCGCAACAAGCTTACAAAGGTGCTTTGATCACAGCACATGTCGCCAGTCACGTCGCTCAAACGGAATTCTCCGACTTTTCCGGCAGCATGATGTCGAAGACAATAGGCGGGTTCTCCGGCCGTTGTCCTCTGAGCTTGCCGTGGCTGAACATGATCGAGGCATTGATGGACAAGCCCTGGAGCTGCTCTGAGATGCGCGAGATGCGGCCATACCTCAAACCGGCAAAGCGGAACCGGCCAAAAGTGGGGCAGTGCTGGCCATACGGTGCGGGGAGGGGGGGGTCAAGCACGGGCTTCTGAAAGCTCACCTTCCTCGGGATTTTTCAGGATTCATCCAAAAATCCATGCGCTTTGCAAATATTTGGACTTGTTTTAAGTGGGACCCTGAGGAACCTCATCTCACGTCAGCACGAGCTACAGCCGAGCTGCATGCCATGAATGTGGCCGTACACGTGCAGGCTCGGCCTCACTTCCGATAGCCTCCCTTTACACATCGGCCACAACAGAAAACTCGGCTCAACGCGGCAAAGAGATGATGATCAAACCATGTCGGCCCTTTGAGGGATGAAACAAAATCAGGACCGATGGAGGGATGAAACAAAATCGTGGATTCCCCTGCCCTTAAGCTCCAAAACACAAACAAAATGGCACCATCCAGGGGCACATACGGAGAGACCCTGCCTGAGCCGGGCCAACATCTGGCCGATCGCCGGCTGTGCCTTTCGCTTCACGAGAGACGACAGCGGGCCGTGGGTCAGGGCGATGTCGCAACACTCCAAATGCGTCGACTCAAGCTGCTCCAAGGCTTGCGGATGCTGAAAGGCTCGGTTCATGCTCCTTACTCGCTGGCAAACTGGGTTTGTCTGTGTTACAAAAAACATCGGAGACCCCAACAAAAATGGTTGGCGTCCCTTCAAGTGTCTTTAAAAAACAACCACTAGCAAGGCTACTCGGAGAAAAAAACAAGACACCCACAGCCGGTCTCAACATAGGGGCCCGTCTTCGCGCTTGAGGCTTGGCCAGTGAGCCAAAGTGAGTGTATACCAGGGTATGTCTTGTTCAAGGGGTTTTCCTTTTCCGGCGGGGGGGGTCATTGCATGTCTCATTCCCTGCCAATTGAACCAGACAAATGAGTTTTTCGGACCCCCCGCCCCCTCCCCCCCCCAAAAGAAAACACACATAAATGATTATATATGTACCAAGTGCTGTGTGTTTTGTTCTTTTTCTTTCCCAGCCAAACATAAAAGGCACCCTCTGAAAAACCCACGCCACGCCCCAAAAAAAAACCTCTGGGAAGGTCCCAGAAGCCTCAGCTTCATCTCAGCCCGGCCTTTCCGGCTTTCGGCTCGAGGCGCTTGCCGGCGGAGATGGGGGCCCCAAAGACCGAGACCAACTTAGCGCCGGCGCCGTCCGAGACCTCGAAGGAGCCCGAGGTGAACTCCAGGTACTGCACCTCGACTCGCTAAACCAGAAGGAAAGTGTGGGGTGCGGAACCTGGTGTGGGTGGCCTGGGGGCAAGGAAAGTGCGGGGTGCGGGGGCTGGTCTGGGGGGGGGGGCTTAGGGGGGCTACAGAGCCTAGACCTTTGGACCTCTGGGGGGGGGGGGTTTGTATCCTTTGAGAGGGGGGAAGGAAGCGGGGGGGGGGGAGGCTGCATATGTCTTGTTTATGAGAAGGGCGGGTGCTTGTGGGGCAGAAATGCGGAGGGCAAGGATTATCCTCTAAATCAGCTGGAGCCAACAAAGAATCTTAGGCACCCCCACACACACACACACACCCCAAAAAAAAACAGCTAAAACCAAAACGTCCGGCATTCTCATTTGGCAACGGCACCTCCTCCCCGAGAAGCTCCTGAACCCTCTCCTTGCCCAACTCCTCGATCCAAAAGTCGTGGTTGCCTCAGCTTCGACAGAGCCATGGGTGTCGACTCCTTTGTGATTTGGTCTCACTTCCGGCCAACAAAGAAGTGCCGGAACTCTTATGTTTACCCCCAAAATGGTCCAAACCCAAGTGACGAAAGTCCGAGAACTCGGGAAGTGAGTTGTTTGAGGAGGGAATCTCTGGTGGACGTCGAAAATCCGTTCTCATTCCACCACTTGAGGTGGGAACCCCCTACCCAAATTCATAGCCATTTGGAGCTATGGGAGCCCATTGATTGTCAGTGACTCGTATTAGCTATTGGCTATTGCGGATGGTTGCGACATCCGTTTTCGGCACCACTGAACTCAGAAACCCAACGAAATGATATTATATATATATATATGATTCCCGATTCCCCAACGTATATGCCAACAAAAAATAGTGGCTTCGACCATGGGTTCAAAGTGTTGCGAAATATCGTCCATGCACAGTCTTCCATGACTCCCCTCAACCCCGAGCCACGAAAATGGAGTTGGCACGATCCCGCACTGATTCATCCCATGCTTCCCTTAAGTGGGCTATCCCCAAAAACAGTCACCAGCTTTCCGGTTGCCGGTCGTCCCAAGCAGGGATCGAGTCCATGTAACCGAGCTAAACCTGGGAGACCTATGTGTGATTTCCCCACTTCTGTCATGCCGCTGGGCACGACAACCTCCTGCCCGATGGTTCAGTTACAAAAGGCAAACGGTTCGTTTTGCCTTGGCAACATGGCAGGTCGAAATCCCCCCGTTCCCAATTCCAGCCTGGGTGAGAATGCTTGACAGCTTGCCTCCAAAACATTTTGGCCCCGCCATTGGCCCATCCTTCCGCTTTTTGCCGTGCTGCCACAAACCATTTTAGAGCCTTCCCAGACCTCCCGTTGCCATGAAGCACTTTGAGTTGAAAGGGACGCCTGGAGACCCTCCAATGGAGAACCCCGACCCCTCAGGGATCAATGGGGCTTGCCAACATGGCATCTGACAAAGAGTACTTTGTGGAGAAGACTGACCTTCTACCTTCCCACAGAGAGGAATGGCAATGCTTCCCTCGCACTTTTCCACGGGACCTGAAGATGAAAGGTTAAGCCGTTGTAACCTTAACTTTTCTGAAACAACTCATGGAAACCAACAAAACATTAAAAGGTCGATTCGCTTTGGGCGAGTGAGCCATTGATATTCCTTCTCTTCCAATTGCTTTTTCGACCTCTGTTGGAAAACATGAGGACATATGTCCAAAAGTGAAATCAGCTCCCTTTAAAACCAAGAGAACATTAAATCAACATTCCTGTCAGCAAATGTGGAAGCAACAGATTGACAAATCCATTCGCTTGACTTTATCTTGGCCCAATATTAATCCACCACAGTTGATTGATAGGGGGGTGCTTTTGGGTTCAGTGGGAAATCAAACAGCTGTTTAAACAACACCCTTTACCTGGGGTCTGAGTAATACTGTGCGTGGTTGCGAAATTCATTTCGCACCACTTTGACATTATGAACATCCAGAACGTTCGTTGGCATCTACAGGGGAATCGAATCATTCCACGGTTTCTTAGGTGGTGCGAACGGAGTTCGTCCATCCACAGGTTGGGGGCAACATTACCTGGTTCCTTGCTTCCCTTCCCCGGCCGGGCCGCCCGCGATCACGAAGCGCGCGCACTTCCCCGTGTCCGCCGTGCGGAGCCAGTCCTTAACCCGCCAGTGGACGCTGAACCAGAAAAGCGACGCAAGAACCCTGCAGCTTGGTAGGGATCTCCAACCCAGCCCCCCACCACCAAACCACAAAAACAAATACATTCCTGCAAAGTACAAATACGTATCACACAAAAACTTCCATCTGGTTGAGACCACTGGAAAAAGCCCACAGGGGGAAAAATATTATTAAAATGGAAGAAGTGTTTTATATAATGGAAGTAAATAAAATGGAAGTAAGAAAAAATAGAAATAACATGGAAGTAAAAATCCATACCTAAGCGCAGCTGAGGCGTCCCCGAAGTCCTTCAGCACCGCCTCGGCGTGGCGCTGCGTGGCCATGCGGCTGCACGCCAAGATGTCGCCGCCTCGGCGCGGTCCGCGCTCCGCGGACTCCGAAACGCGAAGGTACTGACCCCGAGGAGGAAATACCCCTGTTTACTAAAATCTGGGTGCTCCCCTCCCAAAGTGATATGATAAATCCCCAAACCAGGGCCCCCCCCATATGAAACATTAGTAAACCCCTTTTTGGTAATATTGTTTAGTAATATTTGTTATTTAATATGGGTGTGTTAATACACCCCTGTTTATTCATATGGGGGGGGTCCCCTGATTTGGGGGATTGTTTTTTATCATATTGTCAGTCTTGGGAGGGGGGCAGCCCCATATTAATAATCCCTTCCCCCTGCTCAACGCCCCCCCCCAAAAAAAAACAAAAAAAAACAACAACTCCCCCTAATACTAAGTGGGAATAACCGGGCAAAACCCGGTTTTCGCAGTAGGGCAACTTTTAGCATTGAGAAGGGACAATTTATATCTGGGTGCTCCCCTCCCAAAGTGATAATATGACAAAACCCCAAAAAACAGGGGACCCCTCCCCATATGAATAATCAGGGCGTTTATGGATCTGTCAGCATTAACCCCGGACAAAAACTTCGGGGTGCCACTTTTAGTGGCCTTTCAGACCATGTTGGGAGCGCTCATTTTTCACCCCCCCCCCCCTCTGTGAGTGGACGAAATCCATCAGACCCCCTGAGATGCATCGATTCCATCTCCGCACGTAAATACCAATCCATGTCATGGTTCCAACCATGGATCCCTCGCGCGGCGGCGGGAAGCGGAGCGCGCGCAACCCACGGTACTGCTAGGACGGGTTGCTTCGACTTAGATCCAAGGTCACCGTTGTCTCAGATGCGACCTGATCCCCGCAAAATGGCGGATCGCCGGCTTTGTCGCAATGGAAAACATCGAACTGGGGTGGGTTCCCCTTGGCTTCCCTGCAACAAACACGCCGAACACATGTTCCCTCGCACCCAGAAACGGGCCTTGGGCTCCAAGCGCGCCAAAGTCACCCAACAAATTGCGGGTCCCGTCGGAGTCCCGAAAGCAAGGCCCTCGGAACGGCACCCTCAACAACACCTCTTTGGATGTTTCCTTTTGGTCGTGGACACAGGACATCAACGAACAGAAGAAATGACACGTCGAACAAGAAACAAGACGACACCAAACAACACAGCAAACTGAAAAAGCCACCATGATCCTGATCCTGATCGTTTGATCCTTACCATCACCATGATCATCTTCAGTTTCCCCCTGATCTGTGATCGGGATTGGTGGCTTGGTGTCTAGGGCTGTTTCCCACTTGCCCTCCACAAGAAGGCTCAAATCAAGCCACCTCCGGAATCAGAATGACGGAAACAACAGGCGCCAGTTGCCTTCCCAGCCGCAATGGAGCACGGCGTCACAGGCTGGCAGTACCAGGCCAGCATGTCGCTCCTCAGGCGAGCAGGCGCTCCAGCCGGACATGGTCACTCCTATGCCCCCTCTGGGTGCGTCTTTTTTGGAGGGTACCACGTTCTTGTGGTTTTAAAAGGAAGGCAAAAGGGCCACCGCCATATTGTTTGTTTTTTTTGTCAGGCGGGTTCACTAAAAAAGACACACGCAACTATTCTAAGGAATTAACCACCCAATCACAAAACCGTCGGACATTACAAGACAAATAATGAATGCCCTACAATGTGGAAAGGAAACAAGGACCCAACCACAATTTTCCGCAATTCACTATTCGTCGTGGTTGAGTGCGGTTGGTTTACTTGCAACATCCGGCCTTGACATGTAAGCCCACAAGCGGCCCAGGTCCTTTTCTTAAGGGAGCAGGAAGATTACCGTTGTCTCACTGACAACCAATGGATCTTCTTGCATGTGTGTGTGTGTGTGTCTTTTTTCTTCTCTGGGTAGAAGGCACTAATCCCTTAATCCCTCAATGTAGAAGAGGATGATACAATTATATACAACCTAAATGCGGAGGATGCGTGATCTTTCACCCAACATCCAAAGGAAATACCTCAAAACCCCAAAAACCCAAACTATGAAAAGTAGCCCTGGCCAACCTCAACCAAAACTTGTCCCACCGGGGTACGCAGAAAATAACACCTGGCTTTGTTCCATATGTAGCCGACCCCACAGACAGGATCCGAACCTGTTTCCCACCTCTTGAGCCACTTAAGCCCCATTCTGCTAGCTCGGGATGCATGGCTGCGTGCTCCTACCCACAAAAATGTTAGGTTGACCTCTAGGGACCATGAAAAATCGTGGCCAAGCCGGGGGAAGCTAAAAGCTGGTGCTCAGGCGGGAATGACTCAGTTGGGAATGTAGGGATCCCTTTCAAAGAAACCACGAAGATTGTAGGGGTCCGTCCAACTCATTCCCTGCTGGCCCAGCAAGAAATCTCAAATCCGGTCAATTCGCTCTGGGCAAGTCAAACGACCACCTGAGCCTCTACGGTCATGGAGACTCCGGGCACCCCCACGACCCCTCCCGCCAACGAAACTTTTCGGCCACTGCGCGTGGGTATCGGACACCAGCACCAGGCGCACAGCGCCGGCCTTCTTCTTCGGCAGCTCCGTGCAGACTTCCGGGCCAGAAGGGGCGCCCGTGGCGTCCACCTGGAGCTGGAGTGGAAAAGGAGATATGACCCCTTTCGGTTTTAAAACGGCAGAGGCACCTGCCAGGAGGGGAACCACAGGAAGATGACTCGAAGGCGACCTTTTACGTAACCACAGAAGCAAGGAGCAAGCATCCCCCTTCCACAGGCGTCTTTCTTGGGGAAATAGATGGCCCTGCTATGATGATTAAACCGCCAGGTAAACCAGGAATCGCAATCTACTTTTTCGACCAAAAGAACCAAAAAGGGACACCTATGGATAATATGGCCATGGGTCAAAACCCCCGGTTCGCCCCCAAGTGAACATCCCAATCCCCACTAAGGTGCACCTACCCCAAAATGGTACCATTGGTTTGACCCACAGCCATATGGGTTCGCTTTGTTGAGGCTCCCAATTTATATCTAAGGCCCCCTTGTTTTATTTGGTTTTCTGGAAATATGATTTACTTCTTCTTAAAGGGCACGACATGCGTGGGTTACGTTTTGCCGAATGGGGAAATGAGTTTCTGAAGAGTTGCAGGAAGTACACATAATGGTCCATTCCATCTTTAATGCAATAGCTTGTGAAGGACAGTAGGTTTACAATCCAACGTTGAAGAGGTTATTTGCCTTTCATTGTCTATGTCCATGTCTTCGTGATTTTCTTCTTTATCATACGTTGAATTTACATTTTTTATGTGTCACCATGTGTATGTGTGCTTACACTTCTCTACCCAATATATTGATATGTATCTATAGTGTATCCATGTGTAGTTGTCTACCTATGCATACGTATCTATATTTTGTTTAATTTGTTTTTTGTATTATTATTATTATTATTTTGAAAAATCTACCTGTTTGTGTTGATCTTTCTATCTATTTGTATGTATCCATCTAATTATTCACAATTGTCTTTCTTTTTCTACCTCTGTCTACCCATCCATCTATGTACCTGTCCACCTACCTATGTACGTATGTTTATCTATCCATTGTTTTATCTATCTATTATGTCTAAAGTCTAGCTATCTATCTACCATCTACCTAATCCAACATTAATATATCTAATCTAATCTAATATAGTCTGACTTTCTGTTTGCCTGCCTTCCGTCTCTCTACTTGTCATAATCTGTCTACTTTCCCTAGGTGTCGCTCTCTCTCTCTCTCTCTCTGTCTCTGCCTGTCTGTCAGGCAATTCATCCATTCATCCTACCCCGAATGGACATACCCTCTTTGCAAGGCCCTAGAAAAGGCGCGCTGGGGCGTGTACCCGGCCCACAAAAAGCGTATGGAGTTTTCTAAATTGCGAGGGGCGAGGGTCCCCGAAGTTACAATGTGCTCTGATTCTGAGATTATAAGGATACACATGCTTAAACCGCTAGTATGGATTACGTTCCCTTACTTGCAACATGCTAGGCGCAACTACTCACGTCCCCGGCGGATTAGCCAAACAAGTCCAAACTTTTTTGTTTGCCACTAAAAAGATAACCCAACAAGTACCAAAAGTGCCGGGGCTTTCCCGTGGAAACGACGGCCCCACCCGACTTTCGGCACTTTCAGCTGAGCCGCGTAGAGGAAGCGCGGGCCGCGACTGCCGGGGGCCTCCACAAAGCCCTGACGCAAGGTGAGCCCAGCCGCCCACAGCTGGTCGTAGACCCAGCTGAACATGGCGCCAGAGACGCGTCTCTGACGCGAGGCGGAAGGCCGGAAGGCGCAGACAGATTTGTGTAATTGTTTGTTTGTTTGTTTTTTGCGGCCAGAACCATGTCCGGTGTTGAGTGCTTAGTAGGGGATGGTGCTTCAGCCAGGGACAGCTCCTTTGGCAGTGGCCATGCAACAAGTGTGGGCAACTTGCGGGTTTGATACGAAAACCAACTGGAACCACACACTTTAAAGTCTAAAGACCCGGTACCCGATAGCAATCAAGATGAATTGTGGGCGTTGATTGCGTAGGGGGTTGTCTGGCCTTTTCTTCCTCGAGTTAAAGGAAGGGGCCCGAGAGAGATAAATTTGAGACTCACCCCTTCCCCGAACTCTCAAGGGCTCTGTGGTGTGGTGAAACCGTTTCTATCACCGTGGCTGGTTCGGCTTTACGGATTGCCGTTTCACTGCTAGCTTGAGCCTCTGCCTACGGCCGCGCGCATGAATCTCGAATCCCGGGCAGATGAAATTGAAACCAAAACTGGGTGGGTGCCAAGAATAATAAGCCGAGCAACAAGGGCCCTTCCCAGAGTGTACCATTTCCTCAGTTGCCTCAAAAAAAAACTAACTCAGAAATAGAAGGACACTAAATATGGATCCAAAAAGGAAGCTGAAAGGTCGAAAGGTCAGCTTGCAAGTGAGTTTCCCTTGGAGAAACAGTAGTCTTTGGGACAAGCTAAGCAGAAGAGGGCGTGCCATAGAAAGTAATTAAGCGGAGCGGGATCTTCCAACAGGGCTTCATGAACATGCTGCCAGGCAGCACTTTCTCTTGAGGGAGTGGTCACGCTCCTCTTTTCAGTTCCCTCTAATTTCTGCTCCAGAGGCAGCATTCAAAGCAACTTTTCATGTGGAACGCCTAAAAATGGGCTGATGCAATCCCTCGCAGCGAGGGAAAAATTCACGACTGAGTCACAATTAAAACCTGGTATGAAGATGGTTTATTCAAATCAAATTGTAAAGAATGTCAAGGGCGGATATTCGCACCTATGGTGAATTCGGACCCTCCCTTTTGTATCCGCCAGATTCCGGATGACGTTTACAAACCCTAAAAATACAAACATATGTCCAGCCGTGAAATTGATTCCCTTGGAACAACCAAGGATTCCTTTCAACAAATAACAATCAGCAAGTCAAAGCTCCTCCAGTAGAGAGGTTGGAATAAGGGCACCCTTTTTTCTGTAGTCTATTTTAGTAGGGCAACCGAATCTCCCCCAAAAAAAGGGTGAGAAAGGGCACCAATTGCTGGGGGACCGAGTGTCACCCAGTCGCCAAAGCCTTGGGAACGGAGAGTGGAATCCATCCACGGCCCGTTTTTTCTCGGTTCAGATCCAGCGGCCACCGAGGAGAGGTAGCGGCTCTTCTCCAGCGGCACCGCGGGCGTGCGCTGGGCAAAGACCAGCTCCTGGCCGGACCCACTGGACCCGCGAGCGGACCGCGCTGGATCGCGCTGGCCGGGGCCGAATCGGCGACCCAGGGAACGAGAGGCTTCCCCTTGTCCCTGGCGGTGACTAACTAGACCCGGGTCCTGGGCACAGCCCCTCCAACAAAAAAGATCAAAGAAACAGCAAAGTGGATGGTTGCGAGATCCATTTCGCACCACGAAACCATGGTTGAAAATGAAACCACATTGGTTGGTATTTACGTAAAGGGGGGTCCTATCATTCAAGAGCTCTGAAAGGTGGTGCGAAATGGATGTCCTCCATCTACAGCCAAGGTGTGCTTGGGGACCCCAAAAAAGAAGGTCGGATGGGGTGGTGGGGAAGTGCTTTTGGAGGTGATATGGAGTGGATATTCTGGGTTGCCACAAGTACACGGGGCGTGGCCTCCAGCCCCCAACCGCCCTACCAAACCTATCAAACAAAGAAGTGTGCGAGGCCCATCCTCTCCAAAGGCGTCTATGATTTACATATCATGGAACCTCCAAAACGGATTTCCTTTTTCAGGCGATGCCTCTGCAATTTGGTTTGTCTCAGCATGAGACGCTTGGAACACCAGGTTCCCTCGGAACGCCCATCCAAAACAAGCACAGAAAGAATTTGTCGCGTTGGGATCCGCTGGCAGCTCTCGGCTTTCCTTTTGGCCACCCCAAAGCTTCTCAGCTGGTTTGGAGCCCTGGGGTTTAGTGCCTGAACCAGGGCTTCAAATCCAAATCGAAACCAATCCAATCCTCAAAACTAAGGGGCACCCTAC